AAAGAAGGAAATATAGATGTAGCATTATTAATCTAAGTCAACCATCAATTTTAAGTCCATAAGCAAATAATAAGCTGTACAATATCAATAAATATTTATAATAAAAATATTCATGTATTAACTATTTTTGATTTGATGGATTCTTATTACATAATTTATTAAAATGTAAATAAAAGGTGCTGACAACTATGGATACAAATTTACATTATTAATTATAATTTATATATATATATACAATATTTATTTAAATTTCCTTTTTAATTACATCAGATTTAACTAATTTAAACATCAAAGTCTTATAACTAAAAATAATATTGATCATATAAATAATTGAAAGACATCTTTTGAGAGAGTTGAATAATATATATTCTATATATATATAGAAAAAAGATTTCCTGTGGATTTTCATTACTATAATATTTTTTAATTCATACAATTCTAAAGAATTTCTTAAATATTGATTTAATGATTAATGAATTAAGGTTTAGATTGGGCTATGAAATAAATGATTAAATGAGTTATTAATATTGGATCAGAATTATTGAGAGGATTAATTATATAAATAATGATATTTTGGATATCATAAAAATTATATGAATTCATAATAAGCAAATTTTTCATAGATACAAGAACTAATATATTATTCAATTATAGATATAAATATGATTAATAATTAGAAGTGATTGCATATTGAAAATCCTAAGTAATATTTAATTACATTAATTAAATTATTAATATGTCAGCACTTGAGATAGCACGCAAGAAAATATCATTTGATGTAAACAAGTTGTCACACTTCATTTGGGAAGGAGAGGAAAGATTCAAGAGATTCATGGCATTTTAGAAGCTATGTAGTTCTGATCCTCTACTTCGTAATAATCCAAAAGACATTGGAATTGGAAGAGCTGAAACATATGAACTATATGCAAAGAAAATGAAGAAGTTGTTGGAGGTGGCTGACTTGCGTGATATTAAAGAATTCGCAACCTTGATTTATCCAGAGGCTGTAATATATTGATATTATGTTGAATAGTTGGTGTCATCATTAAATTATGAAATGTTCATGCCAACAATTTTGAATTTAGGAACAGATGAATAAGTGAAGCTATTTTATGAACCAGCATCAAGATGGGAAATCCTTGGTTGTTATTCATAAACAGAATTAGCACATGGTTCAGATATAAATAGAATTGAAACAATAGCCACATATGATAAATAAACAAAATCTTTTATAATTCATACACCATCATTAAAAGCTACTAAATGGTGGGGTAGTGATATGGGAATAACAGCTACTCATGTAGTTACTTAAGCTTAATTGTATATTGATGGTAAGAGATGTGGAGTATAGAATTTTGTTGTATAAATAAGAGATGTAAAAACTCATCAAACACTTCCAGGTATTCTAGTAGGTGATATTGGTGCTAAATTTGGATACAATGCAAAAGATAATGGATATTTAAGATTTGATAATGTTAGAATTCCAAAAGTTAATATGTTAAGCAAATATGTAAATGTCTCAGATGATGGTCAATTCACTAAAACAGGAGATGATAAAATTTGGCATGCTACTATGCAATTAATGAGATAACATTTCTTGGATTCAGTTTGGAAATGTTTAGGAATTGGTTTAACTATTGTTATTAGATATTCATTATAAAGAAAATAATTCAAAGATGCTTTAGGACAAGAAATTCCTATCTTTGATTATTAACTTCAATAACATAAATTAATTCCTTTAATTGCTGAAATGTATGGATGTATGTTAGGAAGTAAGAGGGTCTTTGCTATGGCATAAGATAATGTTGCTAGAATTAAATAAAAGAATGATTTCTCTAAAATGATGGTATATATTTTTATTCATTTTAGGAAGTACATGTTGTCTTAAGTGCTTCTAAAGCCTACTATACATGGAATTGTTTCTTTGCTTTAGAAAAGGTTAGATAATGTGCTGGTGGACATGGTTATTCCTATTATTCTGGAATCCCTCCACTTATTACTGAAATGAGTCCTTGTGTTGTTGCTGAAGGTGATAATACAGTCTTATCCTTATCTGTCGGTAAGGTCTTATTGATGTATCTCAATAAAGGTATTGTTATTATTTCTATTCATATAGCCATGTAATCAGGAAAGGCTCCTAATACTACTTGTGATTATTTGGAAGACATTTTTAATTATTTGACTGAACTCAAATAACCATTGGTCTCAAAAGAGTGCACAAGAGATCTAAACAAAGTTTTGGCTGCTTTAAGATACAATGTTGCATTCAATGTTGCTAATGCAGGATAAAAATTACAAACTCTTATGGGTGATAAGGGATTAACATTTAAGGAAGCCACAGACAAACATTTAGGAATTCTCTTATAAGAAATTGCTCACACACAATCAAATTATTGGACTTTCAGAACATTCCTTGAGGAAGTTAATGCTTTAACTGATCCCAATATTAAAGCTGTTCTAACTCAATTATGCTTATTATATGGACTTAATAAGATCCTCGAATAATAAGGATAATTGTTTGAATATGGAGTTTTAAGTGGTCCTCAATTTGTATGGATCAGAGAAACTAGAGATGAACTTATTTCAAATTTGAAAGATAATGCATTAGGATTAGTTGAAGTAATTAGATTGTTTATACTTTTTAGTCTATTGGATATGATGATAATAGTGTGAGATCAGCTATTGGAGATTCTTAGGGTAATCCATATGAAAAGTTATATCATTGGGCAAAGGATCTCAATCCATTAAATGACCCAGAGTTCCATGAGTAAGTTTTCAAGACAATTAAGACAATCAGAACTGCATCTCCACATGCTAAGTTATGATTAAGATTAACAAATTATTAGATTCATTATTTATTTTCTTTTTTCATTATAGAATATTGACAATAGAGTAAGTAAAGAGCTATCTATAAAATGTTTTAATATTTATTTTTATTAATTAAAAATGGAAGGATATTTGAAAAAATGGACAAACCTTTTTTCAAGGTGGCAAGATCGTTATTTCATTTTAAATGAAGAAGTTCTTGTTTATTGTGATTCTTAAGGAGGATAGATTAAAGGATAGGTGCATTTGAAAGTGGCAGCTTTGATTTTAGTTCCTGAAGATCCTTTAAGAATAATAATTAATACTGGAATAACAGAAATTCATTTAAGAGCAAGTAATATAAATGAGAAAATTGATTGGATAAATGCATTGAAATAAGCTTAGGATAAATGTTTGAGTCGTTAAAGTGAAATAAAGTTTGAATATAAGATACAAGAATTACTTACTGATGTTTGGTAAACTGGAGCTATGTGTATGATAGATAAATTATTGTAGTTGATGAAACATTGAGTATGTTAATACCTAAATTGGAAAAGAACTCACAAATTAAAGAGATGGCTGATAGATTAGAAAGTATTGGGAAAAATCTAAAAACGAAAATCACTTTATGTGCTCAAATTGTAGAAGAAGAAAAATAAAAGCTATCAAATTTGGAGAATGGAACTGTTTATGAGAGTTTTATTCATCAAAATTCTGCATAATCGGTATTAAGAGAAGATTAATTGAATCATTAACATTAATCATAACATGGTCAATCATAAATAATGAGTGTTATTGAAATTGGTTAGTTAATTAGAGAACGTTAACCCATAAAATATGTACTTAAAGAATTTGTTATATTAGTTTTTAGAATAATCTAATTAATAATCCTGCTTTTTAGAAAATTAAATTTACAAATAATCCTAAAAGAGATCGATTACCATATAGAAAAGATCCAAATGAAAAAATAAATGTTTGGTATTTGTGTAAGGAATTGGTTGGAAAAGATTTAGGAAGATTTTCAGTGCCAAGTATTTAATTCAATTATAAAAATATAGTTATTTTGAATGAACCTTTATCTATGTTATAAAGATTAGCAGAATAAATGGAATATTCTGATTCATTGGAAGAAGCAGATAAGATTATTGGAGATAGTGCATTAAGAATGTGTTATATTATGGGTTTTGGTATCTCACCATATTCAGCAAATATAGGAAGAACCAAAAAACCTTTTAATCCTATTCTAGGAGAAACATATGAAATTTAAACACATAATTGTAGGTTTATTAGTGAATAAGTATCACATCATCCTCCTATTTCTGCAGGATATGCAGAATCAAAAGCATTTTAATTTTGGGCTCATACAGATGTCTAAACAAAATTTAATGGTTTATGTTTCTAAGTAAATCCTGTTGGATTATTTAATGTTATATTGAAATCATCAAATGATCATTATTAATTTAATAGATGTACAACAAAAGTTTAGAATATTTTATGGGGTTAATAATATTTAGATCATATGGGATAAATGAAATTTGTAAATTTAACAACTGGTGATAATGGAGTATTGGAATTAATTGAAAAATCAGGTAAATCAGAATCTGAAATGAGAGGATATGTTAAAGATAAAAATGGAAATGAAAAATATAAATTAAAAGGATTTTGGAATGATCGTCTTATAGCTTATGATACTTAAAGAGAAATTGTAGTATGGAAAAGACATCAATTACCATTAGATTCAGATTGGTATTATAATTTTACTGAATTTGCAATGTAACTTAATCATTTAACAATTGATATGATAAAAGTAATAAAAATGATTAAATTATTTAGGAATTACCATGTACAGATTGTAGATTAAGACCAGATTAATTAGCATTTGAAAATGGATGGATTGATTTGGCTTCAAGTGAAAAACATAGATTAGAGGAGAAATAAAGAGCACGCAGAAAAGTAATGGCAGCAGCTAATTAACATCATGTTCCTATGTTTTTTGAAGAAATGATTGATCCTAAAACAAATTTGAAATGGTATTAATATAAAGGGAATTACTTTTAATAATAGTGGAAATAGGTTGGATAAGAATTGTTGGATTTATTTTGATTAATTTAAATAATAATAATTAAGTTGTATTATTCATTTAAAATATTGTTGTTAAAAAGTCATTTTAATTAAATATTTTAAGACATTTTAAAATGTTTAAAGACATTTCTTTTATGTTCCCTTTGTCAACAGTCAATTTAACAAATACCAGAATAAAGACACTTACAAGTTTGATTGAATCTAATGGAGGAGAAATGAAATTAAATCCAAATACACTAATAATTGTTGGTTCTGATGCAACACTAGAATTATGTCAGAAATAATTTGCCAAATTTAATCTTGATTTTGATTCATATAGATACTAGTTCTTAAATGCTGATTGGATCTCTTAATCGTTATTACATAAAAAATTATAGGATAAGAAGAAGTTTTTATTGTTCCCAGAAGTAGAATTTCAACCAGTTTTAGAAGAAGTTCCGTAATTTACAACAAAATTAGTTTATGTAGAAGCTTTAGCTAAGACTGTACCAGTGAGAGAAGAAACACATGAATAAGATGATGGTGACATATACATTTACAATATTAAGGATGATGAATTAAGAATAAAATATGAAAAAAGGATGGAAGAATTTAGAAGGGATATTGTTAAAGAATATAAATAAATATTGGATTATGAGTATGATTATGATTTAGACAATTTTCATAATCAAATAGATGATGGTTATGAATATTTATTGGAAGATTTATCTATTTTAAAAAAAGAAGAGCCATAAATACCTGAAACTGAAAAATTCTATGGTGATGATGATTGTTAAATAACAGAGACTAGAAAAGTTAAATTTGATATTTTAGATGGATTAGATTTAGGAAAATCAGTTGTTAATGTAGATTAACCTATAGTAAATGCTTAATTAAAAGAAACTAAATAATTTAATCCTGGATTAAAAAGAAAATAATAATTTTGGGAAGCTAAAAAAGGATATTTTGTTTGTGAAGCTGGTGCTGCTCATAAATGTTAAAATAATGAAATCATAGAAGAATTAGAAAAATTGTTGAAAATATATACAAATGAAAAAGATAAAGGAAGATGTATAGCATATAGAAAAGCTATTGGATTCTTAAAAGCACTTCCATATCCTATTAAATCTAGTGAAGATTTAAAAGATATGCCTACAATTGGAGATAAAATTAAGAAGAAGATAATTGAAATTATGTAAACAGGTAAATTAACTAAAGTATAAAAATTGGAAGGATAAGAAAAAAATGTTGCTATAAGTGAATTAAGTAGAGTTTGGGGTATTGGACCTACAACTGCTGCTACATTCTATTTTAAAGGAATTAAAACTATTGAAGATTTGAAAAAGAATTAACATTTATTAAATAGAAATCAATAAGTTTGTTTGCATTTAGTGGAAGATTTAGAATAAAGAATTCCAAGAGAAGAAGCTACTTTAATATTTGAAATTGTTAAAAGAGAAATTGATGATTTAAGTGGAGTATAAGGATTATATAAGGCAACTGCATGTGGATCTTATAGAAGAGAAAAAGAAACATGTGGAGATATGGATATTTTAATTACAAGATGTGATGGTAAAAATACTGAAGATTTTCTACTTAGTTTGATTAAACGATTAGAAGGGAAATTGTTAACCCATCATTTAACAATGCCAAAAAGAACTGATCAAGATTGTGAAACATATATGGGAATTGGAAGAGTATCTAATTAAGCACTACATAGAAGGATTGATTTAAAACTATATCCAAAAGAATAATATGGTTGTGCAGTTTTATATTTTACTGGTTCTGATCATTACAATAGAAGTATGAGATTATGGGCTCAAAAAAACGGATATACTTTAAGTGATCATGGACTCTACCCTACTCAAAGAGGTGCACACAATAAGAAATTGTGGAAAGGAGAAGTAATACCATGTGAAGAAGAAATGGATGTGTATAAGATTTTAGGATTGAAATACAAACCCCCCAAAGAGAGATCGGTATGATTATATTTTATATTTTATTTTATTTTTTCATAATTTACTCGAACAAGATAGAAAAATATACATCAAGTCAATCAAATATTCAACTATGCTGCCCTAATTCGTATTCTATCTATGAATTGAACCGATAAATAGAGATTGGTAACAATTAATTGTAACAATTCTCTGATTCTTCTGAAACTCCAACTCCTAATTTCTCTTCCTCAAAGAAAGTGTTAGTATCAATAATTGAATATGATTTCTCATAATTTATAGGTCTCATTGCACTTTCACTTGAGATCTCTTCAATTTTTACGAGAGGAGTTCTTATTGTTTAATGTTGTTCTTTTTATGAGATTACAGAAAACACTGACACAAGGGTCAAGAGAGCAAGACTTATTTTACCTAATCTCGATCCACGACCTAATTGCTAAAGAATTGATAGTTGATTTCTTATTTTTTAGCTTTTGTTTGTCAATTTTTGTTGTTTTTCTTATAATTCTTCAAGTTATTTTCTCAATTCAGCATTGTAATCTAATTCTTTTTGTGCTTGTGATTCTAATTGATGTAAATATTGTTTTTTTCTATCTCTTGAATTTTATGCACTTATCCTATTGCGTATCATCTATATAGTTTTCTTATCATTATCTCTTAATGGATCTTCATCTTCTTTCTTTCTTTTTATTTTTTTACTACTTGACACAATTTCTGGCTCATCTTTATTCTTTCTTTATTTAGCTTTCTCTCTTCTCATTGTTCTCTTCATCTTTTCAACAAGCTTTTAGAAATCTTAAAAAACATTAGATAACTTAACTTACTTTAAGGATTTGATGATTACATCTCTAATAATCCCTTCTCGGATGTTTATAAGGTTTCACTCATATACTCAAATAATTCTTATTAGCTAGTGCTCATTTTAGAAAGATTTATATTATTTTATTACATTAAAAAACGATTAATTTTCTTCGCTAAATACACCAACTTCGTGAATTAACTGCAATCTAATATAATTGAATCACATTAATAAATCCAATTTATATATCATTTATTTATAAACATCTAAATCTCTTATTAAAAGGCAAAATTTATGAAAAGTAGTGACCTTTTCAAATAAATGATTTCTTTTACTTAATATTGTTTTTAAATTATTATTTACTAAATTTCCAATTAAACTTATAAATCATTCTAATTATGAATATTGATAATAGATAATAACTTAAGTAACTGAAAAAAAAATGCAAAAATAGTAATTTAAAATTATTAGATCATAATTTAGATTATATTAATACTTTCCTTTATACATGGACTTTACTTAAAAATTATTATAATTTTCGCAATAAAATCATAAGAACTAAGTCTTAATAATTATAGTTTCAAAATAATAGATTAAAATTATTGATAAGTTTAGTAATATGTTTGAATTATACAAATAACAAGGTACTCCAATGATAAAACTGCAGATCTTAGCTTACAGATTGTTTTTTTAAGTATTCTTGTTTTTTGATAATGCTATTAGAATAGATGAAATATAAATTTTTGATCGTTTTTCAATTATTAATATATAATATATTCATGAGGACACTAATTCTCACAGTGCTAATTTGCTTTGGTGCTTCACAAATGTTGAGAGGCTCACCCAAAGCCTTGATTGAAGAAGAACAAGGTAAATGAGATGATTTAGAGAAGCAATCTTCTAAGCCGAATAGGAAGATTAAAGTTTTTATGTAGGAAGAGATGATGTTTCAGCTGAAACCCTTCAAGGAGATTAAAATTAAGAAGTTGAAGCTAGTTTGGCAGTGTTTAAGAGTGATGATAATCCAATGGTTTATATTGAGGAATCGATTGATTCAAGTATTCAATAAAGTTAATTAAAGCCTAATAAGATGGTTTTCAGTAGTAGGAGTCTTTGTAAATTGAGAAGATTGAAGATTAAGTGCAGTAATAATTAAAAAAATAATAAAGAGCTGAAGAATTATAGGAAGCAACAACTGATTCAGCAAATTATGTTGATAAAGCTATATCTTTAGAAGGAGATACTGAGGCACAACCAGTTTAGAATTCTTCAACTGATGTGGTGCTAAATATTGCACCAAAGACTGAATCTCTTAGTAGTTCTGAAACTACAAAGAAGCATGTTTATGTTTACAATCGTAAATGAATATCTGTATACTTTTTAGCTTTGGCCAAAAAACCTTTTGTTGGAATAAAGTTCCCTCCTATGCCAGTTACTAAGGATCATAATTACTTGTCCAATTCTGATACTTTAACTATTAAGTTGCCACCATGGTCAGAACAAAGTAACCATAAAGTAGAGGATGATTTAGAGTTCTTCCAGTTCATTAGACGTATTAAATAATAAAGTATGTAGCATCTGATGTATCAGTTAATGAATATTGATTTAATATTATTATATATTTCATTATATTTTACAAGTTAAGCATAACAAAAGTTATAATAATGAAAAACACAATAACAGAAGTTCAAGAAAAGGGACTTTGGAAAATAAGAGAATAATTATAAGAATAATAATAAGACTTAGAAAATTATGAATAGATTCTCTGATAAGGAATGGAATAATTTGGATAAAAATAGATAGAATTTAATTTACACTTGAAGATCTTGGAATAATTAAAGTAATTTAGGCATTAAAAAATTAAAAATACTTAACATAATTAGTGTTGGCATCACTATTATAGTTTAACTAGAGATTAGATGATTTAAGTAAATTGGAAGAACAAAATTTGAATGAAAATTAGATAACTAAGTTAGTTGGTTTGAAAGATGCAACAAATTTAAGAGCCCTCTCTATATCCCTAGAAGGATTGGAATCATTAATAGAATTAGAAATATTGTAGTTTTACTTTAATAAAATGAATTAAATTTAAAACCTAAATTAATTTTTCAATCTAAATGAAATCTGGTTAGATGATAATTTTATTAACAAATTAATAACTTCTTTAGATTAATTAAAAAACTTATATGATTTAAATATAAGCAACAATAACATAAAAAGTTTCAAAGAGGCTTTGAATTTAAATTTTACCAATCCTTAAAGTTTTGACATTTTATGATCCTCAGTTCGATAACAATCCTATATATAATCTGTGTAATTATCATATTTATGTACTCTATTTATCGTTTAAGAAAAATCGTTAATACTCTTATAAAAATGATTCAATCATTTCTAATTTTTATAACAAATAAGCTTAGAAATAAGATAAAGAGACGTAACAACTTTTAGAAAAAAATAAGAAGAATATGAAAATCAAAATGAAATTTATAATAGCACTAAAAAAAAGTTTATGATTATCACAATCAAAGCATAAGTAAATTAATTTCTGAATTAGAAACAGGAAACAGGAGGAAATGTTAGATCGAAAGAAGAAAAAAATATTGTATATTTTTTGTGTTTATCATATAAATTGAAGACACCATGAAATATCTATTGTGGAATTATGGAATTAAAGATGTAAAAATAAAAAGAGTTGTTATAATACATAAATAACTGGCTAAAACATATATACTAATAGTTTAACAGTTGAGATATGATTATATACATTTTAAGGCCAGCCTACAATAAGATCACTGAACTTTGTTAACGGAACTGCGATATTATAGATTTTAAATAAATTTTAATGTTCAATAATTCTCCTCTTAGGTGGAATTGGATTTAAGTCAAAATTTATTTGCTTTTATTATAATACTTGGATTTTTGCCTCAAATTAAAATTTTAATCTTAAATTCATATAAAATTGAAATTTGTTATTTTTAAATGATATAAATTATAAAAAAAGATTGAATACATGTGAATAATTGTATATTAGGGATTTATCATAATAATATTTGACAGAATTTAATGGATTGCAGTATTATATATTAAATGATTTAAAAATTATGAAATATGATAAAAATGAAATTATTCAACTTGACTATTTGGAAAAATAAAAATAATATCAAGAATTAGATTTAAATTATAATATAATAAGATAATTTAATACTTAATTATTTGTTATATAAAATCTAATTAATTGTTTAAAAATAAATAGATTATTGATTGAAGAATTTCTAAAATATTTAAAATTGTTAAAATTGCTTGTATGAATCTATTAATCTTTTATTATTAATTTGATAATTCAAATAGCTTACCTGATATTGAATATCTAGTTGCTCTTACTTAATTATAAGAATTAGAACTTGCAGGTAATTTTTTGAGTAGAACACCAAGATATTGATAAATAGTCTTAGACAATATTATATCTCGACGAAAAAGTAAAAAAGTTTAAATATAGTTTTAGAAATTAATATAAGAGGAATTAGAACTTGTTGACAGACAGGCTGTATTACTCAAATGTAGATTTAATAATAACCAAATATTAAAGTGCCAGTAAAATTAAGTTCAGATGAGATTTTAAGCAAATAAAATATAAAAATTTATAATTTAATGAGATAATAACTAAAAAATATATTGAAAGTTATTGAGCAAATTAAATTGATTTTTATTAAAATTTAATTTCTGAAATGATAAATTGCTCAATAATCATAAATCAAAGAAAATTAAATTGAATAGAATAAATAGACTATTGATAAATATTTTTAGAGAATTGATTTGGATCATCAAACTTCCATTTATTATTTTGTAAATTGATTTGCAAAATTTAATAATTATAAGGATTCTAATTTTAATATATATATATTTAAATAAATTATTTAATTAGAATATTAAAATAAAAATAATAATATTTCTATATCTATAGATTTGATATCTAATTATATAAAATAATATTTAATTTTCATTGAGATCTAGTTATTATTAATGAATATTTAGATTTCTAAATATTTTGAAAATGCAACTTAAATTTATTATGTGCAATGAAAATTTGAGTTTTATTGTGTTTAAATATATTATTAATATTCTATATAATTATCGAAGTAAGAGTTTCATATAAATGGCAACAATTATAAAACCAGTAAACATAATAATAATATTTGATTATCAATTTAAAGAAGAATTGAGGTGGATTGGAAATTTGAAAACTAATAATTGGTTTAATCATATTATATTTTCAAAAAATGATTGTGAATTCTAAAGGTGACGATAAATTCTTCTTTTTATATAAATATAAGTAGATTCTGATATCGTTCAGTTACTCTATACCCTTATTTAGTTGGTATGTTATAGATGATTTCAAAGATAATTATTTTTTATTTTTAACAAGGAAATATCCTCTTACTAATAGATGTTTTAAGAATTCCTTGATGGATTAGGAAGCCTGAAGCATAAACCTGTTGCCTTGAAGCAAGTGAAAAAGATTTTAAAGATTGAAGAAAAAAGTTTACCTAAAAACATAACAAATTACTTTGTAGAATTTACTAAACATACCTCACATAAGTGGTAACGAAAGGATAAAATGATATTTATATGGACTACTCTAAAATATTTAGAGAAATAGGGTCGTACAGACTTAAAACCTGTATGAATTTATGTTTAAATTGATTAGAACGATGATGATTGGATAGCACTATCAGAAATCCTTGGAGCACCTCCTGAACTGTTAAATTCGAAATGGATAGGAATGTTAAAAACCGATTTGAAACAGTCTCCATGGACTCCTGAAGAGGATGATCTTCTAAGAAAAGTGATGACGCAAAAATTTATTTCATGGACTCATGTTGCTTTGGAATATAACCGTGCTAGTCCAATTATGAGACATGCAAAATAAGTGAGGGAACGATGGAATAATTATTTAGACCCTGATCTAAACAAATGTCCATGGACTGAATCAGAATAAATTCAACTGCTGCAGTTAGTTTAAAATCAAGGAAAAAAGTGGTCTGTGATTTCTAAATAAATAAAAGGTAGAACTGAAAACTAAGTCAAAAACGCTTACAATTCTTTAATAAATTCTTACAGAAGGAATCACGTATTCTTTTTTCTTAAAAAATATTAGATGTAAACCCTCGATTCAGATGAGATAATTGTTTCTAAATTATTATCCAAACTAGATCCCCCACTCTTATAAGCCAATGCAAGCACTCCTATGATTTAACCTATGCCCACTCTTCAATAACAATTACTTATGTAGGCTTTGCTCATCGAAAGATTGAAAAGCATGGCCTTTTTCGCTTAATTACCAGGTTTCCTGGCAGCCCAATAATAACAAAGTTGATATCTATTTATTGTATATGCATGTCATCATTAATAAAATTCATTAATTATGTACCAAACCTAGCTTGAATTGGCCTTATTTACATAAAAATATCAACTCCTTTAAATGTATAGTAAACTTTTCTTTTTTGAATATTATTCAATGTCATGTACATAGAATATGAACTCAAAGATAATTATTCTCTTATAATTCTGCATGAATTCTATCAATACTAATTGCTAATCTCTAGATCTTATCTATAAATGATGTATTGTAAACAAATATAAGTATTTGTAAAGGTTAGTGATAATGCTAAAAAAAATATTAAACTTGTTAATTCTATAAATTGATTAACAATAAAGTTATGAATCACTAAATAATTTCAAAAAGTTGATATTAGCTATCCTGATTTAAATTATAGTATAAGATACTAAAATGATGATATTATTCAAATTAATTATATATAAATTTAATATTTCCAATAACAAAATATATGAAAAAACTCAAGTATAATCTAAAATAATTATTAATAAATAATTTATAGAAAGAAAATGCACTATTAAAGGATTATTAAGATTTTTATAATATATTAATTTTGAGCATTACTATTTAACTTATTATTTTTTAGAAAACATGTACCTATATTAAAATTAGAAAGTAAAAGCAAATAGAAATTGAATAATATAATATATTAAATTGATAAAAACATTATTGTATTGATTTAAAATCAGAAAAAAGTCAGGAAAGATGAATTCTTTAATAAAAATCATACTTTCACTTTTTTATAAAATAAAATCGTAATTTTAGAGAAGATTGAGATAAAATTAGAGTTGCTAAACAATATATTTCTATATACTCTTAAATATATTTTAGAATTTAAACATTTTGTCTAACATTTAAGTAAAGAAAATGAAAATTCTATGTGATTTTTAGAATTTTAATAAAGTAATTGCAAAATTAGAAATAAAATGATTTTATGATAAGAAGAAAGTGAAGCTAAAATAATATTTAAAATGTATACTGTAAGTTTTGATCAATTAGATTAGTTTATATCTTCTTAAACACTTTCAATTTATCTTAAAAATTTATTTATTCAAATCAAAATTTAACATAAACAATCTTAATAAAAATGAAACAACTTCTAATTATATTTCTATAATTTATTTACATAATATTCATATGGCTATATTTCAATATCATTATTTTAGTTTAGACATCAATACTTAATTTTCAAAATTGATTATATATATATTAAAATATTAATGTACGATATTGTATTAATTTTCAATCAAATAAACCTCCCATATCAACATCTTCTTCTGGTTCTTCAGCTTTCTTAACCTCCTTTACAGGTTCAGGTTTCTTAGTTTCTGCTGCAGCTGGTGTTGCTGTAGTTTGTGTTGCTGGTGTACTTCCTGTATTTCCACTGCTTCCATGTAATAAATCACCAACCTTTTTGCCTTTCAATGCCTTTTCAAAAACTTTTGTCCAAATTGGTTCAACTCTTATATTAGCTGCCTTAATGATCTTAGCTAATTTAGTAGAATCGATCTGATTTAGATAGATTCATGTACATCTTGATTATCTTCATACAAGATGAGAGCTGCATAAGTGCATGCAGTCTCTGAAGTAGCTTAGTCTGCAATTGGTCTAGTGTCTTTTGCTGCTTTTGCCATTCGATTTTAAATATAATAATTAAAAAGATATAAATTTTAATGCATACTTATTACTCTCTATTATCTTATCCAATTACCTTATTATATACATTATTATACTATTAACTTTGGAATTCAAAATCTATTTCTATTAAGGAAAAATAAACACAATTTTTGTATTATAACAATTTGAATAAAACATATACTAGAAATGAATAATATTATAAAACAAATAAAATTTTAGATATATTAATCTAACACTTAAATTGTGTCTATAAATTTTTTATAATATAGATAATTATAGATATCTTAAATATAATTAATCTGACTTCACATGATCAATTAGAATTGAATTATAATATTATTATAATTAAACAAATATACATAGAGATTGTTAATATTTAATTATACATTTAAAGAAGAAGTATGTATTTATAATTTGGGTTTTCAAATTTTAAGGATTGTTTTATATAGATATACAATATTATTATATAATTAATTTATGTAATTATTAATATTAATAATGAATTAATTTATACTTCCTTATTGCCCAAAATATCATTAATTGAAATGGAAGAGTGAAATCACATAGAGTTGCCTCATTTGTTTTAAATCAAAAAAGGGATCGCAATATTATTGTACAGAATGCAAATAAGGAGTTTGCAATGAATGTATTAAACCTCCTCTTGATGGATTTTATTGTGGTGGTAATCACAGGTAGTTTGGATTATCTATTTAGAATGCAATTTATGAGTAATTTGCCACATCATTCTTGTGATTTGTGTGGAAAATCTATATCATAAGCATATTCATGTAGAGCGTGTGATTTTGATATTTGTGAAAATTGCAGATAACTTGATGATTGATTTGAATGTACGCATAACTTTTTAATTATTGTTTAAATTAATTCTTATCTGAACTTCTATGAATAAAATTATTACCAATTTGACAAAGTTTCAAATTATATAAAATTTAAATTTAGTTTGGATATTTAATATCCAATAACTATTGTTAACATTTCTTATCATTCATATTGATTATTATTTTAATCAATAATAATATTTGTAAATTTTGATTATAGTAAAATTATAATGTTAATGATTTTGTATAAAATTATTTTAGACTATGAATATGAATAATAAATTTCATTAAGACTTTCTATTTTATTTATTAAAGAAATAGTATTTCTATTTTACATCTCAAATTTTAATAAAATATATGAAAAAAACTTAATAATAATTATAAATATGCATATATTGATTGGATAAAGATTTATATATGAATGCTAAATTATAATTTCTATTTGTAAAAGAAAATCTAAATTATTAAATGAAATCTTATGTAACAGATAAAGAATATCATCATTTATTGATTAATATTTTCCTAATTCTTACATTATGGGTAATATAAGGAATTGAATAATTAAATTCGTAACAATATATTGTAGATCATGATTAATACTCATAAACATAGTAATTTCATTTTTAACAAATAAATTCTTATAAAATGAGATGAAGAATTTAACAAAAAAAAACTAAACTTTTTTTTTGAACAAATATTGTTAAAATATATGAAAATAAATGACTAATATAAATACTTTTTAAAGTTTTTAAGGTCCTTAAACTAAAACTCTTTAATAATAAAGATCTTTAAGCACCATAAGAGCTACGAATTGCAATCTGAGACCTTCATAAGCTTATATGTAGAAACTAGCTTTTAAATCATAGTTAAACTTCAAATAAATAAAAATTAGTATCTACCCTCTATTAAATCAATTTAGAAAGGACACCAAATTAACTTCCAAAACATTGAATAACTTATATTGAGGAATGATTTTATTAATTTTTATAATAGAATAAAATCAATTCAACATCAAATCTCCTTTTGCATTTATTACTTAGTTTTGTTAAACTTGTTAGTTTTATTTGACTGATTAAATCTTTTAGCTTGGCACAGTATTAAATTATTGTATTAATTTCTCTTATTTTATTTCTTCTTCATATTAATTTAATGCATCATCTATTTCTTAACTATTAATCCACTTATCTTCCATATCTTTGAATAGATTATCTCTTTCTATTTATGATTCTTAGACCTCTTACCAATTTTAAAGATTATTTGTAAGTTATTCATTTAATTCTTCTGAATTTCGAAATAAACTTGTAGCCTATTCCATCAGATTTCCTAACTCTTAATCTTCATGCATCGTTTCTATTTAAATAGTGATTTTTATGATGACATTAATTTTAGTGTGATACATTTCTATTTATTTTCTTAGAGTGTTCATTTCTCTGATACAACATTTTGCAGCAGTTTTTCTACCACAAGAAATATGTTTTCTACATTAGAGATCCAGTTACTCAAGTCTTTAACAATAATTTTCAATTATATTCTCCAAATCACATTTTTTTTACCTTAATTAATTCAATGTCTTTTCTTGATTCAGAGAAGTGGAATTTTATTTTGATAAAGACTCTTAGGAACTCTTAATAGAAGTTGATTTTTTGAATCCTTAAAACATTAATTAATTAAGTAAATGTGAACCATATTCGTTATATACATTGTAAATAGAATATTATTTTTTAATTTAATATAATATAATATAATATCCTTTGTTTCAATTTGTTAAAACTGATTATTATAGAGGCTGCTAAAACATTTGTTTACTTTTATTATTTTCTATTTTTAATGGTTCAAAAGCATAAGCTTAATTTGCAGGGGGATATAATTACTATGGTTCTTAATTTTTAAATTGATGTAGGTTTGAATTACTATTTGGATTTTCATATTGATTTTAATTTCTACATTGATTTCTATTTCGTTGTGGTTTGTATTAGCTTTCCTCCATGTCTGATTATTCTGGAGAATCGTTGCCACAAACTTATATTTCTTCATTTATAACTTTAATTTGATTATTTATCTCTGCTCTCTTTACTAATAATTTTTTTGTTGTTGTCTTTAATTATATAGTTTTTTTATTTATTTAATTTTATTCTTCTAAACTCTTGGCTTACTTACCAATTTGTTCATATCTTGCCAATGTTTTTTTTCTTCTTTTTATATCTTAATGAAGTATTTTTTTTTCTTTTGATAATTGTTAAAATTCTAAAATGTTATTTAAAAATACCTAAATCCTTTATATCTGCTTCATCATACCTCTATTAATTATCCAATTTTTCGATTTCTTCTTCTAATAATTTAAGTTTTTCATTCAAATTTTATAAATTTTTTTTTTGAACTTCCAAATCCTTTTTTATTTTCTCTATTTAAGTTTTTGTTGAGGAACAACCCATAAATAGTTAGTTTTTCTAAATGTTTTTTAAATAATTAAATCAAAATTTTATTCTATTGACTTAAATATGTATAAATTCAATATCAAATTTATTAATTTAAAAGGATAATATTTATATCGAATTATATTTTTTTTTATATAAATAATAATTTATCATGAATTGATAAATAAATATAAATTCATTATGGAGCTTAATTTATATCCTCTAGGTTTTATTCATTACCCTCATCTTCAGCATAACTTTTTCTACAAACAGGACAACTCAAGTTAACCTTAAACCATGCCGATATACAAATAAAATGATAATTATGAGATTCATGACATGGCAATTTTAAGACTTCTTCTTCCAATTAATATGTTTACATGCAAATTTTACATTCTGGTGTCCCTTCAATTAGATTTGGAGAATATTTCACAAAATATTTTTTCTTAAGATCTTCTAATATTTAATCTGTATCTTTTTTTCCTTTAGGTTATTATATTTTTTAGTAAATCAAAAAAATTAAAACAAAAGGTAAGCAAAGTAAAATTATAATTATTAAAAGATAAACATCCAGATATTAGCATATTGTATAAAACAAGAATACGTATATTGTAATTAAAAGTCTGTTTCTACATTCATCATTCACATCCCATGGGATTTCAAATCCTATTATGAATCCCCATATTAATAGTCCTTAATTTATTAAAAATACAAGATGTTTAGAATATTTAAGAGGAGAGTATATTTTGATTATTTCTTATAAAATTTATTATGCCAACATCAACTTTTTTTTATCGAATTCTCTTTCAGGAAACTATATAGTTTAATCATCATTTTAATTGGCTAAGAATTCAGATATGTCTCCATAACTATTAATTTAAGAATTTTCAGCATATATAACCTAATGTAATTCTTCACCAACATTCAAGAGTACAGGCTAATTTTGATATGCTAAATACTGTTTTTTTAATCAATTTCATTATAATTGCAAATACAACTAATTCTAATAGAGACTCTCCTATCACTATTGTCATCCAAGTATTTGCATCTTCCCAACCACAAGAATTTGTTGCATTAATAGTCAATAAAATAACAGCAGTAATTATTTTACATGCACAATAAACAAAATGTCCAAAAGCAATGTTTTTACAAGATTTTACACTTTAGCAAAACAATTAAGTAATTCTTCTATTTTCAATCAATTATTACTCCATTTATTATATAATTAATTAAATGTCTATTAAAATTCAAATGAATATTTTTAGAAATTTCAATATTAATAATACTTAAATCTCTCTGATATAATTATTGTAATAAAATATTTTATAAATTAATAATACTTGTTCATTAATTTAATTATTGTAAAGAGTACTTTAAATATAACTTTTATTTATATATTAATAAATTTAATAGTAGTATATAGTATATATATAGAATGAATATATTGTATATTAATTAATATCTAAATGATTTAATGTTAATAATAAATTTTAAATGAATTTTTTTATGAAATTATTATTTTCATTCACATATATTTCTGTCAAACTCTAGAATAAATAATTTCTAAATTAATTTCTTCATGTTTATAACAATCATGTAGAAAATTCATATAATCTCCAAAATCAGCTTATCCTAAACTTCTTAATTTATATTTAATTGAAATCAAATCATTTTTTCTAAATCTATTTGGATAAGGATTTTGCAAATTATTAAAGAGTGATATCTTTTGAAGGATGAACATAAAAATCAAACTTATTCATTTAAGCATATTTCTAAATTTATTTCAAGTAATTATAATAGTGGTGATTTTAGATTGGATAAATTCCTGGATATTTAACAATATTTTCTATAGGTTCAATTAATATAAGAACAATTTAAATTTTATCATTATTATCAAAATCAATACTATATAAATTAGATAGATCTAAATTTTATAAATTTGGATTCTCTTAAGAAAAAATTAGATTATGCTAAGGGTTAAATTGATTAACTTAAATTATCATCTATATTTAAGCTAATCTTTTAGAATAAATATCTTCATCTAATAGTTTAACAACAAAATCTTCTTTTTTTTTATTTTAATTTTTTCTTTTAAATACACGTTTAGCTTAATAAGAAAAATAGAATCTAGATTTTATCATTTATTTTATTAATATTAATATGAGCCTTCAATTTCAGTTTTAATTTTGTTTTATTACTTGATAGGCACTCCTATTTTTAAATCATATTATTCTGCTTAATCTTTATTATTTTTAATGGACTATTTTAATAATATTTGATACTTCTAAATGATGTTTAAAAGGATCATCATTTTAATATTTTTTCTTTGATATTTAAATGATTGGATTATTAACAAAATTTTATTGATCATCAATTATTATCATATTTTATATTGTTTTTGATTCATTTATGGCATTTGCTGTTGGATGTATTTCATTTTTAATTTGAACATTAGTTTCGAATTATTCAGGTATTTTTATTTTAGAAGATTCTCTATTTATGTCATATGTATTTTAATTCTATTCATAATTTTATTATTCACAACTTTTTTTATCAATTTAATTGTTCTATATATTCTTTATAGGTTTAATTTAATACTGTATTTTTTTCTTTATTGGTTTTTTTGTTGTTTCCTCCACAAGTTCCCATAATAAATATATAAAAATTTAAATATTTAGATATTAATTTTTTAATGGTTAATCTCCGTCTCTAGAAAAGATTGGCATCCACATAGTTGAAAGTAGGTATTAATAGAGTTTGGTTGGATCCAAATGAAGCTAGTGAAATCAGTTTGGCAAATTCAAGAATGTCAATTAGAAAATTAATTAAAGATGGACTTATTATGAGAAGATTGAGAACAATACATTCAAGAGCTAGAGCAAGAAGATATCTTGAAGCTAAAAGAAGAGGTATTTGAATTATTATTCATTCATTTAGGCAGACACACTGGTACTGGTAAGAGAAGAGGTACAAGAGAGGCTAGAATGCCAACTAAAGTATTATGGATTCGTAGATAAAGAGTTTTAAGAAGATTATTAAGAAAATATAGAGCTGCCAAAAAGATTGATAGATAATAGTAAATAATTTTTATAATATTTTACTTAGATATCATGAATTCTATTTGGCATCAAAAGGTAATCAATATAAAAACAAGAAAGTGCTTATAGAAGCAATTCATGAAACAAAATAAGAAAAAGTTAGAGTTGATAAAATTGAGAAGGAATAAAATGATAGAAGAGAAAAGAATAAAGCTTAAAGAGTGAAGAAAACTTAAAACAAATTAGCAGCTGAATGATGTTTTTAAACATTTGCATAGTACAATATATATATCTATATAATTTCCATCATATTAAATTTAATTTCTATTTTTTTATATTAAAAAAGATTTAAAAATTTTTTAGGTGAAATGGTATGTTTAGGAATTTAATTTAGGCTGACAATAAAGTATAACCTGTTGCATAATAAGCTAAAGGAAAGAAAGGAAAAAAGAATTAAGGAGATGATTAACCTAAAGAAGTTGTTGCTACATTAGGACCAAATGTTGCTGGAAATGAATTAGTTTTTGGAGTTGCTCATATTCTCTCTACTTGGAATGATACCTTTATACATATTACAGATTTGACAGGCAGAGAAACACTTGCAAGAGTAACAGGAGGAATGAAAGTCAAATCAGACAGAGAAGAATCTTCACCATATGCAGCTATGCAAGCAGCCAAAGATGTTTATGAAAAATTGAAAACACTTAAAATTAATGCTTTACATATTAAATTGAGAGCCAGAGGAGGTATTTTAATAATTCAAATAATTAAGGTGTTGATACTAGATAACCAGGACCAGGAGCTTAAGCTGCTCTTAGAGCTCTAGCTCGTTTGGGATTAAAAATTGGTAGAATTGAAGATGTCACACCAATTCCAACAGATTCAACTAGAAGACCAGGTGGTAGAAGAGGAAGAAGATTATGAAAAGTATAATTACATTACATTATTAAAACAAATAAAAAATCTATTCTATTTTACATTCATTATTAGTGAAATCTATTATTCAATTTATCAATTATAATACTTTGATGAGAATTTTGATTTTAATTATTAAAATATCACTTGTTATTTTAATTAATGTCAAATTCGAATACTAAAATATAAAGCTAAACTGATATGAAATAGAAACTATTAAATATTTTATCAGAGAAAAACAGTAAGGTCACATCTTAACAAAAGCCATGTTCAAGTTTAGATTATTATTCATTGTAAAGAAAATTGTCATAACGATCACACAAATTACCTGTTGAAATGACTAAATTTGAAAGAGAAAGATGGTTGTTTGAAATGTTAAACACTTAAGATTTGGCACAATAAGTATGAATATATTGGTGAAGTTAAGGAATAAGAATTGAAGGAAATATATGTAAGAACAACCAAATTGATTACAAGGTATCGTAATAAAGAAATCAAATGGAATAAAAAAAAAGAGGCATTACAAAATGAGATTGATTTGCTTCGTTCATTATTAGAATAATCTTGAATAAATAATTTATTGCTTCCTTTAAATTAAAAATAAATTACAATTATCTTACTACTAATATCACTAATCCCTTCAAAAATATAACTTTTTATAGATTAAATTATTTTTGTATTGCTGAACCATCATCTGAAATTGATTATCAAATTATATAGGTTAACCAATACCATTTTTTGAATAAATACTATATCCTTTTAATCCATCACTATTTAATTATTCTCTGATTACTGGATTTTAAATGTATTAATTCATAGGTTTATGATAATATAATAGAGGAGATTCTTAATTAACACATTTAGGACTTTAAGGTGTAATAACTTCTGAGCTTCTTTCATGAACAGTCTTTAAAATAGAACTATTCTTCTTAAATTATAGAATAGCATCTTAAATTTTTGAATCCAAATTCAAATTAATACATATAGATGTTTTCTTTTCAGGTGTAGCACTTCTTAATTGATTTAAAACTAAATTATATTATAATAAATTCTTAATTTACATTTTATATCATCTCTAAGTATTTTTGCTTTAATATCTTCTTCATATCCTCTTGTATTATTATTGCATTCTAAGTCTTTTTAAGAAGTAGGTCTTGTTCTTGGAGTATTGAGAAAGAAGTTCTTATTTATCTCTTAATTGACTATATAGGATTACAAATACCAATTTTTAATTCTTTGTAATACAAAGGATTTGCTTATTCTTTTACTTTTGTTATTTCTTTTTTTAACTCAATCTATTCTTTACTTTTAGTTGATTGATTTGCTATTCCTTATTTATTTTAGATGCTACAATCAGAATTTGGGGAATTAGTTGAAATAAAAGAAGAATTACTTTTTTTAAGGGAAGACATTGATGAGACTAGAATGAAAATCTCACTAGCATTTTTTGAGGGGTCAGAGAGTAATTTTTTTAAGGGAATCCATTTTGAGTTAAATAATTCCAAGACTTCTCCTTTTAAAATAGGTAACACTTTATTGACAAATTCCAAGAAAGACTCTTTTAGAAGTACGATTTCTTAATTTGTCTCCATGTTTTTCTCTTAGTAATTATTATTTAATTATATTAGTCAATCTACTGATAGAGGTAACAATTTATGTTTATTAAAAAATCATTTAATTCTTGAGTTCATCATTGTACTTTTCTGTAGTTTTAAATTTATAAATAGTTTTTGAGTATTGTTTCTAAGAGTTTTTAAAAAATACAAAATTTTAAGGTTTTTTGATAAAAATACATAAATTAAGAATTTGATTGTAATTTTAAGTAAAAACATTAGATTAATGATATTTTATAATATAACAAATATTATATATTATATCATATAGCAATACTATAGTTTGTGTAAGACTAATTGTAATGATTATAAGTTATAACCAATTTTATGAGTTAATAATAAATGAAAAACTAAATTACAATAATTTTGTTTTTGTTTTTAATATATAAATGAAATCAGAAAGAAGTTCTTACATGACTTGTAGAGATAATTTTGAATAAGATGGATTCCACTCTGTGTTTGAGTTTGATTAATAACGTATATTATTTGATATTATAGAAAATAGGCAAAATCGGCCAACTGTATATGTTCGCCCTTAATAAAAGAATAGGAATACCTTATAATTAAGGAGTATTCAAGAATCTAGTATGGAGCCATTGCTCTATAATGGAATTAATGGAACATAGTTATCTGAATTAGTACCTAGAAAAAGATAGGTTGTTCCAATAGGACAAGTAAAAAGGAATCGAGTTGAAACGTTGTTGTTGAGAACGAGACCATAAAGAAAGAGATTTTAATAAGAATGTTCTTTTGATACTTCTGCTACTTTGATAAAATTGTTAAATAAGAATAGATGGGTTAGATATCTAATGAATTTATATATTTGGTTGAATATTAGCTTAAGAATTGGTTATGTGGCAATAGTCATATTTTATGTGATATAAAATGATTACAATAATTAAGTTGAAGATGAAAATAGTGAAGAAATAATGACTTAATTTTATTGGTGGATTCCTGGTTCTTTTATTGGAATTAGAGTAATATTTATATTGATAATCTATAAATTACTATGTGTTGGTGAATATACTAGAGATGCAAGGATTAAAATTGTTTATGATACTTATGAAGCTTGGTTTAATAAGACTATTAATGAAAGAGATTAATTATTGATCAAATGTAATTCTATGGTAATAAGAAATGGATAAGATGAATTATAATTAAGGTAACTTTAATAATAAGTGAATTCTTTAAATAGATGGCTTTTGATACTTAAAACATATATTGTTTTAATTCCTCCTGAATGTTAATTCATATTTTTAAAATAAAAGAGTAATGGATTTTTTTAAGTTCAAAATTTTATTATGAAATCATTAGAAATACTTTTCTTTACTCCTTAATTAATGTATTTCTTATTAATAGAAGAACCATTAGATTTAGAATTAGATCGTTTGGCTGCTTATGATGTTAATAATATCTGTATGTTAGTACTTTTAGCTGACATCATATGTTTTGTCTTTATGACACTTTTATTAATATGTTTGGGAAACAATAGAAAATATGTTAACAATTTAAGAAATAATTGATTATATACATAACTTTAATTTAGTTCATATAAATATTTGTATCAAATTTAATTAGATAATCAACTCTTTTATAAATTCTTGTACAATTTTATATTACAATCCATTTTGACAGAAATGACTTTTCACACTCTTATTCAATTAATAAAAATCAATTACTATTGATATTAGTTTATTAATTTATCTTACTAATTAACAGTATAAAATTACTGTTATATAATTATTTCATTTTATCATAACTACCTCATCATAATCTTTAATCATATCTATACTTTTTATAAGTCACACTCTAATTTAATGATGCATTGATATAGCGTTTGATTTATTCTATAGATTAAATCCTAATCTAAAATTTTATAAATTATAACAATTCAATATTAAATAAGGAATGATAATATTTATAAATCCTAATCATTTTAAGGATTTTATAACTATGAATTGTAAATATTTTAATTATATATATATATATATGATAATAATGATATAAATATTTGTAAATATATAATATTAAAAATATAATAAGTCCAATCTAAATGCTTACAGGCAAAGAAGAACAACCCTAATTGCTTTTGAGAGTAATGCGCTTAAAAAAAAGTCTAGTCCAATCGAGGCAATCAAGAAAGCAAAGAATTGCCAAAGTATTTAAGGAGCACATTTACTGATACCTATTAATTGTAGGAACCAGTAAAAGGAAAAAGAGGCAAGAAATTATTGCCTTAATATGCATTTGGAAATTCTCTAGAGTCGCCTTCTTATTTCAGAAATGCAAATACTTTGATATGTAGAGAAAGCTATGACAATCCATTTATCAAAGTACAATAGAAACCAAAAAGTAAATGGGATTCACTTCGTAGCAATACATTGAATAATTATGATTTCTATAACATTTCTGAATAGAAATTTAGTAATCTACCATCAGATGGTTTTCATAATGTAAGATTAGTAAAGTAGAAAATGTAATAAATATATAAGTACAGTTACAAACCAGATAAATATTGTGTAAACCCCTAAAGTGAAAAATCAAGATTATACTTTTTAGTAAGCATATAGAACATTGTAAAATACAAGTCATTTTGGACGTAAACATGGTGAGCAATAATATTAATATATGAATAGAATTATTTACAGATTTTATTGAAAAAAATGATAATTAAAATGTTTATGGACATTTGAATGATCGTTAAAGACCTAAAGGACATTTAAGAGATGTTAAAAACTTTAGTCTAAATCCATAAGTATAGAAATTACAACATAAATACACATTTAATTTCATGATTCCAAGTCCAACTCATAAATCTCCTAGAATACAATAGTTTCCTAAAGTTAATATGGCAGATGAAAAAGTAGAGAAATATTTTAAAAGAGATTAGAAGTAATAAATTATTTATTTATTTAGTTTTCTTAATGCTTTTAGTAATTCAATTATAGCAACATAGATAGACAATAAAATGAAGAAGAATAAACAAGATAGATATAAGTATATTTTTATTTATTATATAAAGTGCTGATCCTGTTGTTTAAGATTATTAAGAAAATGAAATTGGATTAATAGAAGTATTTGAAAAACATCTGGAATTTGAAAAGTAATATGGAAATTGATTGATTAATTAATATTTAAAATGAAAATGACAATGACAATATTGCCTGATCTCAAAACATCCCTATTATTTTACTAATCATCTTTATGAATTATCCATTAATGTAACTTATAAGTTATATCTAATATAGAAAATTAAAAAAATTATTGATTAAGTTTACTCCAATTGAAGCCATTAAGGATAACAAAAGCACAGCTTTATACTAACCAATTCTAAAAATAATCAATGTTAAACATAGTCTATCAAAACTATAAATTAATAATAATAATAAAAAGACCTAGATCTCAAATGACATAACAAAAGAAAATAAAAGACTTTAAAATAGAATAGAAAATTTCTAGATTTGATTAATTTACAAAATGAATTATCAGAAAATTAGTACATTAGAACATCAGGATATCAGAATATCTAATCAACAAGTACTGAAGAATATTTGTGAATTGAAATTGTCATAATAAAATGAATAATTATAAATATGATTACGAAATAGTTCATTCATCTATCAAACTATTAACTAAGCTTTATAGTAAATGAAATCTTAATTTTTAAATATTGAGATTTGAATAATTGTTCTCATACGATATTTCAAAGTATTTATGAATTAAGTTTTGATAATTTAGAAGTCAATTGATTTATCAATGTTTAATTGGAAAGAACTTAAGGTTCTGAAAAATATAAGTAATTATCATTTATTTTTTTCCAATTTTTAAATTTTAGATTAGAATATTGAAATTAATCATTGTTGTATCAATATGAATTGATTTAGATTAGATCAAGTAATATAAATTCGAATATTAAGATTCTTTCTAATAACATTAATAAACAATAAGGTTCTTTTAATTAATACAAAAGTAATACTAAAAAATTATTAAATCACTAAACAAGAATCAAATATCACATTAAATACAATTAGAAAGGAAAGAATCAATCAAATTGTTCAATTAAATAATAAAAATTTTATTTTATATGAGAAATTAAGAAATGTTAATTATGTTTTGCAAATGAGAGACTCTGAAAAGGAAAAGAACCTTTTAGAAAGCCCTCAAAATATGGAAGATTAAGAGTACTACATAAATATATATTTACTTACACTTTCGAAATCCAAAGTTTAAAGTTACACTTAAAGTCTCTTTCAGTTTTTCAAACACTAGTAGTAGTGGGATTTAGTATATAAGTGGAGAAGAAATTAGAATAGAGATGGAGTAGTTTTTAAAGAGATTAGAATTTGGTTTCCCCATATAAATAGATTATATTAACTGTATCATAAAGATTGAAAAAAAAAGTGAACAAAATAATTAATTAAATAATGGGAATATGACTTAAAGAGCATACTCAAAATTGAGATCTATGTGCTATCAATATTCCCTAAACAAAATTGTTTTAAATTTCATTATTTTTACATCTAATAATATAATTAATAGGAATACTTAAATCATCTATTGTATACGTTATAGTTCATTTTAAGGTACAATTACTGGCTTAAGTTTCTTATCTTTTTGGTTCATGACACTTGAAAATTGGAAATGTTGTAAGAGTGCTGATCTACCTTATATTCTGGCATATCTCAATTGACATATCTAATAGGATAAGAAATTCATTACTTTTTCACTATTAAAATGAGGCCACTTTTAACCATGAAATTCATTGTGAAATGAAGTTATCATCTGACTGTCAACAAAATTTATGAATGCATAACCCATATTACATTTATTCTAAAAGGATTGAAAATTATTTAATACCTTAAAATCTATGGGTAGATAAAGGAAATCATAAGAGGCTGAATGATGATAATCAATTAATTCTTTGAGCATTTGAATTGTATATTTATTTGGGATATTTTTAACCATGACAGTTGTTCTTGTATCTCCTTCAATACCATCAATTCGTACAATAAAATTATGGGAATCCTCATCCGATATCGTTTTACGTTTACGTCTATGATTGTTCTCATAGAATTAGTCTTTTAAGGATTGATTATTCTCAAGAAATTCGGGTTCAAATATTTCTGTCGAAAGATATGATTTATAACACGAATCTACAAAAACATGATTGATGTCTTTTATCATTTGATCTTGCACATCTCTAATGTCTGTTTATTGCTTGGGCAATATTACTTTTGTATCTGGAAAGGTTTACAAGACCAATACCTGAAAACAAGTCGATTGCTTAATCGATGAGACTATGTTCTTCTTCACTTGTTGGAAGTGACTCTCCACTCACATTCATGTTGCAAGATCTTTCAATATCAGCAAATAATTCTTCATTAGAGCTATGCTGATTATTGCGATCATTCTTGAAGTTTGATTACTTATTTCGAAACAGAGATGTGTCACTTTAAGAGTTGAAACTACGATGACCAGGAAGGTTGTAACATCCTCTAAAATTATTGAAGCTATTATTCATTATTTAATTAAATGATAATAGGAATAGTATAAACAATTAAGCATCTATTCTAAATTCATACTAAAATAAAATGTAACTTTTAGACTAAGTCTTATGTTATAATTAATAAAAATAGTATTTGTTAAGTTTAATATGATGTATATGATTATTAATCTCATTAAAATTATGTAATTATTCACATAATAAAACCTTTTAATATATAAAAAGAATGATTTTATTACTATATCTCTAGAATGAACAAATTAACAATAATATTATTAAATAATAGAATAACAATTTAAGCAATTTCATGATTTATTTTTTGAAAAGAAAATCTGAATTTTTCTCTTATTGTATTCATAATTATGCATTATTGCCATAGCCTAAATAGCAGATTCTAAATCTTGATATTTAATTAAACATTTATTTTTATTCTTCTCTTCACAAAATATTCTATTTTAAATAAATAAAACAATACTTTATTTTTTCAATTACACCAAACTTTGAAAATATATCATAAATTATGCCTTCTTCACAAAACTCCTTTTTCAGATTTGTCAACATTATTTACTATGATGGTGCCACCAAATATTTAAAATTATTATCTTTGTATCTAAATGAACCTTCATTCCCAAGATAAAATTCTTCCTCTTCAGTATTCTTTGGTAATTAACCTTCCTCACAATTTCTAAAGAATATGAATTCATAATTTGATGGATAAACCTAATATTAACACTAGAATTTACTTTTAATTTTTACCCAAACAATGTTGGATTCCCTTCATTGAAGTTTGTTAACAGAAACTTTACACTTACTTCTGTTGAGTATTCTATCAAAACGTTACATTTAGTTTTAAAAAATATCATTTTTTGTATATTCCCAAAAGTACTAAAAATGTTATAGATCATAGACATAGTTGTTTACTTTGGATCAAACCAATTTGCATAAAGTACTTTTGTTATAAGTTTTTCTAAAGATAATAATAATTATACTTTGAGGAAGAATTTCAGATTAAAATATTTGCTTCTCTACTTACATATTGCTTGGAAGTTACTAAGATGTACATATGCGATGTCCTTCAGAGAATTTTAAAAGCTATGTTAAATTATTGTCAATTGTATTAACAAATTGTTGGGAACTGCAGGGGGTTATTAATCATATAAATTTATTACAAATCCTCCTATTTATCATCTGTTGCTTCTTCCTCTGAATCATATTAAGAATTGCCATCAACTTTTTCAAAGTTTAATGTATCTACTAACTAACTAGGCAAAGGAGGCATTCCAGTTTGAGATTAAGGTAATACTTATGAATGTGGCAACCATTTACTAAACTAATCATTTCGTGGAAGTTCTGTAGAATGTACTATGCCTTAGGTTTATTGGGCAATATAATCTCTTATTAAATAAAAGGCAAGTACATCTTGCATATTAATTGCGAGCTTAAAAGTCAAGTCCTTTACGATTAGATTCATACACTAAAATTGACAGGCCATGCATTATTGTATTATTAAGTTACAATGCATTTTCTGCAGACTTTTAGGTCTCGAACTATACTAATGCTTTCCAAATTGGCTTATTTCTTTCAAAGATTAAAATCTATAAATATGAATGATTGATTTACTTTTTCTATTGTTCCAAATTGTATAAAGTTTGAATAGACATGAGTCACAGTTATATTAATGAAGTCTGGATTTTAAATACAAATCAAAACCACAGGTGAATTAGACATTTTTAAAACTAAAAATATAAATTTAATAAGTGAATTATTAATAGATGATAAAATTTTAGATTGACTCGGTTCCCCATTATTTTCAGGATTTCTATTTAATTTGTGACTATTAAAAATTAATTAAGACATTCTAATTAATTTATATTAGTTCTATAGAATTACTATAAAAATATATTAAGAAAATCAAATATAGTCTTAGAATTCTTGAGATTTATTTCATTGTAATGAATAAGTATCAAAATATAATATGAAATTTGAATTATAATGAAATTAAATACTGTTTAAATTTGAGGATGAAAACTTATATAATATTGTATCTAGATAAATAACTGACAAATATCTAAATATAATTAGTAAGATATATATAATCAAAAAATTTATTATATTATCAAATTCACAATATAGAAAAGAAATCAGAAGGAAATCCTTTTATATTGTTTATTCTTGGTTTTGGTCTTTGTAAAGGTTCTTTCTCTTTCTAGAAAAAGCCTTTTAATTCTTATGTATTCATTAAGAGCAAATCTAAAATCTTTTCATTACTAATTGATTCGCTTTTGAAATAATATTTGTTCTTCTATTCCGTTGAAATTTATTATGTTGCCTGTATTTTCATTGTATTATTTTGATCAATTTAACTAGACCTCACAGTCCTAGCTGTTTAAATTTAAAGAAAATTAGCCTTATCTACATCTGAAGGTCTCTTTCCCTTAAAGTACTAAGGCTCTGTATCAAGGGATATTTATTTTGTTATAGGAGTCTTTAAATTTTTTAAATCTAAGTATTTTTCATTATTATTTAAGTCGTCTAATGTATTAATTCGATTTGTTTTAGGATGCTTTGATAAGAGAGGTGTATTAGGTATTGATCTTTTATAAGAATTTTTGGAGTTTTAATGATGAGAATTAATGGATTTTTGAGATTTGATTTATGTTGGGTATACCTATTAATTGAAGTTCATCTGTTAATAATATAATAAATAAATAATGATAAGCAGTTTTGTGCATTTAGAAATATTAATCGCATATGGTTTTCTTAATAAAAATGTAGTTTTAAATTAACTGGACTTTTAGAAACACGTGGTGGATATGATTGAATTATCAAACTAATTAAAATGATATGAAGATTATTAGATATTATATCAAATATTATTAATTCATATTCATGGAGTAATAATAATAGTTAAATATATATATCAATTATTTTAAACAGTTGAGTTTCTTTAACAAAATTTTTTTTTTGGAGATGAACAAGAAGTAGAAATTCTGGATCTAGTTGATATTCTAGAACGAGTGATATTTTATCTAATATTTGTAGATTAAATAGTAGATAATTATGGTATATTTGGTTCTTCAATATTTTGTTTATTTGTATTGAAAGTAGTACTAATTAATCTATGATTATTAAATAATCTTCCATGTCCTTATTATTTTCCATTATGCCATTAACCCTTATAGAATGATCCATCTTACCAAAACATCTATCCATATCCTTATCTCACATCATTTAGAAAATATCCTTTGAAATAACTACCACTTGGCCATTTCATTTCACCATACCCATTTTTTTAATCATTTAGAAATGAACCTTCATATTCAACATTTTCAATTATCAATTTACCATTTCCATGTTTGAGTCCATTTTTGAATTCACCTTCATATTTAAAACCCTCACCAATCAATATACCTTATCCTTCTGCCTTTCCATTTACATATTATCCACGATAACAAATTCCATTAGTAAATGTTTCTATACCAAATCCATTTTTTTAACCATTTTTGAACTCTCCTTCATATTTTGATTTTTTAGTCTTTAATATTCCTTTTCCATCAACTTAACCAAATTTCCATTCCCCATAATATTCAATATCATCTCCTTTTCTATAAAGACCTTCTCCATGCTTCAAAGAATTACACCAATTTCCTTCAAAAAAGCTACCATCAGCATACCAATAGGTTCCAAATCCTTAATGCTAATCATTTACAAATTCTCCATCATAAGATGTTCCATCTTAATTTCTTTCATAACCAATTCCATGTTTAGTATCGTTTTGAAAATCTCCTGCATAAAAATAATTCCCACTTGCAATTATACCTTTTCCATGTTTCCGTTAATTTAGTATCTCACCATAATAGGTTTTATCATTCTTTCTTATAAAAACAGCCTTATTCTTCAAGTCTTCATAATCGACATATTTATTTTTGTATTTGTTAATAAATTCATACATTTTATTATAATATTTTATTGTTCATAACTTTATATCAAATTCATATGCATGTAACTTAATTAATTCAGAATTAGATTATTTTATTGTTAATATTATACTTAGAAAAATATATGAAGAAATTATTAAAACTATTTTATATTTATTCACAAAAACCAAATGTCTAAAACACCAAATCGGATTATATTACCTGAATTGGAAAATAAGAGCTTTAGAGATACAAAACAAATTTAAGATTTAAGAAGAAAATTAGAATAATAACAGGACACTATAAAAGAACTTGTCAATTTAGTAAAAGAGTCTAAAACAGAATCATATAAGCCTTCATTCAATCAAACTATCATATAGCCAAAACCTGAAAAGGATGAAGTCACTTTATAGTTATTAGAAGAAGTAAAGACATTACGAAAATAAATAAATAACATTGAATAAGGTCCAAAATAATCTGTATAACATCCAATAATAATACCACAATATTTACCAGGTCCTCCTCAACAATAACAATAACCAATGATATCTCCATATATGTTTATGAATCCATACTTTCCTATGCCTCCTCCATTTATGTATCCATATCCATAATAATCTAATAATGATGATCCATATAAAAAAATAGTTTTAGAGTTACTTTAAAAAAATAATAAAATCAATAGAGATCTTAATTATAAATTAAGAGATTCATACTCAAGTGAATATACTGATGATCTCTATAGTAGAAATAATAGTAGATAACATAGACATCATTCAAATGTGGATAGAAGAAAGCATCATCCAAATGATAGATATAATTAAAGAAAGAATAGGGATAAAAAATAAATAAAGGATAGAAATTAAAATAAGATTAGAGATTAAGATGATTCAGATCATCATAGAACTATTAGTAGAACTTCTATGAATGATAGTTAAATGAGTTATAATTCAAATTAGAATGGGAAGAATAAAAAAAAGAATAATTAAAAGATTTTTACTGAAGAAGAGAAACTTAAATTAAGGAGAAAATTAATAGGATTATTTTGGTATATTAGAATTGGTTTAGTGCTTAGAAAATACTTGAAAAGAGTTTGGTTACAACGAAGACAAGAGTATTACGAAACTGAAGCATAGTAATTAATTGATAAATTCGATCATGAATTTGTAATTGATTTATCAAATTAAATAGAACTACAAAGAAGTTTTTATATTGTTTGTTGTTGAATGTAACAAAAACAAATATTTTACTAAAAATTGGAGTATCTTCGATAATAAAGAAGTTGAACTTAAATCTAAATTAATTTTTTCCATTATAACTGCCCTTTTTAAGAAAATACCGTTTATGACTAAAAATTCTATGACAGATGAACATAGATAATTTATTAAAAAAATATCAACTTCAGGTGGATATTTATTACCAGGTCATCCTTAATTTGTAACTGATAGGGTTGAATTAAGACCTAATGTTACAATAGGGTAAATTGTTTTAAATATTTAGATAAATAAATGCAGATGTTTCAAAGTTAATTCAAATGGATTATGTTTATATTCAAATTCTTGTTTAGAGAGTTATTCTTATTTATGAATGGTATTCTTAATTTTCTAAAATCCCAAATTATAAAGAGGCTATGAAAATATTTGTTACTTTATTGCATTAATTATTCATAGATCATTTTATTAATCTTCCAACATTTGAAAATCCTGATTAAATCTTTAATGTATATATTTAATTATTATATTATAGTAATAATAAATTGTGTATTGTGATTTTAATTAATAAAATTATATTGATGTGGCTATAAGTATTGATAGTAAACATTAGAAATATCAACCAACTAAAAATTGTTGTATTCTAGGTTTAGCATCTTATGAGGAAATGAGACCACTTTATGAATAGCCTGGTTATAAAGATATTTAAATTTAATTTAAGGAATATTGTGAATATTTTTATTAATCCTTAAACTTTTGAATACTATGCTTCATTATTATTACATAATATGATTATTTTAAGATTTCAAGAATGATAATAATCTAATTTTCTTGGTTTATTTATAAATTACATTGTTCTATTAAATTTAGAATTATAATATGATAATGTTTATTAAAGATATTTAACAGTAATTATTTAAATTTACCTAAAAAATATATAAAATTTATCAAAAATAACTTTTAGATAAAAATAATAATTTTAAGTTAGAAAAATATGAATAATTTTATAGACATGTTTATATATTATGTATAAGTTAATATTTCATTAGGTTGAATTTTGAGTATATTAAAGAGAGAGATAAATTATATTATTATATAGGTTTAAAATACTATTAAATTCCACATTTTATATGTTTATAATTTTAATAGAATTTTGTTAAAATATTATTCAATTTTAAGGATTTAGTATTTATATTGTTAATTTTGATTGTAAATAATTTGATTATATTCATTTATATAGTTGATTTTTTAATCTTAATTAATGTTTCAAATCCTTGTAAAATTTTGCCAAATATTACATTGTGAATTTGTTTGATAAATATTAATGTTAAATTCCACAACATAGCTTGCAAATCAATTACCAGTATTTAAAAGTTAAAACTACTCAGAATTGAAGGATTATTAAGATTTCTTAAAATTAATATAGAAATTTCACATTTAAAAATTCATGTTAAAAAGTAAAGAATAATTATATCACTATTTAACAAATTAGTGTTAAATTTAAAATGATAATTCTTAATCAGATTCAAATTCTAGTAATGAAAATTAAGGATCAGGATAATAAACAGAAGATTTGTCTAGAAATAAAATAAAAAATAAATCTGATAAAATATAAGCAAAACAATAAGATATTCTTGATAAATAATATCCACAAATATAAAATGAAGATATTAATTATAAAATTCAATCTATTGAAATTAAAAAAAATGATTATTAAAAAAAGGAACATGGAGGAAGAAAAGTAAAAGAAAATACAAAAAATAATGAGATATTAGAGAAACTTAAATCTATTCCTTTAATTTAAGACTTTGATGATGAAGATATTAGATAAATGGTAAATGATTTTTAATAGGAAGATAAAAAATAATCAAAGTAAAATAAGAATTCATAAACATTTAAAGATACTATATAAAGAGATGATTATTAATATAAATGGCCATAATGTAGAATAAGAATATTATAAGCTTTAACAATACTTATTGAAAAAAAAGTTGCAGTCCCAAAAATTCTATAAGATTTTAAAATCTTATAAAAGACTTACATTTATTCTCTATATTTAAAAGATTGTGATGATTTAGCTAATTAATTATGGTAAAAAGTAGGAGAGAATACAAGTGCTGATGATTAAATAAAAAATTATAGAACCAATTATAATACAGACTAATTAGAATTAATTTTAGAGATGATAAAACTTGTTTATGAGAAAAGAGATTAACATCGAGAATAAATAATAGCAACATGTTCAGGAATTATATTTTAAAAGAAATTAAGATAATTAAAAGATAAGGTAACTGCTAAAGCAAAATGTGCAGATAAGAAATGTGAATTAATAATTGCCTATTTAGAAAGAATTAATAATTATGTATTGACTGGACCTATAATTAATAAATATCAATATGGTGGTTGTAGTGAAGCTTAATTATTGCATCAAAAAATAATTAAGAAAGCAGCTAAGACTCTATTATACTCTGCCGTTTAACTTGATGTTCCAATTCCTGAAGTACTACAGTACTTATCTCTTAGGAAAAGCAGATATAATGTATAAGATAGACCAGAAGAATAAGGAATATATATATTACCAAGTGTAGAATTAGTGAAATTGATTGTTGATAAGTAAGGCATGGAAACTATTGCTTAATAATTAAAGATGAATGATTTTGACTATTTAGATTTTAAAGGTCTTGATTAATTAAATTTTGAACATTCAAATAAGAATATAGAGGATAGAGATGAAACAGTATTATATTCAGTACTTCAATTAGTATTAGATAGAATTGATGAATTGGATCAATTAAGTTTTGTTATTAATGATAGAAAATTTAAGGCATTATAATAAAAACTTAATGAATTATATAAAGATGATGTTTTTGGAGAACCGAATCAATAATAAGATATCCCTTAATTTGTAGGAAGTGTTATGAATAAAGTAGAATCCTATATTAAATCATCTAAGTCATAAGAGAGAGTTAAGACAAAATTATGTTGTATTAAAACTAAATTTTTTGATTCAGAAATCATAGTAAAATAAAATAATGAAAATTTAACAATAGAATAAATAGAATTTTGTAAACAATTATTCATTTTGTTTTTATCAGAAATATCTAGTAAAGACATAGCATTTCCTGATATTTTGAGATATTTTAAGTTTGTTGATGGTAAATTATTCTTTGATTTTAATTAAAAATTGATAGGAATTATGTTATTATGTAAAGCTATAAGATAATATTTCATTTCATGTATGGAAATGGATAGTGAATTTGATAAATAAATCACTGAAGATAATAAAATTATCATTAATTCAATTCCATTATTGAAATTAATAATAAAAGAAGAGTATTTGCCAGATTTATCTGAAATATTCAAAAAATAGATTTTAATTTTATCCCAACATAAAGAAGATTTAATTGTAGAAATAAGAGAGCTATTTAAATATTAACCTATTTGTGATATGATAAAATAACAAGATTTAGAAGATGAATATGAGGATACAATTTTAGATCTAAAATGCTTATACAAATTTATTTTTGAAGAAAATTCAGATTAAGATTAAGATTGATTCTTGAAATTATACATAATATATATTTGCATATTTTCTTTTTTAAATTCAATCTAAAAATGAATAAATTTGTAATCATGTTAAATTCTTAAAATTAGAATATCAAAGTTTTATTTTAATTTAACATAAAATAAGTTATTGATAAAATATTTTATATATATTTTTATTATTAATTTTAATTAATGAGCAACATATTTTTATGTTTTCATTATAAGTTGACCATTTAGTTGATAATAAACAGATAATTATTTTAAGTTAGTATCTGAGTGAAATAAATTATCTTAACTAACTCTAAGATCTATTTTTGTTCCTTAAATATATAGATCTACAGTAAATAATTAAATTTGAATAAATTTTCATTAACTATATAGGATAAATCTAATAAGAAATATTTCAATATTTTTACTTTTTTTAAGTATTTTGAAACATACTCTTTTTAATCACGTTTCATTAAAACCTTAATACGGTATACTTGTTTATACTATTAATATAAATAACCCTACCTATTTTACCTTAAATCAGGAGATCCTTCTTGACTGCTTTCTCATTTTGCTTTAACAATCTAATTGGCTATCAATATTATAAATTAATTTCCATTAATTTTGATGATTATGAATTTTAAGCATCATCTTAATGAAATTATTCCTCCTTTTTAATAAAATTAAATCAATTACAAAAATATGTGACAAAAGTTCAAGCTTAGAAAACTCAGAGATTAAAAACTATAAGATCTTCTTAAGGATTTAGAAAAGCTTAAGGCAGAACTCATTCAATGAAGAACAGTTGGTAATGCTTAGAAACTTGATAGAATTGGAGTAATAAAGAAGAGTTTATTTATCAACTTGTGAGAAGACAATGGCAAAATACTTAACCATCATTATTCAATAAAGAAGATATTAAGTTAAATGAAATACAAACTTCCTGTTTATCTAAGAGGTAAATAAACAAGAGCAATCAGATAAAGATTAACTAAAAGTGAAAAAGTTGGTTATATTTAAATATAAATTAGCTTAAAAGACTGTCAGATAATTAAAAAAACTTAAAAATTTTGCATTAAGAAAGTTTGATTCATTTATAATAATTATTTTTCATTATAATAATTCATAAAATTTGATGAATAAATTCTTTTGCAAATATTTAGATTTAATAAGATATGTTTTAGGATGAATTGAAAATTTAAAGATTTTTTTAATAAAACTAAATAAAAATCGATTAAGAAAATCATGATTAATATTTTTTTATTTATAATAATGTCCATCATTTTGTTCACCATAAATAAATCATTCTAACCTTTCTTTATGAAAGTTATTGCTGTATATTGAACATCTCTTAATTATTAAGTCTAAAATCCCCACTTCTCTATGATCTAATTATACTCCTATTCATTTATTGCATTTCATTTTCTCTTGCATAAGCTTATCTAAAATATTACTATTATTACCTTAAATTCAGAATTATACATCCATTGGTAGTTTTCATTGTAAGCAATAGTCTTTGTAAATCTTTTTGATCAAATTTACAATTTATTAAAGTTAATTTAAACTCATTTAAGTTATTTAAAGTATATCCTACTGTATTTAATTCAATATTTTATAAATTCAATGCTAATTTCCTTAAATTAGGACTTTTAATATTTTGTTATAAACTGAAAATTTAATCCATACGATCAGATTATAGTTATATTTCAAGTGTTTAGACTTATATAAACTTATTAAAAAATGTTTAACAATTTGTTAAATCAATAAATCCTCCAACTTCCAGATAAAATTATTAAAAATCATATCTATCTAATATAAGAAAATTTTCATTAATTATAATGGTTTCAGCATTTTGTACTTAATTTTATCTTATCATTTCTCTAATTTAATAGTAGGAATAACAAAAACCAGTTAATTATTTTTTTCTTTCTACATTAAATTTAAGATAAACTGCATTTCTAGTTTCAACATGTATCTCCAACTGTTAAAGTTGAATTTTTGGACAATAAGATAAAATGATATTTAAAAGCCAAAAATTTTCTGGAGCAATTTCATCTAATTGAAAATTTAACTTTAATTATTTTAGTTCACTCACTTATAAACATTTAAATATTGTAATAAGTTCTTCATCAAAATATAAAAATTTTTAAGCTTTTAGGATTTCCATACTTGATGTTATATTTACTAATACTAGTTTAAATTAAGCCTGTAACCTTTCCCTTCTCTTCTCTTCAAAGTTAGAATAATCTAATTGCGTGAAATCAATTTTATATTTTCTTTAATTTAAAATAAATCTATCTAATTTAGACACTATTGCAAATGATTTTGGATATTCTAATAAAATTGATTCTGAAGTTGAACTCAAATAAGACATCGATTAAAAAAACTAATCAACAGATACTTTTCTTAATATTAGAGCAGGTACAAAGAAATCTTTAACAACAACTGCTAATAAATCTTTCACTGCAAATACACCATCTTTTACACTACTTACAATTGAAAAACCCCAAGCATAATCCTTATTTGTTGTTAATATATATATAAAAAACTAAGGAATTTTATTTAAGGCTTCATCTACACTTGTTCTCCATATAATAGCTTAATAGATTGGAGATCTAGAGAATACCCATAAATTTTCTTCATCAAGAGCAGCATTTGGATACTTAAAAACAACAATTCCAATACTTTCTTTAAATTTGGCTGCATAACTCTTAAATCTAATGTAAGCCTTGACATTTATGTAAAGCAAATCTCTATTAATATTTTCTAATTGTACTCTAAAGCAAAGGAAAATGATCTTCATAACTAAATCCCAAATCTTTAAGAGATTGAAAATGAAAAATAGAAAAACAACTGAAATTGATTCATAAATAGCTGAATTCCTGAATAGTTTGACATAAAACATAGCAAATGATATCAATTATAATATAGGATTTAAAATCTATAATACAATAAGTGCCCAAATTAATCCATTTTTTTCTACTTAAATGAAATATACGTATTGCATTATTTAAAATGTTAAATTCAGCAATGATATAATAGTTTATAAGATACCTTAGAAAACGTTCATCATCTTAATTTTTTCGTAATATACATAACAATCAGCTAATTTTTTAAAACATCCTAATTATTCTTAAAGGATTACAAGTTTAGTAATTTAATTTATATTTTTTTCATTTTATTACCTAATTTATTCTAAATCTTCTCTTTAACCCCAAAGTTATTAGAATCTTTCTCTTTTTTCTTGTTCAGTTCCTGTAAGCTACCTATTTAATGTATCAGATAACATAATTTATTGCCGCTATTGATCTGGAGTAATCAAATAGAATATTTTTGAAATCTGTTAGTTTCTGTGTCCTGCTATCTAAGCCATTATATTTGATTATCTTTGAGTGCTTACTTATACTGTCTACCTTTTAATTTCACCTTAGGTTTCTTCTTGTTTATCATTATTCCAAATTTATCCTAAATTGATCATATCTTCTTAAACTATTTAACAGTTTTAAACTCTTTAGAATGTATTTTATAATTCATTTAATCTACCATCATATTTATAACATAATATGATCCGATTGATTTCTATATGGTATAGAGCATTTGCCAAATATTATAATGTTATTGAATCATATGAATCAATATTTGTAATAGCAATTATATTTTAAGCATTTAATCTTAAAATAAATTTAATTATTTAAATTATACACCTTCTTTTTTCATATTCATTTAATCTACTTGTATCTACTTGAAAGTAAAATGATTTTACATTTTCAAGATAAGATTCATCTGCTTTAAGTAGTTATTTTGTTTCTTGAATTTTTTAAATTCCGATTTTATGTAATTTCTCTTAAATATCAACTGTTATTTGACGATAAGTAGTTGTAAATACAATAAATTAAAGTTCAGTTAGATAGTAAATGATATTAGCTATTAAAAGAAAATAGTTGAAATTATTAAAATCATTCCATCTTTCAGTTGAAGCATTTAAAAATCCTTATATAAATAACATTGGAATTGTTTATGTTAAAAAGGTAATCATCATGGAAATCAAAGCAATACGATGGAATATTAGATCTCTAAAAATATTTACTGGTTTATTTCTTTTTTTAAACAACCCAGAAGGATTTCCTGATCTTTCTTCACTTGTCATTATTAAATACTTATTTATCTAACTGAATGAAAACTATTAAATCTCTTTGTTTCTACTGTAAAACAAAATAAATGGTAACAATTTTACGTAACTTAAGATTCCTACTATTGCATAGAAGAAATAATTCAATAGATCCCAACAAAGATGATGTCTTTACACACTCATATATTTATATGTGTAAATCCAAACATATATATGTAGTAATATAGTTAGGAATATTGAAAAATAATACAATCCTTCATATGTTTTATATTATGAAATGTTATTTACATTCCCATAATTTAAAGTGAATATTAGCTCCAATATTGTTGAAATATAAACAAGTATCTAAAATATAATTTTAGTATAATATTTATATTTTGAAGAGGATCTTTTAACTTCGTTAAATTTTCTATTTATAAGGTCAATTAGATCGACTAAAGAATCCATGTGCTCATGTTGTAATTAAGGCATAGCTTGATCTATAATTTATTCATTATTTATCCTTCCTTCTTCAGGATTATCTTACCTAATATTCAAAATCTCCATTTCTGGTGCTTGTTAATTGTTTTATTGAAGTTGTCTATTTTCTCTAACTACTGATTATTGTGTATTTAGGCTTTATGGATCGTTTTTCTATAGAAGAACTTAGGAGACTATTTCACTTCTATTTTCATTTGAACTCTGAAATAATCCAGTCTATTATCTGATATCTGATCGATTTGTGGTTTATTCATTACTTACCAACCCTTATTGAGATGACATTATTATAAAGCAATAAAAAATAATGAGTTAAAAATAAGTATCTTATTATATTTATAGGCCCTTATAATAATAAATATATTAAATAGATTGCCTATTCAGAATTATGAACTTTAATACACTTATTCAGCTATAGAAGCACTAAAGAGATGTATATTAATTTTTTATAATTTATAATAAATATGGTTTTTCCTTTTTTTCCAACAAATTGTTTGTGGATTCGTATAATTCTTTTAAATAAAGTGATTTAGAGGAATTCCTTTTGATTATACATAAGGAATTTACATTTCTAACAATAAATAATAAATAGAGTATTTTTTTTAAATTTTATTTAATTATAGATATTATTAAATTTTATTTTTAATTCTTTTTTTTTTATCGAAAATAATTAATCAAATAAATAATATAAATTAATTTATTTTGAAAAGTTCATTCATATCTCTAAAATTATAACATATAATCATGAATATACAGAATGTAGTTAAGAATAATAAAATCTTTTTATTAAATCCATTTTTTGTATGGTAAATAAATGAATATTCAATAATTGAAAATAAAACAATTATTATATTGGAATCATAAGGAAATTTGAAGAATGAAATATTTAAATATTATCATATTTTAATAATCAACAGCAACAAAGAATATTTTACATTTATTTATGATTAAAGTTAGAAATTTTTGAAAAATAAATTAAATTTAAACAATTATTTAGCTTCTCCTAATTTAAGTATTTTATGTGTTTTAAACAGAAAATATTGTGTATTTATTCGAACTTAATACTAATTGCTTTTTCTTGAGGATCAATTATATTATATAAGATTATGAAATTTGAATATATTCATAAAGTTCAATTAAGTTTAACTAATTTCCTTCCTTTTACCATTACAATACATTCAATATTACAAATTTGTTACGAAAACTAAGAAATTTTAAAATTTGAGCTTATTATTTGTTTCTGATTAGTATCATCAAGACAATTATGTTAATTTTAATAAAGCTTCTCTTAAAGTTCCTTAATTATTTTATTCATCACAAAATATTCCTTCTCATCATTACTCATTTTACCCAATTTGATTTTATTTTATTCCTACTTGATCAGATTATAATATCTGTTTTTTATTGTGTTTTCAGTTCTTCTTAATTAAAATATTGATAATGAAATTTCTGCCCATCTCTTGCCCTTTTTCTTTACTTCTGAAAATAACATCAACTCTTCTTCTTTAGTCCAAGGATCCCTAAATAAATTATAAAAAAACGATTTACTTTTTAATATTAGGGTCTAATTTATTAACCCATCTATCCCGACATTATTTTCCTTATCTAGCATAAGGGGTTTGACATTTCTTCATTAATTCAATAGCTATATCACACCATTTATTTGGATATTAATTATATAGTTAGATAAGGGCTTTGTCTTCCTCCAAAGTCCAACTTGCTTTAGCTTATTTATCCTAAAGCCATCTATTTCTACAGGCCTTCCAATTATGATTAATTATCAATTTAGATATTCTTTCCCAATCTTATATCATCTATAATATATGAATATTTTATACCAAATCATGAGGAAGTATATGATATGATAAACATACTCCAAACACAACAAAATTTAATAATTTGTCTTAGCTAGGGGTCCATGCACCTTTTTTGCTAAAATTACTTTTTTCAAAAGTATTAAAAAGAGTAGTTAATTCTTCTGATGTTGGAATTTAGTGTAAAGAGAAACAGTTGGTGGATAAGAGCTATTTTTTAAATTGATTGTCAATATTTGCAAATAAGTTTTATATTGCTTGGCGATCTAAAGAATTTTTTTTCATTACGATGTAATTCAAATATAATTAAGATATATAATTAATTTTTATCAAATGATGAAATAATGATTGAATATATATATGGTGTTTATTTAATATATATATATATAAATTAATTATTACTTATATTTTATTCTTTTTTATTATTGGTTATTAAAAGGAGTCGCTTTGCTTATCGTCATGATAAAACTTCATCTGCTGTTAATTATTTCAACTATCCTATAAGTATTTATGTGTAAAATTTCGAATTTAAGGAATAATTTTAAATTTTAATTAAAAATATTAATGATAAAATTCTCATCTAATTAAGTTTTGAAAAAGCTTCATTAATACATCATGAGATATTTATAGAGTTTTAATACTCTTAAATTGAAAAATGATAATTTAAATAAATGATTATTGTTTTTTGTTAGTAATGAATCAAAATGAAAAAATAATTATATTTTTGACTATTTTATAAAATAAGCTATTTTCTAAGTTTAAATTTATTCTAATTTATAGATTACGATGCGTTTCAAATCTCTAGAAATTACAAGTAAATTATATAAAATTATGGGAAAATATAACAATTATATTAATGCGAAAAAGTTAATGAATTTTTTAAAATAAGTTATATTAATTAATTAATTTCTGTAAAAATAAAAAATATTTTGATATTCTACTAAATTTAATAAACATAGGAGTAGCAATTATATTAACTAATCAGAAAACTGATTGAGTTTTAATATATATATGTTCCTTACTTTATTAGACTGGTTTTAAAAAAGACTAAATTTTTACAAAATCACATTATTTAATATTTAATCACAGATCAATGATATTTAAATTAAAATAATAAAATATAAAAACTTAAATATTTGACTAAATTTTATGCTTAGAAATCATTGAAATTTTATCTTACAAAAATAATTTTTAGATTTCAATAAATTAATATCTTTTTATATATCTGCTTATTAGTTTGTTATCTAAAAATAAAGAATAAAAAATTTGTAATTTTATTAAGGGTTACAATTCATTTTAATAAATATCTAACATTTAATGCAGTTATATTTAAATGTTAATCACTTATAATTCTTATAAAATTAGTGATTAATTTATGAATCTTATAATATCAATTTATAACTAAATGGATGAATAAATAAAACACAATATTTATTTATCATTTTATTAATAGGCAAATTGATTTTATTTTACAAACTTTAGTGATTATTAAAGTTAAAAGGTTTTATTAGATTAAATAAAAATAAATTATGTGTATTAATCAATAAATTTGATCATTGAATGTTTTATTATATATAACTTTGAGTAGTATATAATAGAAAAGGATTTTATAAATATTTAAGAATAATAGGGTTTAAAATATGTTTTCTTATTAACAATATTGAAGAAAAATGGAAGTTATTATGATGTTAGATTAATTGAATTTTAGTTTTGATGATATGATATAGAGACAGCTTCTAGTTAAAGTAAGTATTTGAGTATTATTTTTCATATAATTTACTAATTTGAATGTTATATTCTAAATATTGTTAGTCAGATTTTGATGGTTACGAGAAAATATAAGAACTTGGGAATGGAGCTTATGGGAAAGTTTTTTTAGTTAGAAAAGATGAGGAACTATTTGCTTTAAAAACTGTATGTATAATGGTAACATAGAGGTGCCTAAAGGAATATTTAATGATTTAAGTGAATAATAGTTATAGAAAGAAATTTAGATACATAAAAAACTAGTTCATACAAACATCATTAAGTTGCATTCTTATTATTAAGACAGACAACATGTTCATATGTTGATGGAATATGCAGATGGAGGTTCTTTATATCAAAAAAATTTAACATTGGATGAAGTTTAAGAATACTTTACATAAATTTGTAATGGAATCTATTATTTGCATTCTAATAATATAATTCATCGAGATCTAAAGGTAATACATTGGATTAACATGCAAGCCTGAGAATATATTATTAAAAAATAATGTGATTAAGTTATGTGATTTTGGATGGTCGGCTGAGGTTGGATATAATAAATAGAGAGATACTCTATGTGGGACTATTGATTATATGGCTCCTGAAGTTTCTTAAGGAAAATATTCATTCAAAGTAGATACTTGGTCATTGGGAATAATTCTTTATGAAATGATTCATCATTAGGTTCCTACTATTCCAAGAAAATATAACTGCCCAGATTTAGTTCAAAATTTGATTGAGAAATTATTAGTTCCTTAGGATGAGAGACTTAACATTACTGAAGTTCTATAGCATCCTTATGTGAAACAAGGGTAAGAGTATAGACAATCAGTGTTGAGTGTACATTCGTTAAATTTTAGCAAGTATCAAGTGGAAGGGTTGGATTTGTTTAATGAATTAGATGTATATTTGGAGTAATAAGATAGAGCAATAATCAGAATGACCGATATCTTTAAACCTAGGTAATCTAGGAAAGTGGCTGAATAATAAGTAACATAACAAACACCTAAAAAGAGTTTTTTTAATACAATACTTGATACATTAGGATGTATGAATAGAAGTAAGAAATAATCATCTGGATGAAGAATAAAAAATTAAATTATATCAATGATAAATAATTCATTTCGTAAAACACTTGTTGGATATCTCCATCCATTTGGTTGGCTCTCGACATATTATAATATGTCCACTTCACCTCATTCTGAATCTATTTCTCCCAGAGTAAGGATCATGCGTCCATCAAAACAAAAATTTAATATTTCTTTTAAAGAATTTGCAAGGCATTGTGAACGCCTCAAATAAGATAAAATTTCAGATATCAAAAAACAAATTTAATTGATTCCAGCAGCTAATCTTAATGAAATTTAGGACTTTGTTAATTCAAATAAGATAGAAGGAAAAATTAACAATATTGTAAAAGATTTTCAATTTCTTCCTGCAGAATATTAATAAATTCTAATCTCAAAAAATATAATAGCACCTACTCCTATATAAAAAGCTATTATTCCTTTAATATTAGAAGGAAGAGATGTGATTGCCATTGCTGAAACTGGATCTGGAAAAACTTTAGCATATGCTCTCCCAGGAATAATTCATTGTCAAGCACAACCAAAGGTACATGGTCCAAGAATTTTAGTCCTTGCCCCTACAAGAGAATTAGCATAATAGATTTAAACTCAATATGAACTTTTTACTAGAACTTGCTGTGTTTATGGAGGAGTTTTCAAGAATTTATAATATAGTGAAATATTAGGTATTAAAGAATCAAGAAATAAAATCAATCTACCCTCAGTAATAATTGGTACTCCTGGAAGATTATTAGATTTTATGAAAGATGGTTTGACTTTGAAATCAATTACTTAAGTAGTGTTAGATGAAGCTGATAGAATGTTAGATATGGGATTTGAGGAATAAATTAAATAAATTCTATAAGCAGTTAGAGAAGATAGATAAACATTATTTTTCAGTGCTACTTGGCCAAATGAAGTCTAAAGATTGGCTAATTCATTATGTATTTAAGATCCTATTCTCTTATAACTTGGAGAATAAGGATTATCAGTCAATAAAAATATATAATAAGAAGTCATTATTATTTATGAAAATAAATTTGAACAATTTGTTGAATTAACAGAAAGATTAAAGGGATAAAAATTACTTATTTTTTGTTAGAAGAAGATAGACACTTAAAAATTAGAGTATCGTTTATCATTACACGGATTGAAAGCTAGATATTTACATGGTGATTTAAAACAAGCTGAAAGAGACTTTATTATGGATGATTTTAAGACCGGAGCTATCAATTGTTTGATCACAACAAATTTAGCATCTAGAGGTTTGGATGTTTCTGATGTTGATGTTGTTGTAAGTATTCTCATTTGATTATAGATTAATTATGATTTCCCAGACAATATTGAAGACTATATTCATAGAATTGGAAGAACTGGCAGAGCTGGCAAAAGAGGATTGGCCATTAGTCTTTTAGAACCAGCATATATTAATAATAGACTTAAAAATGATTTGGTTTAAGTTCTTTAATAATCTGACTAAGTAATCCCTTAAGAGTTATTTAACTTAAGGTTATGATTTTATAATGTTTTATGACTATTTTTATTAAAAATATTTCATTAATTTTATAAAACAAAAAATTTTAATCTAATTATTAAGAAGAAAGAAGTAGAGGGATCAAAAAATAGTTAAAATGAGATTAATCAAATTTTTATGATTTACAGATATATCATTTTTTTCAATTAAAGTAAAATTTAATATTAATAATATTAAAAACAGTATTAATTTTTTAATAAGAGAATATTAATAAAAAAGGATTAATTGTAAATATACAACTAAATGTAAATCAAAATTTTATTCATCGAAGAAAAGCTATTAACAATAAAAAATAGAAGTAAAATAATAGTAAATATATCAAAAATATAAATTTTATAATTTTTTCTTTATAATTTTATAGATCAGGCTTAACTTTTATAGAGCTGTTCAATTTGTTTGGAAAATACTTATTTTGCAATATGCCTTTGTAACTTGAATGTAGATGTTAAACATCCAAAATTTTATAATGGTTAAGGTTCTAAATGTATTAATTTTGCCTAAAAAAATAAATAATTTAAATAATACAATTTCTAAGGAATTAAGTTTATTTGCTCTTCCATAGTCATTAATATTTTTTTAGAACAAACCAATAATTTCTGGATTTTTGCACAACTACTCAAAATCACCTTGAATTTATTTTTCAGCGGCATGTTTTTCAACAAATTCTTTCTAAGGAACAATTATGGCTACAATTTAACTTTAAAGGGAATCTCCATAAATGAATGACTCTGCTACACCTTAAACTCTATTATAAATTGCTTCAATCTTCTCTGGAGCAATATATTCGCCTTATTAAAGTTTGAAGATGTTTTTCTTTCTATCAATAATTTTGACTCCTCCATTTTCAGTAATGAGACCAATATCTCCTGTATGCAACCATCCAGCAGCATCTATAGCTTCAGCTGTTTTTTCTGGGTCCTTGTAATATCCTTAAAAAACTCCATATCCTCTTAAACAAATTTCACCTCTAGGTGTTTTTACACCATTCACAACATCTAATGATGTGTAATTCATATCAGGAACATCCACTAATTTAAATTCTGTATTTGCAGCAGGTCCTCCAAGATGAGCAGACTTTGGATCCCATACACCTGTAGAGAAGGATAATGCTGTTGATTCTGTTTAACCATATCCCTCAAGTATTGGACAACAAGCAGCTATTTTGAGAAAATCAATAACTTCTTATTGAATAGGAGCAGAACCAGTGATCATTAATCTACATCTACCTCCAAATAGATCTCTGACTCCTTGGAATGCTTTATCATATAAACCACTTGTATATTTGGCTTCTGTTCTTAGATTTTCTAATTTAACTCTGATAGCTCTTTCTGCAAATGATTTCTTCAAACCTGTAACTTCATTTATTTTAGCTTTAATTCCATCATAAAACTTATTATATAATCTAGGAACTGAAGCAAAGACTGTTGGTCTAAGTTTTTAAATGTCTTCCTTCAATAAATTGGGATCACCTCGATAGAATCTATATATTATTGATTATAATACCCTATACAAGCACCAGTAAAAAGCATAGTAAGTATAATTAATCTCTCCATTACATGTGGTAATGGCAAATATGATAAATGAACATCATTTTAATTGATTCCAGCATCAGTTGCTTAGGTACTTGCAATAGATGAAATGAAATTGCCATGAGAAAGTATTGCTCCTTTAGGATTTCCTGTAGTGCCAGATGTATAACACAATGTAAAAATGGTAGAAGGTAAAACTTAAGCAGGTTGCACAATTTATTTTTTTCCGTTTTCAATTATTTCTTCGTATTTAAACAATTGATATCCCTTGTTTTTCAATTCTGAAGTTTGTTAATCTGATATTGGATCAAGTAAAACCAAGTTTTTTAATTTATACTTTTCTTTGCATTATATCAATGATTTAGTTGCATCCCCACTAATAAGCATGGTTTCTATGTTAGTCTAATCAAGAATAAAGGGTATTGATTCAGGACCAAGAGTATCATAAAAAGGTACCATAGTATAACCGTAAATGATATTAGCCCAATCTAAGATCATCCACTCTCTTCTATTTTTTGCAAAGACTCCTATCAATTTTAATTTATAGTGTTGATATTCTTGTACTTCTTTCACTAAATTCAAGTTAGAAATTCTAAAATCAATTTAATGTATTACCCACTTCCTAAATGGATTGCTTCCTCATTTACTTAATTGTATGACATAAATTTGAAATTATCTCCTTCATATTTACCCATACATGGTTGATTTCCAAATTTTGCAACACTATTATTAATCATCTCTTATAATGTTGTGATTCCTTGTTGTGGAATCATAAGTAACTGATTTGCATATTTTACATTTCTCCTAATAGTAGTTTAGCCTTAATTCTACTCTAAAGAACCTGGTTCATTTTCTGTTATCTTCTCTTACGAATATCTCATAAATTAATGAGCATTAGATACACCACAACCCATTATAATCAGATATATAATTAAATTTTAAGTAATCTCATTAACAATCGATTATTATATTACCATATTACATCATTAATTAAACTGTTATTAAATCTTGTTTAGCATTATCAAATTAAATATTTTTAATACAATTTATATAATTTTAAACACACAATGAATATAAATCAATCAACTTCTTCCATCTTTGATTTTGTGGCTTCAGTGTTAGCATCCTCTTTTTTCTAAGAAAAATATAAATTATTAATAATACCTCTAATTATGGAAGTTTTTCATCTTCTTCTTCAATACCAGCATCATCAATGGATAAACCAAGTTTAATCATCTTGTGGATTCTGTTAGCAAAATGAGTTGGGTCATCAAGACTAAATCCAGAAGTGAGTAAAGCAGTTTCATAAAGTAACCAGATAAGATCTTTGACTGTCTTATCACTCTTATCCTTATCTGATTTCTTCTTTAATTCAGTAAGAATTGGATGATTAGCATTGATTTCTAATGTCTTCTTTGACATCATATAGCTGCTCATTGATGGATCTCTCAAAGCTTAAGCTTTCATGATTCTTTCCATATTAGCAGACCATCCATATTCACCAGTAACTAAAACACATGGTGATTAATCAAGTCTTTATCCTAATTAGACCTTTTCAACCTTATCTCCCAAGATTTCTTTGATTAATTTGCATAATCCTTCAAAGGCAGATTTTTATTCTTCAAATTTCTTCTTTTCATCTTCAGTTTAATCTAAATCTAATCCTTCCTTTGTGCAATTCTTTAATTTCTTTCCATCAAATTCTTTCAATTATTAAATGACATATTCATCAATTGGATCAATCATATAAAGAACTTCATAATCCTTCTTCTTCAAAGCTTCAACAAATGGTGATGCAGCAACTGAAGCTTTTGATTCTCCTGTAATGAAGAAGATATCCTTTTATCCTTCCTTCATTTTTCCAACATAATCCTTGAGTGAAATTTATTCTTCACCACTCTTTGATGTGTGGAATCTAAGGAATTCACTCAATTTAGTTCTATTGGCTGAATCTTCATGGATACCTAATTTAAGATTTTTTGAAAATTGTTCATAGAATTTCTTGTAATCTTCAGCATTTTCACTGATTTCTTAGAACATTTCAATACATTTCTTGGTGATATTCTTCTTGATAACTTTCAAGATCTTGTTGTGTTATAAGAATTCTCTTGAAATATTTAAGGGTAAGTCTTCAGAATCAACAACTCCCTTAACGAATCCCAAATATTCAGGGATCAATTCTTCACAGTCATCCATAATGAATACTCTTCTGACATACAATTTGATATTGTTCTTCTTCTTCTTTGTTTCGAACAAATCAAATGGTGCTCTCTTTGGAATGAAGAGAACAGCTTTGAATTCCAAACCTCCTTCAACTGAGAATTATTTGACTGACAAATGTTCTTCCCAATCATTTGTCAATTATTTATAGAAGTTAGCATATTCTTCTTTGGTGATTTCTTCTGGTTTCTTCATCCATAAAGGCTTGTTCTTATTAACTTATTCGAATTCTGTACTAACTTCCTTAATCTTCTTCTTCTTCTTTTCAGCCTTGTCTTTTTCTTCTTAGACTTCACCTTCTTCAGCCTTCTTTTCCTTATTTTCATCTTCATCATCACTTACTTCCTTTTCTGTAGTCTTTTCAATTTATAATTCAATTGGGAATCCAATGAATTCTGAATGTTTCTTAACCAAATCCTTAATTCTCTTTTCTTCCAAGAATTCCAAGTTATCTTACTTCATGTGTAAGATAATGGTTGAACCTCTTGTTAATTAGACTGGGTTCTCAGAGTCATCATAGACAAAGAATGTTCCACCAGCTTATGATTCCCATCTATATTATTATTCACCAACAGCCTTTGAGATGACAACAACCTTATCAGCAACCAAGTAAGCAGAGTAGAAACCAACACCAAATTGTCCAATCATAGAAATATCAGCTCCTGAGCTCAAAGCTTCCATGAAGGCCTTGGTACCTGATTTTGCAATGGTACCCAAGTTATTAATCATTTCATCTCTTGTCATACCAATACCTGTATCTTAAATAGTCAAAGTATTGTTATTTTTATCTGGAATAATCTTGATCTTGAAATTTGGTTCAATGTTTAAACCAGCACTGTCTGGGTCTGTAATAGACTTATATCTAATCTTATCTAAAGCATCTGAAGCATTGGAGATCAATTCTCTCAAGAAAATTTCTTTGTTTGAATAGAATGTATTGATAATTAAACCCATCAATTGTTGGATATCTGCATTGAAGTGGAATTGTTCTTCTTTCTTTTACTCTGTTGACATTACTAAATTTTAAACTAAATAATATGCATCAATGGAACTCGATTTTATACACAAATTCTGTTTCTAGAAATTTCTGTTTTCAAATTTATATTGAAATGGAATTCTATAAAAAATAATATAAATTGTATTCTAATTCAAATATAATGTATTATTCTTTAATACTTATAATGAATACTTTAATCAATATTTTTATGCTATATCATATAAGAAAGTTTTAATAATGAGTTATTCTCTTAATAACACAGATTATTTATAGTTCTATCATTAATGTAACAATTTACTTCATTATATATGCCCATTTTTGTTTAGATTGCATAAATCTTATAGTTAAAATTTGAAATATTAATATGAAATCATAAAATCAAAATAGAATTCAATTGTTAAAAAGTATAATAAATTTTCTGTTTTTGGTATCCGAAAAAATAAACTAAAATTAAGAAATCATAAAAGTGTTATTTTAAAGGATTCAAAAATGTGATAATTAATTTAGGGTAGTTATATGATCTTTATAATTATAGTTAATTTAAAAGATTTATAGATAAAAGTGAGAAAATAGTAATAATTCAAAGGATATGCAATAATTAAATGAATAGTTATTATAAATAAATGAAATATTATACTAATGCAAAGGATTATTAATCATAAGGTTAAATAAAATATTATTAAAAGGAAAAGTCTAATTATTAAAGGGTGTTTGATTAAATATAAATGAAATATATAATTGATTAAATTAAAATTATTTAGAAAATTAAATAGTTTTAAGAATGATAGGATGTATTTAATGAATATATTGTAAATAATAGAAATAATATTACAATTATATGGGGATTATTGAATTAGTCATATTTTATTTAGTTATTTATAAATGATAAGGAATTACTAATAAAAATGTGCCTAAATAATTAATAAAAAGATTTAAATAAAAAATCAAATTTTTATCAGGAATGGCAGCAAATAAGTTCTGGAAAAAAACTGAAGTAAGAGTATATGTTCAATAATGAGTTAACAAATTTGGAATAATAAGTTGGTGTTGCATTGACCTAAATCGAGCAATCAGTCACAGAAGCCAAGAATCTTAAGGTTTCATCAGTTGTTGATTATACAGCAAAGATCAATGCTAAGAAACAAGTTTATTTAGTATTCATCCCTCATCCATGCTTATCAATCTATAATAAAGTGAGGTATTCAATTGTGTAAATTGCTTAGCTCAAAATTATTACCAGAATTAGAGAAGAGATTGAAGGCAACAATATTAGTTGTTGCAAAAAGAACAATTGAAAGCAAATGGGTTAAAAATCATAGATCACAAACAAGACCAAATTCAAGAACACTCACATCTGTCTATGATGGACTTCTTGATGATCTTGTTGCACCATCTACAATTTTAGGAAGAAGAACAAGAGTTAGAGTTGATGGTACTAAATTCTATAGAATGTATTATTGAATATTTAAAATTAGCTTTTTGGATGAATAAGATTAAAATGAAGTTGAACCAAGACTTGATGCAATCAAAGCTGTCTATAAATTATTAACAACAAGAGAATTAGAATTTGAATTCAGAAGAGATGATGTCTTCTACTCAAAAAGAGGTGGAGCCAAGAAAACAACAAAAAAATGATGAGCATTAATATTTTAGTACAATATAATAAATACACCAAATAAACATTTATTTTACTTCTTTTAACAATAAAAATCAATCATATTTCATAATTTTTTTATAGAACATTTAAGAATAAGTAAATAATCACTATTATAAATTTGTTTTAGAATATAATGCTCTTCTTAGAGTATCTGCTGTCATCCCTCTCCTTCTAGAATTGTTTTAATTTTAATGAAAATCTATAAGTTTCGATAATTTAAAGATAGTTTATACTTCAGCACCCAACTTTCTAATTATTTATTTACTTAAATTACTACCATTAGATGTGTCTTGATCATTTTCAGCTTCTTATAACACATCATCATAAGCCTTTTAATAGTTAATAATGAATACCGAATATATTTTCGAATACATTTTAGCATCTGCTTATAGATTGTAATGTATTTTATTTAATGATTCTAATTCTTAAGATGTTTCATCCCTAAAATTAATAATAAGCTTTACTATTTAGTGTTATTGCTTCTAGTTCTTTCTTCTACTATTGTCCTATTAAATACTTCTTTTGTATTATCTAAGGATATCAAAGGTTTTGGAGCAAAATTGAACATCAATAATTATTACTATGTAAAAATTACTTCTTTAAGTTTCTCTAAATCATTTAATTTTGTTAGTATATTAAATAAATCAATTTATTCAGTAATTTGATCTCTAATTATTTGAATGAATAAATAATTTACATAGCTTTATTCATCAATTAAATATGTTTTTTATGTCTAAATACTTTTTAACAAGTCAAAAAATTTATTAACATTTAAAAAGTCATTAAAATTGGTTATGATCTTTAAATTAAATTTTAAATTTGTAATTAGAAATATTCTAAACCATTTGAACAATTTAACTTAAATGCCATAGCTTCTTATTCATAAATAAATTTATTTTTTTTAATATTATTTTCTGTTTATTTTTTTGATGTATTGCGTTATTATGATGATGGACTCATTTATTCACTAAATTTCAGTAATTCATTTTTTGATTTTTAATTTATAGTACTTTAATGTAAAGGTTAAATTTCTAAATCTACATCAGAATTCCGTGGTTTATCTTATTATGGCATTTTATCTTGTTTATACTAAATCATTTAATTCACCAAATCTAAATTATCTTAATAATATTTTTCTTTTTGAAAAGATACTAAAGTAAATTCATACAATTTATTAGCTAATTCAACAAGAACTTTAAAAATATTAAATTATTTATATACGTTAAAATCTATTATAAATTGTTAAGATTGTTCCAATAAAAAAAATGAAGATTTATTAAATGCCTCCTAAATTAGATAATAATTCATCTATTTTCAAATATTTTCTAAATATTTTTATTTTATAAGGACTCTTCCTTATTTAGATTTATACAAAGGATTAAACTTAAGTATTTTATATTTCTGTTCTCTCTTTAATTTCTGATTGATCTAATGTATAAAATTAAGAATATTCTAAATAACTAAACGGAAATAGACTTTGATCATTGGTGACTTCATATTCTTTGATAAATAAATCTACAGATTTATAAATATTTGATGGAAGAAATCTGAAAAAGAATGAATCATCTAAAAATGTTTACAAATAATTATCTTCTGGTTTGTAGGGATTCAGAATCTAAATTATAATATAATTTACTTTATTTATTGGAAACAATTTAATTTTAAATGCACCATTTTTATCGATTTCTTATTATAATTCATCATTTGAAGCACAATTTGTTTTATTGGAACAAGTTTGCACTTGTATTTTCAAAAATTCAAATTCTAAATCTAAACAATTAATATATATTTTATATACTTGAATACGTTCCTTATATTGAAAATGATTGGTTGTAACTATAAATATACTTAAAAAAACACTTACTCAAAGCATAAAAAATCATATAATTTAAATTGATTGAATTAGTCTGTCATATCTCTTCCAAATTTAGAGAATATTTTATTAAAACGATCTATAGTACAAGGTATTAATTTGATTTCTGATTCTTTCTAAATTACTGATCCATTCAAAAATTTTTGAATATGATATTAATCTATTTTAATGTCATAAAAAGGTTTAGATAAAAAGTTATCTTAATCTATTTGAACAGCGAATAAAAAAAATGAATCATCTATTATTGATAATGATGGAATTTCTTCAAATTCAGTTAAAACTGTTGCACTTAAACTTTCTTTGTTGAAAAAGGATGTTATATTTGATGAGAATATCAAAATTAAAATCATTAGCAGAATTAAAGAGGAACATCCTCCGAAAACAGTTTTGTATGAGCTTTGTCTATTCATTCTTAATGTTATTGATTATCCAAATATATCCATTTTTGAGATCCCTACAATCAATATATATTATTACAATTGCCAATTCTTTTCATTCTCAAACACTTATTATATTTTAATTAATAAACAATCTATTTCATTGTTTTTGCATTGCTCTAAATATATATAAAGATTAAAACGTATTAAATTATTGAAATCACATTCTTATATTGTTTCTATAATTAAATTATAATATATTCTTATTATAGATTTTAATCCTCTAGTATATTTATTTATAATTTAGGATTAAAATATATGCTATAAAAGTTATTTTATCTTAAAAAAATGAAAATCATTTATTTCGATTATTTATTTGATCCATAATATTAATTGAGTCAATTAAATAAATAATGATTAGCATACATTTAAGGACAATTTTTAAAATTGTAAGACTTTTTTTAATAATTAAATTAAGTAATATATTATATATATTATATCATCATTTTATATTATTAAAATTATTAATGAGAGTTAGAGTTCCACCAAAAGAACATGAATTGATTGGGAAATCTTTGGATAATAATTCAATTCATAAAAGAAGATAAGAATTATGGGAAAAATAGATGGGGTCCAATTAAGTATGTTAAGGATATATTTCTAACACTCAGGGAAGTACTGAGTCAGGAATTAAATAGTTTTTATCATCAATGAGGAAAAATGGAAGTTTTCAATAAATAGAAAGTCAATTTAAACCTAATATTACAGATAATGAAACTGAAACGCCCAATAAATCATAACTGAAGATTACAGAGACATAATTATTTACACCATTGCAAAAAAATACATAAAAAAATTAGACCACTTATGATATATTATCATAAATATATGAATTATAAAATAGAAAGAGTAGAAATCAATCACTTTTAGAGGAATTAATGAGAAAAACTAAATAAGCAAATGACAATTTAACGTTTCAAAGAATATTATAAAGGAAAAAGTATTATAAAAGATCATAGAGATGTTAATCAGTGGCTTAAAAGGAATATGAATTAGAATAATTAAAAGGTTAATTGATTTAAGTGAAATAAGTTCAAGTTTAATAAATTTAAAAGGAACAAACTCCTAAATAACAAGAGAAATTGGTTCCACTTTTGATTAGAAAAGATAAAACAAGAAGTCCACCATCTAAAGATAATGAAAGAAAGAAAATACAAGTTCCTATTTGCAAAGCCAAAAAAATAGTTATTGATGATACTAGATTTTGGGATATTGGATTTACTAAATTTATATAGAATCCAAGTTATTAGGAAATCAATTAATTAATTAATTTCTGTAATGGTATTCAAGTAATTCCAGCATTACATTAAAAATATTATAAATTATTTGTAGGTAGAGGCAATAATCATATGATGATAAAAGGAATATTTAATTTAAGACCATAATGGAGTATTGCAAATTCAATTGATGATGATACTGAAATTAATTTTGTTTGGACTTAAAAATTCATTGATTTACAACCTTCAGAAATAAAGTCTATTCCTCAAACTATTATATCTGAGGAAATTAATAGTTGGATTGATTCTTAATAAATGAGTTTGATAAGATAAGCTTGGGATAAGGCTGAAGGAAAATCAAAAAAGAAATTAAATGAATATAATATAGATAGTCCACCAATCTTAAATAATGTAAATATATTATATTTATTAATTTAAGTTACATAATTATAAGGAATTAACTCAATTAAATCATTAAACTATGAACATTCGTATTCATAACCATCTTAAATGTGGTAATCAATTAGGTGACAAAAAATGGTTGTTTCATAATCTTTCTGAATATTGTTCAGAATAAAGTATTGATGTATGGAATTATATTCCATTAACTTATCATATACATGGCCCAACAGATCGAGAATTTATTAATTTCTAATAAACATTCTAGCATCTGTCTTAAGACAAGGATATTAAAAATATATGGATAATCAAACCAGGAGAGGATAGTAATAGAGGCAATGGAATCAAAGGTATTCTAATTAATATTAACATTTTAATAGTAACAAATCAAATGTAAGAAATTGTCCAACACATTTCTCAATAAGGACATACGTTTATTCTTTAAAAATACATAGAAAATCCATTTTTATATCAAAAAAGAAAATTTGATATAAGAGGTTATTGTTTGATTACTATTATGAATGGAATTAAAAGAGGTATCCTTTGCTGATAGAAATAGTTTATTAGTTTATTGGTACAAAAAAGGTTATTTGAGAACATCAAGTAGTTTCTTTACTTTGGAATCTTTAGACAATCAGAAAATACATTTAACTAATGATGCTATATAAAATAAATTAAATGGCTATGGAAAATTTGAAAAAGGAAATAAAGTCTCTTATGAATAATTTTAAGCATATTTGATAGAACATAACAAGTAAAATAGCACATTTTACAGTTTCGATGAATTATATGCTGATATGAAGGTATGGTATTTATATTTAATTAAGGCTCTTACTAAATTGGCCACTCAATCAGCTATAGATAAAATCACTAATGAGGATTAAATTTTGGGATTTGAATTGTACGGTTTAGATTTTATGATTTCGAACAATTTTAAACCAATTCTTATAGAATTTAATACTAATCCTTGTATAGAAACTGGTTGTCCTGTTTTGACTAAAATAATAACAGGTCTTTTAGAAAATCTTATGAGATTCATTATTGATCCTTTATTTCCAGCTAAAAGAATGGGAAATGATGATTTCATGAATAAAAATGATTTTGAATTATTATTATCATGTTGAAATATAGTATTATATGAAGATTTATAAAATAAATAAATTTATTTGTCTTACTTGAAGAGTTCTAAGGTGAGTTGTAATCATATATAAATTTATTGTTATATTAATTTAAATTTGAAATAAATGAATTTCGATAAAAGTCTAAAAAATAGGCCAACTCTATCTTTCACAGGATTTTCACCATCAAAATCAAATATTAATATTGAGGCTTCTCGAAAGAATCTGCAAAGTTCATCCTTTGGATCACCACATCATGCATAATCACTTGAGGCTTAATTGAAATAAGAATTTGAAGCTTAATATAATGAAAGAATTTTAACAATGCGAAGTTTTTATGATATGAAATATTAAACACTCTTTGAAACAGTTAAAGAAGCACTTGATAAAGTAGATTTTTAAATATACAAAGTTAGATTATGAATGATGAATTAATTGATACAATGAGACAAGATATCACCTCATAAGAATTTGTTTATTAGAGAGTAAGAGAGATGTTTGAAGAAATAATACTTAGTGAAAGAGAAGTATTAATAGAAAAGCTTTCTTCTTAATATGCATATCTCAAAATGGAATTTGGAAAAATTGAATAAGATAAAAGAAAAGTATAATTATCATCAATTATGTAGTTAGCAATAGAATTATAAATAATATAAGATGAGTAAGCTGATAAAGAAGCATAGGCTTAAAATTAGGTTTAATAAGCTTAGGAATAAATTTCATATTTATAACAGAATAATGATTAGCTGTAATTATTTATTATTTAAGTTAAGGAATAATAAGGTTTCTTAATTAGAATAAAAACTTTCTTCTGCTAATTAAACTGCTAAGGAAGTTCAATAACTTTAGACTACAGCTAAAGAATATAATATATTAAAGGAAGAATATGAATAATTAGTTTAAACAAATGAAAAATTATAATTAATAAATAAATAGTAAGTTTAAGAAATAGAATAATTACATAAGATAAGTGAAAATTTATAGTTAAAAGTATAATAATTGAATAAAATTTATTAAGAATTAGAGGGAGAAGTGATTTCATATAAAAAAAAATCAAGTGATTCAGAATCTAAGACATAGTTTACAATTTCTAATTTATAAAATTAATTAGAAGCTGTAACATTATAATTCACTCAATAAAAAAGTGAATATGAAAAAAGATTAGAAAAGGAAGCATAAACTTATTAAAATGAAATTCATAAATTAAGTTAAAAATTATAAAAGAAAAAAGAGAAGTCTACATTTCATAAATAAAATGCAAAATAATTATAAATTAGATTAGATTAATTAATAAGAGATCATGCTGAATAATTATAAAATGAAACTTAATAGTTTCAAAGAAAGATTAATGAATTGTAATAATAAAATTAATTTTAATTATAATAAGCTTAAAAATCTTTAGATGATTTGAAAGAATCTCATGATAAAAATATTTATAATTTAAGAAACTAATTTGAATAAATAAATAAACAATAATGTGATGATTCAGATAAATAGAAAATAAATTTATTAAATGAATTAGATAGAGTTTAAAGTGAACTTGAATCTGTTGTTTTATAATAACAATAATAAATTGAAAGTAATTATATTCCTAAAATATAATATGAATAATAAGTGAATGAATTATAAAAGAAAATAATAGAAACTAATTAAAAACTAAAAGAATAAGATGCTCTAATGAAAAAATAATAAGATGAATTTGAAAATTATAAGGAATAATGGAATAGATAATAAAATAAATTACATTTAGATGTTAAAGATAGAAATGAAATTTAAGAATAACTTTTAGCAAGAGAAGAAACAATTAATAATTAAAATAAATAAATATCTTAATTAACTTAATAAGTTAAGATGTTAGAATCTGATTATTAAAGATTATAAGAGAGATCTAAATAATAATTAGAATATATTGAAGAATTGAAAAATGATGTAAGTAATCGTTAAAGTGAAGTTCTTAAAATCTAAAAATAATTAAAGTAATAAAAAGATGAACTTATGGAATAATATAGATAATTAGAGGGAGAAAATAAAAGTAAAAATGATAAAGTTTAATTATTAAATTCATAATTAGAAAGATTATTGAATGAATCATCTGAAAATGAAAAATTATTAAATTATAAAAGCAAAGAATTACAATAATTAGAAGATGAACTTATGTAATATTAAAATTTTAAACGTAATGCTTAACAATTATCAGAAGAAAATGAATAATTAAGAATCTAAATTGATAAATTAATTAATATATAAGAATTATAAGAATAAAAATAGGAAGAAATTAAACGATAATTAGATACTGAATAAAAATAAAAGAATTAATTGATACTTAATAATGAATCACTTATGTAAAGACATTAAAAATATGTAAAAACTATCAAAGTAAAATATATATATTAATAAATTAGGAATAAAGAAAATATATTAAAAGAAGAATTGTTAGTGAACTTTAAAAAATTAAATAAGAACATGCTAGTTTAGAATAATATTTAAGATAAATTATGAGAATGAAGAACAATGAAGACAATTTATTGATTGCATCAATTGTTACTAAAGTTAAAGATTTATGGAATAGAAAGGAAATATAACATGAAAATGAAATTGTATCAATATTTATTTTATTATAAGCTAAAAATTAGGAATGAAATATTTGATTAATATAGTGGAAGTGCATCACATTTAAGAACTGCATATGAATAAACTTTAGATGAGACATAAAAATAATTTGAATAATAAATAGAGAATTTAAGAGATGCAAAAGAAAAAATGGAAGATGAAAATAAAGAATTATTACATGAATTATAGAAAGTATAAGTAATTTTAGAAGATTAATCAGCTTTGATTACTAATTTAAAGAATGAAAATAAAACATTGAAAAGTAATGGTATGCTTATTGAAAATGAATTATCTACTACTTTGAAAAATATGAATGATGTAAATATATATTATTATTATTAATTTATAGATGAAAGATTCTTTTGAAGATTAAATATAAGAATTAACTAAATAATTAAAAAAGTATGAAAGAAAATAATAACATTAATAAGATTTGAAAGGCTAAATTGATATTTTATAAAATGAATTAGAAAAATTAAGAACTCTTAATAGATCTAATACTTAAGAAACAGAAAATAGAATTGCTAAATTAGTTAAATAATAATAATCAGAAGTTTAATTATTAATCAATTAATTTTAAAGAGAATAAATTAAACTTAGATAAGAATAAACAGATCTTAAGGATCAATTATCTTAAAATGAAGAGATTATACATAAGTTATATTAATCACTTGATGATGTTAACTCAATTGTTAATTAAAAAGATAAATAATTGTAGAATTTAATTGAGGATATTGAATAAGAAAGAGCATCTGATTAATAAAAAATAACTGATCTATAGAATAAGTAAAATATTATATATATATATAATATTAGATTGAGAAGAGAAGAGGATGAAATGAAAGTCACTAGATAAAAAGGTTAAAGAGATATTGAAAAGATTTAACTATAAATAGCTTCAGCTGAATCAGAAATTAGTTAATTTAAGATAGAGAACAAATAACTAAGAATATAATGTGAATCATTAGCAGAAGAATTAGAAAAGAAGACAAAATAATTTGATTAATTGAATCGTGAATATGAAGATTAGAAAATTATTTAAAATTAAGAAATTGCTGATTTACATAAGTAATAATATAAATTAATAATATTAGATTGCTTAAAATACAAGTATAAAATGATGACATGTCAAATTATTATAGTGAAAGTAAAGAATTGGCTTTAAGAGTTAAGGAATTATAAAAAATTAATTCATAATTCTCTGATACTAATTATCCAAGAAGATAAGAATCATCTGTATAAAAATTTGACAGTTCTAAAAAATTAAATTCAAGTAACAACTTGAAACCTCGCCTGGCTAATTATACTCCCATGACCAAGAAATGAGGTGGTAATTAAATATATATAATAAATAATATAAAACTAAAAGTTAAAGTTTTTTTATATGTTTTTATATTTATATGTATTTTAAAATTAAAAAAATATAATTATTTATATAATTATTTTATTAATATATTACTTAAGTTATTAATGACTATTACTAAAATTTAGTTTAGATTAATTTCAGCTTTTCTTTGTTAATTTCTAAAGGATTTCTAGCTCTAAAATATTTTTTGTTTTATGTTAGTCTATAATTAATATTTCCACTAAAATTTGATGAACTATAATATAAAAATATATTAGATATTCTAAAATAAGATGGGAACAATTAAATATATGAATCATCATTATTAATTAATGATATGGTATATTTCCACAAGATTTATATAAATTTAGATTTATAAAAGAAAATATCAGATAATCTATTTATTTATAATTGTGGAGATATATATAGGAATTTCAGAACGATTTAAAAATTAATATAAATAATAAATTATTTCTCATGTAGAAAGCAGAATAAGTTGAAGATAATCAACTACTTACAAATAAATCGACAGCAAAACCTAATTAACAAATTGAATCTCTTGCCACTTAGAAGATGGTTCCTTACAAAGAGCTTTTTAGATATGCCACTCAGTCAGACAAATTTTTAATTTTGATTGGCATAATAGCATCAGCAGGGAATGGAGTAACTATGCCTATGTTCTCTGTGATATTTGGTGATATGACTGATGCATTTTCAGGAGAGGATCCTGATAAAATGGTTAGTGCAGCTGGAGAATGTGCTATGTATACATAGAGAATTAATATAATTTAGATGGTTCATAGTTTTAGCTGGATGTTCTTGGTTGCTTTCATTTTTAAGTTTCGCAACATTCATGATATCTGGAGAAAGACAATCTATTATAATGAGAAAAGAATATTTTGCTGCAATCCTAAAATAGGAGGTTGGTTGGTTTGATTCAATAAATCCAAATGAACTTAACACTAAAGTAGCTGATGAAACATTTGCAGTAGAGGGTGCCATTTAAGAAAAGGCTGGAACCTTTATAATGACTTTTGCCACATTTATATGTGGATTTATAATTGGATATTCATAGTATAAAAATATTACTATTATTAGTGGTTGGTAACTGGCTTTAGTGATTACAGCAGCAATGCCATGTTTAGCCATTTCAGTAGTTATAATGACAGTAGTAGTGATGAAATCTGTTAAAGCAACTTAGGAATGTTACTCTACAGCTGCTGCTGAATCTGAATAAGCTTTGAATGCTATAAAAACAGTTAAAATGTTAGATGGAGAAGATTTTGAATGTGAAAAATATTCAAGACAATTAGTTGTGGCAGCCAGAACTAATGTAAAATATAGTCTATTCTCTGGAATGGCTTTAGGATCTATATTTGCATTTATGATATGGACTTATGCATTAGGTTTTTATTATGGATCAAAATTAATTTCTGATTAAGAAATGAACTCTAATACTGGAATGATTTATACTGTTGGAGATGTTATGACTGTTTTCTTTGCTATTTTGATGGGTAGCTTTTCAATAGGATAAGCTGGTCCATGTTATTAGGCATTTGCAAAAGGAAAAGTAGCTGGAGCATAAATCTTTTTTATTATAGATCGTATTCCAAAGATATTAAATCCAATTAATCCAAAACCATTAAAAAATTTTAATGGTGAAATTATTATTGAAGATGTAGATTTCTTTTATCCAGCTAGACCAGATACATAAATTTTAAATAAATGTTCTTTAAAAATACCTAAAGGTAAGAAAGTAGCTTTAGTTGGAGAGAGTGGTTGTGGAAAGTCCACAATTTTATAATTAATAGAAAGATTTTATGATGTAAATGAAGGAAGAGTTTTAGTAGGTGAAGATAAGTTAGATGTGAGAGATTTAAATTTAAAAGATTACAGAACTTAAATTGGTTTAGTTGGATAAGAACCTATGTTATTTGCAACTAGTATTAGAGATAATCTATTATATGGTAAAACAGATGCTACTGAAGAAGAATTAATAGATGCATTAAAAAAAGTGAATGCTTGGGATTTTGTTAGTAAAATGGATAAAGGATTAGATACTTATGTAGGAATGGGTGGAAGTTAATTAAGTGGTGGTTAAAAATAAAGAATTGCCATAGCCAGAGCAATTCTTAAAAAACCTAAAGTTTTATTATTAGATGAAGCAACTAGTGCATTAGATAGAACAAATGAAAAGTTGATCTAAGAGACTCTTGATGAAGTATCACAAGGTATTACTACTATAGTTATTGCTCACAGATTGAGTACAATCTAAAATGCTGATATTATTTATGTATTTGCAGGTGGAAAAGTAGTTGAAACAGGTACTCATGAAGAACTTATGAATTTACATGGAAAATATGAATAATTAGCAAAAAATTAAATTACATCTCATTAAAAAGAAGAGTAGTAATAAGGAAATAATTAATAGAAAAATTAATAATAAAAAGATTTACTTAATCAATAGGATGTAGATGTAGGATCTGTTTTGTCTGTTAATTAATTTGATAAAGAATAACCAAATGTTGTTGAAAAAGCAATAAAGGAAATATAAGATATTAAACATTTGAACATATAATTTAAAAACAAAGATCAAAATAACTTTTAGGAAATGAAAACTTAAACTACTTAAAATGATTCTAATGATGCTTAAATTATGACAAGATTGTTTAGTTATGGAAAAGAAGAAAGATGCATTTTGATATTAGGATTATTATCAGCTCTTATTAATGGTTGCATATTCCCATGTTTTTCTTTATTTTTCTCTGATATGATTACATTACTTGCAGAAAGTGATCCTAATCTATACCCTAATAATTAAATTAGAGATATACAGATGGAAAAAGTAAAGGATGAATCAGCAGATATAGCATTATGGTTTTTCTTATTTGGTTTAGGATTTTTAGTATTTTAATCTTTAGAGAATTTCTTTTTATCTATTGTTGCAGAAAACTTAACCATGAAATTAAGAAATTTCACTTTTAGGAAATTACTTAGAATGCCTATAGCTTTCTTTGATAAACCTGAAAATAATGCTGGAACATTAACTGCTAGATTAAGTGTAGATTGTAAAACAGTTTAGAGTTTGACTTCTACTATTATTGGATTTAAAATTTAAAATGCTTCTGCACTTATTTGTGGTATGGCAATAGCATTTTCTTCAAGTTGGGCTTTAACTTTGATAGTTTTAGCTACTGCACCATTTAGATTTATTGGTATGAAATTAAGAACTAAATATATGGGAGCTTTAAGTGGTTCTAATAAAGGAGATGGTTTTAAAGATGCTGGAAATTTAATTATGGAGGCAGTAACAAATATTAGAACAGTATATTCTTTTGGAAATGAAAATATCATTTTAGATGTATTTATACAATATTATAAAAATAGGATTACACAAAGAGAATTTAAGAACCTTTAGAACATTGTACATCAAAGGGTCTTTAAGCAGGTAGTGCATTTGGATTTTCATAAATGCAACCAATGCTCATCAATGCACTTGTCTTTTATTGTGGAGCTTTATTAGTAAAATATTAAGGCTTAGATGTAAATGATATGTTTAGAGCAATTTTTGGGATTACATTTGCTACAATGGGTGGTGCTAGAGACTCACATTTTGTAGGAGATGTGGATAAAGGAAGAATTGCAGCTAAAAATATTTTTGAGATTTTGGATTCTGTTGATGAATTTTAAATAGAAGAATGTAATTATTAATATATTATTTAATTAGAAAAATAATTTAAGAGATTAAAAACCTAAATTAAAGGACATATAGAATGTAAAAATTTGACATTCAAATATCCAACAAGAGAAAAGAATGTATTTTCAAATTTAAGTTTAACAATACCTTCTGGATAAAAGGTTGCTTTTGTTGGATCAAGTGGTTGTGGTAAATCAACTATTATGTAAATGCTTATGAGATTCTATGATCCAGATTAAGGAGAAATATTGGTTGATGGATTGGATATTAGAGATTATGACATAAGACATTTAAGAAAATAATTAGCTATTGTATCATAAGAACCAGTTTTATTTAATGGAACTATTAAAGAAAATATACAATATAATTTGAAAGATATTAGTATGGAATAAATAGAATAAGCTGCAAAAAAGGCTAATGCTTATGACTTTATTGTTAATGATTAATTCGAAAATGCTTCTGATGAAAAATAATAAGATTTTGGAAAAGGATTTCATAAAAGAGTAGGACCAAAAGGATCATAAATATCAGGAGGATAAAAATAAAGAATAGCTATAGCTAGAGCAGTACTTAGGAATGCAAATATACTTTTATTAGATGAAGCAACAAGTGCATTAGATGCTAAATCTGAAGAGATTGTATAAGAAAGTCTTAATAACATAATGAAAGAAAATACTACTTTATCAATAGCTCATAGAATATCAACAATAAAAGTAAAAATATTATATAATATAATTAGGATTCTGATATCATTTATGTGTTTGACAATGGTATGATTGTAGAATAAGGTAATTACAATTATTTGGTTGGACTCAAATAATTCTTTTACAGAATGGAAAAAGGAATAGCAATAACTTCTACCAATAATTCTTGATTTTATTTATTTTATTAAGATTTTTATATTTATATAACTAATAAAAAAATTAAAGAATCTTTGATTATATTAAGAAACTAAAAAAGATAATAAATATTGATACTTATTAAGATTAGCCTAAATAAATAGTATCAAAATTTACTTTTGGTTTCTAATTAAAAAAAAGTCATTACAAACATTATGATTTTATATTTATTTTCTAATTATATTATATTAAAATTCATTTGCCCATATATCTTCATTAAAATCATAATAATCTATTTTAAACAATTAAAAAATAATGGGATGCGCAGCTGGATATTCTCTTTAATAAGATTAAGATTAATCTATTTAACTCAGACATGATTAAATATTATTATTAGATAGTCCTATAAAAAACTTATACTAACCTAAAACAATCGAATCAACCTCTAATTGTAAATCACTTTAAAGATGTGATGAAGATGATGATTTAGAGAATGTTTTTTCAGAATGTCTTAAATTGGAGGAAGACTTAATAAATACAAATATAAGAATTCTTAAGAAGAATGAAAAATAATTATATGATCATAATGAAAATTCATAATCAAATACATTTTCTCAGACATCTATATGTCTTAATATAAGACGAAATCTATTTTTAAATAATTACAAATATCAAGATAAGAATGACTATATTCCTAAAAGCATTTTGAAAAGAAAGCGGTTAAAAGATGGTAAAATAATTTTAGGCAAGATAAGAAGCAAGATAACACAATAAAAGGTTGTGAGATTTAGTAAATGTTATATAAAAGTGATGCCAGACATCTTAACTTCAAAGAACATTATTAATGTTTAATAATTAATTGAGAAATGATTTTAATATTTATATCAAAATATAAATGATCTTTTTTAGTTATATCAATAATTAATATTAGATTAAATTAAAGATAAAGAAAGAAATATGATAAAGAATGAAAATGAGCTATTTTTGAACTTTTCTTTACTCCATTTAACAAGGTAAAGTAATTTAGTAAAATTTAATTATATAAATTTTATTAAGACTTATAAATCGACATAACAAATACATTCATTATAAAATTTATTTTATGTACACTGATCCTGTGGCAGAATTACTAAGACCAAAACAATCAAATTTAATTAAATCAAGTGACTCTGTAGGATCCTATCGTCCAAAAAGTATATAATCAAATCGTAGTAACAAAAATATAATATCACAATAATAATAACGCCCTCCTTCTTAATAATCTTAAATTGGAAGTAATGGTGGAAAACGAATAGTTCATATTGGTAGAAATGGAAAAAAAATTGAATAATTATCAAGTGTTGCACCATCAAAGACAAGTTAAGATCTTTGTTATGAATTCGATCCATTTATTTTAGATTAAATTAGTCCAGAAGATCCAATTTGGAGATAGATTTTGCCAGACAATATGTCATTAGATGAATAAACTTTAGAAAAATTATTGGAAGATAATCCAGATTATTTTTATCATCATCTTGGATTTTGTGCATGCTATCGATGTAAATGTGGTAGATGCAGATGTGATGTCTCGAATTAAGTTAAATTAAAGATTAATGGATCTTTTTTAACTGTTTATGATAAGGATTTTATTCCTCATAAATCAAGTTATAATAATCTAACACCCTTAAATTCTAAGACATATGCTACAAAGTTTCTCGATTAAAAGACAATCGATTTTACTACATCTCATCAATAAGACTATAAGGAAATGCCAATATAATCAACTGAAAGTTTTAAACCTCCTTATAGACCATAATTGGGATCAATGTCCAATCTAACTAATTATAGGGTATTTTCTAATAATATATTAAGTCTAATTATAGTAATTGGGGTAATAATTATTAGAGATTTAGTCGATATCCTCATATAAGTACAAGTACAGACATTAAATTTATTGGTAAAACATAATATTAAGATTCATTTGTTCCACCTACTAGTTGGAAAGTTGAAAGCTAAACTTACTTTAAAAGTGAACTGTAAATTATATATATTAATTATCAAAGTTCTCCAATGCCTACAGGTCCCTTTGTAGGAATGACTACAAGTTAATAAAATTTTTAACCATTTAAAGTAACAAGAAGTCCTCAAAAACCAACACATCATGTAGTTTTATAATATCTAATAATATCTTTAGAAATATGAAACTACTCCATCCTTTGATGGATAATTTACATCTACAGGAATGAAAGATTTTACTCAATAATAAGATGATTATTGTCCAGCTAAACAATTTCAGAAAATATTTAGAAAAAAATTGGCATAAAAAGTGGAGAAGAAAAAAGAAAATTTTATAGAACGTAGAATTAATAATGCAATGAAAAATTGATTATTCTAAGTTCATTTCATTTCATGGAATTATCAAATATTATAGTATTATCAAAAAAAAGAATATTAAACCCAAATGTAATAATTAAATAATGAAACTGTTAACATATCAATAATTTTACTCTATTAAATTATTATTATTATTATACATTGATTATCTTAATAGTTATAATTATTAATAGAGTACTTTTCTTATTTATACTTAATAATTCAAAGATAATTGAATTTATTATGATAATAGAAATTGTCTTTATTTTTATTTTAAGATGCATTCTTATAATTAATTTAATCAGAAATAGATTTAAAATTTAGATTATTTATAAAATTCCTACTTAGATATTTAGAATATAATATTATGATAATGGATAACTAATAAACAAAATCAATTTATTAATAAGAATAAATTCTAAAGATTATGGAATGTTAATAAATATTAAAAATAAAATTTAAATAAATCAAGAAAAGTTTTTATATTTGTTGAAAGTTTTAAAAGATCATAATTTATATATTTATATTAATTATTTCTTATATTAAAAAAGATATAATTAATATATTGATAGAGGATATTTAGATTATTTAGAGATTCTAAATATTATATTGATCCAAGATATTTTGGATATATTAATTGAAATTAAATTTATATGATTTTCAAAATGAATATATTTGCTAAAATTTTTAAGCAATCATCTCTTCTTTTTCTTTACTAGTCAAGAAATTGAACTTCTCCAAATAATCATCAACTTTCTAGGTTAATAGCTATAAAATATAATAAAAATTTAATACTTATTTCTTAACAACTCTATCAAACAAAATGGTATCCAAAACATAAATCGACAAATTATTTATAGCATTGTCTTAATCTTCACTTTCTCCCTTTTCATCCTATAATTACATATAATAATTGATCAAAATATCACGATAGTTCTCTTCAAATTAAGCTGATGGTGCAGGCAACAATTCTGATATATATTTTTCATTAGCTTAATTCTACATTTGAAACAAAATAGTTCTAAATATAATATTATAAAATACTGTAATTATTATTAAATTACTTAAAAATGAGTCATCTATATTTAGAAATCCTCTTCACATAATTTAACAAAGGCTGTAAATTATGGGAAGGTATAAAGTTCAAAGAAATATGCACATTAATAAATATTTCTTTGTGTTTTTAAAATTTCCAAGAAACGATCCATTTCAATAATTAATTTCTTTGATATAATGAAAGCAGGAAGAAACACCTAAAATAAAATTAAATATATATTACATTTGTATTTTGAGTGTGTTTTCTTTAATGTATTTCATTTAATACAGTACCTAAAAATACAAGTGTATTTCTTTCATTAAGATATTTCTCAAACACATTATTTAAATCAGTAGTCTTCTATTACTAAAGATATTTTTATTAAAGAGCTTCCTATAATAATTTTTCATCATTTGAATTATCCATAACTTATTTTTGTTCTAATTTTGGAACATCAGATTATAATTTCTTTATCATATCTTAATTATTGATATTATCAAATTTTTATTAATTTTACTAATAGACTTACTTATTCATTTTCAAATCTACCTATTTGGCTACAACCTATTCCACTGTTAATTAACACAAGGCTATAGTTAATAAATTAAAAAATGAATACCTGGATTTACAACTTAATTAGAAAATAAAGGTGATTCATACAACTAATTCCATTATAATCTTTATTTTGGATCTGGATTAAGCATTCTAATTAATAATTCTTATGATTCTTTAGATATTTTAATATTATTTCTTGTAAAATTAGGCTAATCTTTAATAATAATACTATAGAGTTTTACTTGTTTTAACATCTTTTAAGAAATCATTATAACTTTTAATACTGAATGGGAGTACACCAAAAAGCATCTAATAGTAAATGGCACCAATAGAAAACATATCAGCTAGAATTCCATATGGTTTAAATTCAATGATTTCAGGTGCCATAGTTCCTAAAGTACCTAATGCTTCTTTGACTACTCCATCTAAGCTCTCCATTCTTTTAGCAAAACCTAAATCTCCTATTTTTAGAACATTATTAGAGATTAGTATATTAGGCAATTTTAAATCTCGATGAATAACATTCATTTCATGCAATCTATAATTTTTTAATACATTTACCCTCTCATACCATTTAATATCTATTTTATATACTAAATAGCCTCTACTTCAGAGATTATTCTATTCTTTTTCTTCCACAATTATTCAAGATCTCCTTCTAAAATAGTTTAATAAATTTCATTTACAATTACAATATTCCATCACTAAATAACAATTATTTTCACTCTCTAGATACTTATTCATCTTAACAACATTAATATTACTGCATTAAGCTAATACTTAAACTTCTGTCTTTAATAATTATCCTACCAATCCATTATGTTCTCTCCTAAACATAATCAAATCAAATAGATTACAATTTTGATTTTGGTACAGACTTAATGGCAACTGATTCTTTAGTAATTATATTCTAAGCAGAAAAAACCTAAATTAATTTCAATGAAAGCATTACTTATCCAAAGGCTCCTGTGCCTAATACATCTACAAGGATATAATCATCAATCTTCTTTCCAACAAAGTTCCTACTCTATTAATTATTCATAAAATAATTATTTAGCTTTCTATAGTAACTTTAGAAATAAACGATATCATTTTCATATATATTTATAGATGTAAATAAATTTCTATTAATATAATGAATCACATCTAATACTTTCCAGTCCCATCTGACATTGGTCTGATTTGAGATAGTTTTAGATTTCTAAAACTCTTTTTAATCATGCGACTTCTCTTTAAAGTACGTTCAGAATCTTATTCTGAACCTCTTCTTGATTCTTCTAATTCAAATTTTGGAATTATTACCTATTAATACCTATATTTTTCAAAAAATATTTCTGGATAAATCATATACTTTAATAATATAGATTAGTAATTCCTTAATTGATTATCGAATGTATTCTATTGTTTATAAAAGTACATCTTTTCTAATATTTAGTCTAAGTTATTCTAAACTTAATAGTATTTATATTTCTTATAAGATTCCATAACTTAAATTTGATCTTTCTTTTAAAATTCATTTAATTACTCAATTTGCATTTATAATTTAATCTCTAACAACATAGTATCTTAGATGTCTTTCTCTTATAGAATTTGTTTTTTTCCATCCTATATTTATTTTATTCTAATTCGAACTTTTGATAATAATCCTTTAAGTAATTGTTAAGATTGAATTACTTCTAAGAATTGATTAATAATTGATTTTGTTTCCTTTTTTAATTTTTATCTTTTTTTCATTCTATTCATATTTGTTATCATTTAAACAACTTTCTTCATTTTTTGAAAGCTTTCTTTTGGTCTTTTTCTATATAAATCTAAACTAAAAGATGCTCTACTTTAACTACCCTATATTATTTTATCTTTAGGAGAATTATCTTAATTATCTTCTTCTTTTATAATCATAAGATTATTATTGAAAATATTTTAGTTTCTTGCTTTACTCATTAGAGATGCTTTTAATTATTTATCATCAATATCTAATAATTCTATTGTCTTTGTTCTCTATTTAAATAATGTAGCTTTTTTTTTTATTTATGGAGGTTCTAAATTAATCTTAGTAGATTAATCAGAAATAGGTTAAATAGTATTAATAATATTTTGTGATTATTATTATAAATTATGATTACTTAATTCTAAAATTGGTCCAATTTATTATTATTAATGAACATCACTTTTTTTTAATGAATCATCTTCTGGTTCTTCATAAAATTCTGCCCATTTCCAATTATTATTATTAAATGAATTTGCTTCTTATTCTATTACTTCTTAATCAAAACGTGCTGCAAAGTATCCTCTTTATCTAAATGGATTTCTCTCATATTTTGAATTTCTATTTTAAGATTGACTATAACAATATCTTTTTATAATCAATTCTTTATCAGGAATATAATGTAATAAAGGACATTATAATACTCTATGATATTTTGAATTACAACTAAAACATTTCATTTGTAAAACACTTAAATCTTCAAATTATAGACTATCATAAAGATTTCTAAATCTTTCATAATCTTCTGGAAAATCTTATATTACTTTTAAAAAGTCATCTCTTGAAAGCATTAATAATTTAGAAAATCCAACACTTCTAAATCTCTCCTAAGATTATTTACCACTTATAAAACTAATAATACCTAAACTAGAACCTTTACCAACCTTAAAAACCTCAGCAATTTATGGATTTTCAAGTACTTAATCAACTGAATCATTTTGAATAAATATTTGAATTTCTCCAAATTCAACAAAACAAACAAATAATTAACCTGGTGGTAATTGAGGAAATATTGAATCAAAGTTTATAATATTTTCAGGTTATATTACAGCTTATTTTATTTTATTAACTAATTTTGATTTTAAAGCATCACTAAAATTATGTTAAAATAATGGACATTCATTTAAAATCAAAGAATTTGATTGATTCATTAATTTCTCTTTAAGATTCTCTGATAATTAATTAATAATTTCATTAAGTTCATCATTTTCAACTTAATTTTATGATTCCCAATAATAATTTAAATATTCTCTAATCTAATATTGCAATTAATATTCAATTTTTCTATTTTACATATATGAATTTATTTTTCTCATTTTTCTCATCTTTTCTTACCCATAAGCTGAAATAGTATCAATAATTGCTCCAACAGTACTTACACTGTAACTCAATTAAATACTACATATCATCATATATAAAATAGCTACTACTCTTTCTAAATAACTAATTGGTACTACATCTCCATAACCTATTGTAAACATAGTAACTGTTGAAAAGTAAAATGAATACAAATATTGTACTTACCAAGTTTCATTTTCAACATGATAAAATTCTAACCAACTTCCTTTTTCTGAATATAAATAACTATAATAACCAACCTAAAGAAATATTAAATTAATATATATACAAAATACCAAAGACATGAATAGCAATGTAAAACAAAGAATAAAACTAATAATAATTTAAATAATTCTAATAATGAACTACTTGGCTTTGATAAATTCAGAGTTTCTTCAACTTAACTTATTAATTTTGGAATATTCCTACATTATACATAAAATAATAGCATAATTAAATCCCACCATTCTGTTAATAAATTAAATTCTTATTAAGATGAATTTGAAATCATTGCATAAATAATAACAATTAATATAGATATTGCTTCCAAACCATAACTTTTACTAATTACATTTTTGGCTATTGTTGCTCTATTACTAACTATTTATCCAAATTAATAAAAGGAACTATTAAAACTCAAAATGAAATCAAAAACCAACAATAATATCATAAGAATTGTTGGAATATATAGTTCACCATATATAATCTAATATTTATCCCATGCTAAATCTATTGGAATTGTAAATAGAAAATATAATCTACTCATCATTACTATACAATCCCATACTATTTTCAATCTGGATTCAGGAGTAATTAATGGAATTTTCTCTATTTCTTATTCTAATTTTTTTATTAAATTATTTTTGCAGGTCTTTAGATAAGTAATTTATTTTTTTATCTTTTTTGACAATTCTCTATTTTTTATAGATTGATAATTCTTACTTATTTTTAACAAATTACTATAACCCATCAGAAGATTGACTAAATTAGCTTACCATTGGTTTCAAATTCAATGCACTATCACGAAACAGTTTTAAATTAAAAGAAGACCCTAAATCTTGTATAATATTGTATTAATAAAGATTGAATTATGAATTTATTTTCTTTTTCCAACTTATTCTGTTAATAAATCGTTTTATAAAACAAAATTAGATTACACTAAATATTTATTGTTAAGGGAATTATTGAGGATCTAAAGATTTTTAGTTTTTCTTATTCATTAAAAACTTATTCGTTGGACTGCTTAGAGAAGAATCAAAAGTAACTCTCTTAGATTCATGAGCTTTATGTTTTGAACTTTAACTAGGGATATTATTATTAGTGTTGACTCTTGAACCTTGAATAGAGAAATTACCTTCTGATAATGAATAATTGAGAAAATCTTAAATTTCACCTATAGGCTCATCCGTTAACATTAACTAATTTAATTTTGAGATTGGCTCTTCAGTGTCTTACTAAATTTAATTCATATTTAAAATAATTATGTTAAAATCTAATAATCTAAGTTGTTTTTATCGCATTGAACTGGAATTTTATCATCATTAATTGAATATATAAAAATTGCTTACTTTAAGTTAGAGTAAAATATATTGAAAAAATAAATAAATTTATATTCAATAATTTTGTCATTCAACTAATTATTAATGTTCTATTAACAATCATATCATTCATCAAGATTTACTACTTAAATTAAAGAATCAAACAATTATTTATAGACTTTATCTAAAATTATTACATTTTATAAATAAATTGAAAATAAAATGAAAATCTATTATAATTTTAAATTATATCTTCGAATAAAGAATGATCTATTTAATTAAGATCATTGTTATTATAATAAAATATATAGGTATATATATATGATATTCAAATTATTTTTATTTTTAATAAAACCCTTCCAATTTATATTTCTTAAACTTCTTTTAGTAATTTTAGTTTATTTTGAATGATTCTTAATGTACCAAATTTACTGTTTTAATCTTCTATATACCAGTATTTTTCATATGAGATAATGGCATGATTTCTTGAAACTGAGATATCTTGACATCTGATCTCACTATTATGTCCTCTACCAATTGATACAGAACATGTCCCAAAAGCATGCATAAATGTCAAACTTTTTGAGAGACTCTCTTGTCTTGTGATTTATTCTAAAATAATATAAGGACCATCTAATTTCTCAACTTGAATCATTTAAAGAGGTTCTGATTAATTTTCAATATAAACACGAGCAGGGAGGGGATCTTTACAAACCTACTTAAATATAAATAACTTACATCACATTCTAATACTTTATTCCAATGATATTGAACTGTATTTTAAGTTTATTTACATGAAATTCGATTTTGAAAATTAACCCATTATTTTAGACATTCAAAATGTACATATGCCATTAATCCTTTACAACTACATAAATCTTAAAGAAATGGATTTTTTGGATCTTCTGTTTCTTCTTAATCATCCATTAAACAAAATCTACATTATCTTGGGTCTTTTTTCTTTTATATTTTAATATGTCTTTCTAAATTATAATGATCTTGGGCCATCATTACTTTATCACCATTGTTCAACTCGGATACAAAATATTCCCTTGTATTTAGGGTAACTTTTACATTCTTCCAAATTTAAAAAGATCACCGACTAATAACTATTATTTTTATTTTGGATCTATTTTCACATATGCATCTTAATAATCTGAATTACTTTTAAAATCTAAAAATGAATTATTATCTATTTACATATAGCATTGTCTTCAAAACTTATTGAACCTATACAATCTCCAAATAATTTATCAGATTAGATTATTGTGTCAGAATTATCTTCTGTTATAATATAAATTATATATTGTACCATTTAAAATTAAGTTAGTTGTGTTTTTTACATTAATTTTAGATGTCTTTAATTCTTTAGATTCATAATCGAATAGTCCATGATTGTTATGAGTCCAAGTTGCAATTTCAATTAAAACCTGCATAAGAATATAAAAATTATTTTATTAAAATATTTCAATGATTGAAGAATGGGAATATCGTAACAACTTATAATATACTAAAAATGAGATATTTTAAGTTCTTTTACTCAAGAACAATGTATGGCTCAGTATAAGAGAAATTGAAGATATTCTTAAATAAAGACCAGATTATGGCTCAATTCATATTAAAATTAGAGATGCAATTGAAGATTCAATCAATAATGATAAAAATAATGATAAAAATAAAGATGAATACTAAATTGTTAGTAACAAATTATCAATTATGAATACTAATAATACAACAGGAAAGTATAGACTTAAAACAGAAAATATAAATGACAAAAAATAATTGGAAGAATTTTTCCAAGATAAAAAATGCATATTGTATGTGAATCACATTTGGTTTGAATCAGTAATTAATAATCAAAATTAATTAATAGTGTTATCCATAAATGAGATAAGACATCATAGCATTAGAATCAGAGGCAAAATTATTAGTTTCTAAGGGAAGAGATAATAAAAAAACATATATATACATAAATTCCAATTATGCAAATTTTTAAGAGAAAATGTAATTTAAAAAAGATTAAAGAATAATATAAATGATTGAAGAAGCAAAGATTTAGAATTTAGAATATGTTGCATCATATCAACATTTACGTTAGAATTAAATCAAAGCATAAGAAACTTTTCGAAGAAACACTGCTATCTAAAATTATTGGATTACAGAACTATAATAAGAATTATAAAGAAAATGAAAATTAATTATAAATTAAACCCAAAAATTCATTTTTTTTTTATAGAGAATTTATATCAAAAATGATTAGTAATTAATATAAACTAGTCACTTTATTTATTTTAATGAAACATTAGATTTTAGTCTTAATTCTTATGAAGTTTTGCAATTAGGTTTTGGATATTTGGCAATGTGATATAAATTTGAAGACTCTTTTGAAGGTGTTATACCTTTAACAACACTATTATTAAAACTATTCACACTTGGTTCTTTACGTAATTTCTAAAACTAATTTAATGATTTTGAAATTGCTAAAATTCCACCATTTGAACTTCTTCTACTAATATCATTCTTTTAAGGAGATTTGCTAAACTAAAATTATGAAACTTCAATTTATTTTTTTTGTTCTTATAATTAAGTCAACATATTGTTGAGTTATAATATTTCTTATTCCAATAAAGCTTTATTAGGTTTTTCCTTAGATAATAGTTACTCTTAAGTATTCTCAATTGCTAACTTTATTGTATTCAAACATCTCTATAATTCTTATTCTTAATTATTAAAATAATCTATTTTTCTCTTAAATTCCTACTCTAAATATTAAATATCTTATTCTATTTTATTTTAACGATCTATATAAGGTTTTTCACTTCCACTTAATTTATCTAATTCTTTTTTTGCATTATTTATTGATTATCCAATATTCTTTAATTATGGAAGTATTTCTTAGTCAACCATTTAAATATTTGTTTTAATTGCTTAATCAAATAGGTAATACTATTAAAGTACTTTATATGTGTTATTAAATTATTCCTAATTAATTATAATTCAATTTTACTTCTTCTTAATCTTGCATCAATTATTACATCTATTTGAAAGTCTAATCAAGGATAGACCTATATTCTGCATTTCCAAATTCATTTAATATATGATTAAGTTCCTTTTCATTTTAATCCTAATACTATTAAAATGCCTCTTCATTTTATTAACTAACTCTTTCTTAAAATTAATCATATAATCTATTATTTAAATAGATATTTACATTTCTCTTCTATATAGAGCTTAAGATTTTTCTTCTTCAAATTCTTTAATCTATTATTTCTTAACTTCCACTTAATAATCAATTGTGCAAACTTCATTTGATAGTAATTATTCATCACCATATTACTTTAAATTTTGTTTTAAATCCTATTTAAATAATTATAGATTACAGATAATTAATTTTAGATTTGTCTTTGTGATAAAGAAGCAAAAATGAATTGTTCCAATTAAAATACAAACTCTTTCATACTTCCCCAATTATTTCCTTAATTTCCTTATTTAAATAGACTATTTCGAAATTACTATATAAAACTAGTTAATTTAGTTTGAAATTCAATTGATTCTAGATGAATAGGTGAATTTCCATAATAAACTATAAATTCATTAAGAATAGAATCTGGATGTTATAGATTCAAACTTTTTTAGATAGGTACAATTTTATTTTTTAAATATTTTACTTTTTGAGTTTATTAATGTACTTAAACTTCAAGTAAAGTAGTTTAATTATATGAAGCTAATTATTTTTTTTTCTCGTCTTATTAATAATACAGCAATTAAATCTGATTTGTTATATATTTAATATTTTTAACAATATCTTATGTCTTTTGATCACATTAATAAATAGATTCAACAATTTCAGTGAGTTAAGGATGATCATTTTTAATTTATTCAACAAATTCTTCTAATTCTTCTTTTTAACCAACTAATTCTGCTCTCTATAATAATTTAGCATTCAAATCTTCTTTTAACATTGCTTTAGTTTCCAAGATTGAATTATAATTTTAATTAACTTCACATCTCTCTTTGATAAATTATTAATGTTCTTAAGTGACTAATTCATATTATGATTTAAGCTTATTGAATTCAGTTTCATAATAATCATAAAGTATAGATTATTATTTATCAATATCACATTGCATTTACTGATAGCTAAATTATATATTCAAAATACTTTTATTCTTCCATTCTCAAATCTTAAAGTTTTGTTTGAAATAATTGTTAATCAATTGAACAAGTAGATTCACCAAGTAAAGTTGTAATCTTCTACTTAATATTGCATTAGTATTGAATTATTTTTTGATCAATCTATTCTAATTAATCTTGTAGATAATCAGATCCACTATTTAATACTTCATTGATAAGTTTATGAGATATGTTGCTTCTTCTGATGACTGAACAATATTTTGGAGAGTTTTCCTTATTTGAATGTTTATAAGATGGACTATCTGTTAGCATTCAATTTTAACGATAATTAATAAAATTTTGCTCCTTTTTTTCTAAAGAAATTGAATAAAATATATTTCTAAATCGAAAAAGTTCAAATTCCAATCATAGATCATTAATCATATAATATAGATAATTCTTTTGTCTACTCATATTTTCTAATAGTTGTAAAAAATAAAGAATAAATAATATTATTTGGAAGATGAATCAAGGAAAAATTTATGTAAATATTATCTAATCATAGATATGTTTAAACATAAAATATAAGCAATATTGTATTGTTTTATTTTGATTACATTCATTCTTATTTTAATTAGTCTCTTAAGATCAAATAATAAAAACAGAAAAGAAAATGAGTAAAATCTAAACATAATTTTATTTTATTATATTTAATTAAATCATAATTTTAATGTCTTCAATAAAGGATATAAATTTAAACCTTGTTCTCTTGTTTCTTCAACCTATTATTTAGCCCAATTCATAAAGGTTTCTCTATATTATTAAGCTCTTAATTCCATTTATTTGGATTCTTTAAGCTCATTCATATATTAATCTCTTCTGGCTTATTTTTTTTATTCCTAAATTTAATATTTGAAATACTATTTATATTTTCTAATAATCCAATAATTCTTTATTACGTTTTTTCAGAATTTCTTTTTATTATTCTTCTATTACAGATAATTATTGTAATGCATTTATTTTTAGCACTTATTCTTTATTTGCATCAACTTCTTCTTTTTCTTTAACAGTTTCCTTAAGTTTCAATTATCTTTATCTAAAAGTCTCTCCTTCTTTTATCATTTATATCTTCTCCTATTCTTTTTATCTTGCTACTTCTTCCTCATGTCTTTATAATTCTTCTGCATGTTTCTAAACTCTTTACATATAATTATCTTCTTATTCTTTTAATTATATAACTCTCATATCATATATCTTTTATTTAAGTTACATTTAACGTTCTAATTTTTAAGCTTCCTAATAAATTAGATTAAAAATACTCTTTATTTTCTCATTTCTAAAACCCTTTCCTTTTTATTTTCAAAATGATTTCTATCCTTTGCCTCTTTATCTAACAACATCTATTCTTCATCTTATATAGATTATTTAACATCCATAAATTTCTGTCTTTCTGCTAATAGTTTTTGTTTCTTCAACTTCTCCTCCTCTTTCTTCTTTCTAATAATATATTCATTGATACTCTTTTTCTTATTCTTCCTCTTCTGCTTATCTTTTTATTAATTATCCTTCTTATTACAATTTTGTATATTCTTTAAAGTATTTCTCTTTCATCTCATTATGTTATTTTGCTAAAACAGCATAAGTCTCTCTTTTTAATTAATCTTTTTATTAAGTCTTCTCTAATTCTGCTTACTCCTCCATTTACCTTTTCACATCAACATCCTTTAATCGTTCAGCTTCAAGGGTCATTTACATTTCATGTCTTTCTTTATTAAAACGAACTAGAACTTCATTAATCTTCTCATTTTCACTCATAAGCATTTTTGACTTCATATTGCGTACACTAAAAATCGTTTTTTGAATTACTCTCCCCTTTGACTAAATATCTTGTTATTTGCATCAACAACTTAATCCTACTTTAATTTCTCTTGAAAATCAGTTTCAACCTTATCCATCTTTCTTCTCTCTTCTTCTTCAATCTAAAATTTATCAAACTTCTCTTTCTCCTTCTATGATCTTTATTTCTCAATTCTCTATGCCCAAACCCTTTAATTATTATCAATACTCTATTTTAAAATGATTAAGTTATACTTTCTTTGATTTTTGTTCTGTGATACTAATATGTGATTTAATTTATTCAAGTTCAGAAGCTCCTATAACAGTATGACCTTGCTTAATTGAAGGCAATTAAACAGATTTTAGTTTTGCTTCACTTTCCTCAGATTAATATCTTAACATTATATATTTATTATCAATTAATCAATTCATATAATAATATACAATAATTATAAGATGTTAATCACAATATTCTTAAAATCATTGAACCTTAATATTTTCATTAATGAAACAATAAAACAGTTATCTCTATTATTTTTAGTTAATTAAATAATCCATTACTTATAAACAAGAGCCCCAGTAAATAATTAAAATTTTTGCCTTATAAATCTTAAATTCTAAAGAAAAGTTTTAGAAATTAGATTGTTTAAATCTTTACCAATATTTTTGATAGTTTAATTTTGTAAATTCTCTTAAGAAATATTTGATTCTAAATTTTTAATTATAATTTTTTTCATTTTAACAGTAGAGATTGTAAATTGTCAAATTCTATGTGTTAAAATCATAAATTATTTGTTTATAAGATTTTTTTTTTTAGTTTTAAGTTTTATGCATTTTTATTTTCTTATAGGCTAATTAAGCTCTTTTTTTGCATTTCAATATATCTTCAAATTATTTTTCTTGCATATAACTTATTAAAGGGTTGCTAATTATAGGTGTAGCTAACTATTAAAAACTAAAGAAGATTTTGAAAAGTTCAATAATTTTTAAGCGAATTACTATGAAAGATTGGTAATTACGGAAAAAAGCAAGTGAAATATCAAGTTGGTTATATAATAAACTATTATATTAATTAAGATGAAGAATATCTAAAGGAAAGATAAATCAGAAGTCAAAATAATATCTTTATAAATTTAATTATTTAATCAACTAAACTATCTTGTTAATTAGCAAAATGTTTATCTTAAATTCCTTTTTTAATATCAATTTTAGGCTGTTAACTGTCATTGCATATAATTCAAATAATACACTAAAGGAGTTTCTATTAAAATTTTTAAATGTAACTCTTAATGATTCTATTCTAAATTGGCTTTTAATTAAGAAATCTAAAAAAAGGGATAGCAGCATAATGAATTGTTTTATAGATGGAAATGAGTTAAAAACTTAAAAAAAAATACTTTTTCAAAAAGTATTTACTTAATATAGGAAATTTTTACAAGATTTAGAAATGCTCTCCTTATTAACCTACCGATATTAAATTCCAAATAATTATTAAGAATAATAATTCATCAACAAAAGGATCTCTTAAAACAAGGGTCTCACTTATAAACATATTTTATTTATGTAATACAATTTAATAGTAATAATTTATTACTTTTTATAACATTTTTAAAGTAATCAATAATTTTTTTTCTATTAAATTTTAATTAAATTAGTTTATAAATTAATTCTATTAAGTCTAATAGATATTGGTCCGTATTTAGCTCTATATTGGATGATAATACTTTAAATGTTTATGTCTATTGTAATAATTGGATAAGTGGGAAATGGAAAAACATCATTCTTTAATTTGATCAAAAATCCAGTCACAACGAATGAAATTATGAGGAAATCCTACTTCCGAGCACTAGATCCTTTTGTTAAACTAAATTTTCCTTCATTTGAAGAGCTAGAAGAAGAAATATCATAGCTAATTAAGGATATGTCAAAACAATGCAACCTTTAAACCGATTAGGATAAAATGAATTAAATGAAGTCTTAAGCGTATTGGAGAAAAAAATTTGTAAATAGGTCGCTGACTAAGAAAAACTTATCAGGAGCGGACTATACATAATTGGATTAACAAAAATGTGAGTTTTAAAAGAAATTGAAAGAATAACATCTTAAGAAACAACTTGATATATATTTTATAGCTTAATTAATTTCTTGGATAACATTATAAATTTATTATGAGAATTATTTTAATTGAATAAAAGTTTTAATAGTCAACTAGACTTGAATATATTTTAGATAACATTCAAAGTTGTGAAATAAACAACATAGATCTTGAAATGAATTTATATCATTAAATTTAGAATATTTAAAAAGCTCAGATAAATTATATTTCGAATTAACCTCTATATTTATTATATGAAATTCAGATTTAAAATAATGAATAATAGAAAAAGGGTCTATTCTTTTAATATTATTAATTAGCGATCATTAAACTGAAGTAGAAACAAATAAAATTAAGTATTAGCTAAATTATAAATTAAAAAAATCTAAATAGCATATCTTATAGACTTTTTTCATAAAATTATGGTTATAATACATAATTATACATGAAATGGAATGTAAATTTTAATGTTTCTAAGTAAGTAATAAAATATAGATTATTATTTTTACTTTATAAGAAGTATTATTGAAATTATAAACAATTTGATATTTTTTAAAGAGTAAATAGTTTCTTCAATTAAAAAAAGATGATTACAAGATAAATAATTTTTGAATCTAAATCATTATAATAGAGAATCTAAAAATCAGAAACAATCTATCTTACATATCATAAAATTAATATAATTTATATGGTCTTCATAAATTAAGTTTACTGAAAATTGAATCTTTAATTTTTTGTATCATTTTATTAACTCTATGAAATTCTCTCAGCTTCTAAACTTAGCATAGTATTAGGGGACTAATACTTAAAACAAATCAATCAATTTTAATTAATCCAAGGAGAAACAGTAATTCAACAAATAAATAATCACACTTTTATATAGAGTATAGTACAAATAATTTACTAATTTCAGTTGGATCTTAAATTTACTCTTTTTTATATACTGATTGTGAGTTGCCTAGAATGAAGCTATGACTATCCACAATTACTAAAATATTAGATTAAAGACATATTAATTTGAGAATTTTAATTGCCAAAATTACAATTATTAGCGTTTTAATAAACTTTAATTGTAGAATGAGTTTAACAAAGATGTTATTAAAGGAAATCTTAAATTCACTTTATTTCATTAGATAAAATGAATAATACAGTATAAGAATATAGAACAATTATCAATTTAGATTAATCTGTGGACATTAAAGGATAATCATAGAAAAGTGTGATTGATATATGATACTATTAAATTTGCATAATATAAATTGATTGAGTGCAATTTTAAAATCTTAATTAAATATAATGAGCAAAAAGATTACCGTCTTTATATTATTAGCATGTTTTGTTTGTATTGCTACATTGATGTTTTCCTTCTCAACCCAAGGTATTGATATTAATTATAAATAGATGGAGAATTAAAAATGAAGAAAAGTCATTCTTTCTCTTCATCAAAGAATCATGAATGGATGGATGGATATTGGTCATCAGATACAGATTGTTAAGCTAAATGTAAAAGTGCTGGAGGAATGAGTTGTGGTAATTACTAATAAAATTGCTGTGTTGGAGCTAAGTGTAGAAAAGAAGAAGGTTACTTCTCTTCATCATTAATTTGTGATCAAAGAATTCCAGTATAAGGATGTACAACTCCCAAATGATATACATATTAAATTAGATATTTAAAATTTGATCTGTTCAAAGTATATTCAATCATATCCTCCTATTAGTTTAATCACTTAAATTAAGGGATAATAAATACAAATATGGATTATTATTATGAAAAGGGTTCTTAATTTAATATATTTAACAATTGTTATTTATCATGAAAGACGATATAATTTAAATTTAACATTGTTATGAACTAATTAATTGTCTATTATGTGATATAAATATAAGAATATATATTCTATAGTGATTTTGATTGTATATAAATATAGAAGATTAATTTTTATTATAAAATTATTATTATTAGGTATTAACCTTTAACATATTTAGCCATAATTATATAAATATCATGACAAAACTTAGATTAATTAAATTATCTGACTTCATAAGCTTTTAATAACTTTAAATATCAATTAAATTGTACAATAAAGATAATGTAAATATGTATTTTTATGTTAACATTTAATGATTCTGATTTTTTAAGGTTAATAAAAGGAGAATTGTTGATTTCTTCTTGATGATTTCTATATTATTTTATTATAAATAAGGATTTTATGAAAATATAGAGTTTTTAGAATTTTTATGAGGTTAATTAAATCTAAATTCGAATATTAACAATATCAGTTTATCTTTAAATAATAAATTTCTCAGGTATACAACAATACAAATAATAAATCTTTCTATTATTAATTTCATTAATTTATTTGCATTTATTCCTTCAATCCTCATTATCATTTGAATAATCAAATTCTCTTTAATCAAACATTTTCTAATTATAGATTTAACTTTTTTTTGATTAAAATCCAGAGTTTTTTAAATGCTATAAGTAAGATGTATTAAGAGATCATTACAAATATTAAATATTGATTAATTAGAGGATATTTTAATAATAAATATAATTAATTAAATTATGAATCCTTGATAAGGATACCTGTTGGTTTTCCATCAATACAATTCCTTCAATTTGTAATAAACCTATGGTTACAATTAGCTATCAAGGAATTTATTGATATAGGTTCCAATTTTGATCTTTTTGACATATCCAGCACTTGATGATGATTCAATTGATGCAGAAGTCGAAGTTTCATTGGGTTCCCATACTTACCGTATATAATCAAACTCATTCTTATTTCCAGAATCAATAATTTCTTAAATAATCTCATCATTAGTTTTCTTGGCTGCTGTTCTCAAATTATTTGCCTCTGAATTCATTATAATAATAAATAAAATAAAAAATCAGAGTTTTTCGATTTCATAGCACATATTCATAAGGATAAATTTTACAATAATAAACATTCTTTGAAATTCTTTTACGCTGTTAAATTAAGTATTAATGACTCTATATATATAAACTTTAACTCTATAAGATTGTCTAATAATTACTTATAATATAATAATTAGTAAAGTTAATTTAAAATTCAATATATTTGAAACTCATACTAATAGAACATTCATTGAATAATATAGAATATTATAAAATGAAGATTATGTCTATTTCATAAAATAATGGAATATTTATATATATATTATTTATCAATCATCTAGAAATTCATACATCTAATTAAATTATATTCAGGTTTCTTATTTTAAATTAGAATTAATCTTAATTTGATTAGTTAAGTATTTATTTTAAATCAATTTTATCTTAATTTTCTATATTATTTATATAACACTAATTCCATTATAGGATGATGTTTAAATTAAATATTTTTTAGAATTAAATCCCTAATTATAGGATAATCTATTTTTATTTTAAAATTAATGTGTCATAAGATATTATCACTTATTTATAACTTAATAAATTGCTTTATGAAAGTAGCTTTTGTTTTTAAACTCATTGAGATATATATAAGAATTTGATAACTTATAAGTAAGATGTTTATATCTTTATAAATATTATTTATATAAGAACTTTTATGATGGTTAAAAAATAGAAGAAATACTTTTCTGTAATTCTAACTAAGCATCACAAAAGTAGTTTTAAATAAAAATTATGATTTTAAAATAATTTAAAAAAGTATTTTATTTTTCATTTATGCTACAACAACTAAATAAAGAAGTAATATAAGATGTAATGAATAGGTGTTATTAAAAAGAAAAGAAGCTTTGGAATAAGTAATAAAAAGAAGATTTATTTATTAACCTGCTTTTTCACTTTATGGAGGAGTGGCAGGATTATATGATTATGGACCTGTAGGATGTGCAATTAAAACAAATATTGAATAATATTGGAGAGAGCACTTTATTATAGAAGAAGACTTATTTGAAATAGCTGCAACTATCTTAACTCCAGAACCTGTATTAAAAGCATCTGGACATGTTGATAGATTTACAGATCTATTGGTTTGTGATAGTAAAACAGGGACAGGATATAGAGCTGATAAAATAGTTACTGAAGTATTGATATGAGAATAAATTGATTAGACATTGGAAAATAGAATAGCTAAAGAAGGAGACAAGTTAGCAGCTGATGTCAAAGCTAGATATTTGCTAGTTATAAAGGATGTAGATACTTTTAAAGAAGATAAGATGAAAGAAATTATTGCTGAATTATAGATAAAAGCACCTGAAACTGGAAATGATGTAAATAATAAATGTAATGATTATAGTTAACTGATCCAACTCCATTTAATTTAATGTTACCTACAATTATTGGACCATCAACAAAACTTCCTGCTTATTTGAGACCTGAGACTGCTTAAGGAATGTTTCTTAATTTTGCTAGATTATTGGAATAGAATGGAGGAAGAGTTCCATTTGGAGCAGCTTAAATTGGATTGGGATTTAGAAATGAAATAGCTCCAAGAGGAGGACTTTTGAGATGTAGAGAATTTTAGATGGCTGAAATTGAATATTTTGTTGATCCTAATGAGAAATCCACATTTAAGAAATTTAATAAATATATCAATTTAGAAATACCTTTATTGTCTAGATAACTTTAAGCTGATGCAAAATTACATTAACCATATAAGATGGGAGATGCTGTTAAAGAAGGAATAATTAATAATGAAACACTTGCTTATTTCATTTGCAGAACATATCTTTATTTAGTTGAAATTGGAATCAATCCAATTAATATTAGATTCAGATAACATTAAGCTGATGAAATGGCTCATTATTCATCTGATTGTTGGGATGCAGAAATTGAAATGTCTAGTGGATGGGTTGAATGTGTTGGATTAGCTGATAGATCTGCTTATGATCTTAATGCACATTCAACAGCCACAGGATAAAAATTATAAGCAGCTCGTAAATTTAAAGTTCCATAACCAAGACAAGTCATTTAAATCATATTAGATAAATAGAAAATTGGAAAAGAATTGAAAAAAGATGGAATGACTTTGATTAAATATGTTGAAGCATTACCTGATGATGAGAAATAAGAATTATCTGAATATTTCTAAACACATGAAGAAAAAGTCTTTAATATTGATGGAAAAGATTTAAAATTGAATAGATAACTAGTTAAATTTGAATAGAAGACTATGAATGTTATGGAAGAGAAGTTTATTCCTCATGTAATTGAACCAGCATTTGGAATTGGAAGAATATTATAAGCTATTATTGAACATTCATTTAATTAAAGAGATGATCCTCAAAAGACTTATTTTAAATTCTCACCAAGAGTTGCACCTGTCAAATGTTCAATACTTTCTGTTGTCCAAAATGAAGAATTTGATATTGTTATTTAAGAATTAAGTAAGTTTATATATATACTTTTAGCATCATCTCTAAAGAAATTGGGAATCTCTTGTAAAACTGATAATGCAGGGGTTGCATTAGGTAAAAAATATGCTAGAACTGATGAAATTGGAATACCATTTGCAATTACAGTAGATAAAGAAACCCTCACTACTTAATCCATAACATTAAGAGAAATTGAAACTACTAAATAAGTCAGAGTTCCTATTGTTGAAGTACCTAGACTTATTCTTGAATTGAGCAATGGATTGATTCTTTGGACTGATGTTTTAAATAAATATCCTCTTTTTGCTGCTAAAGAAGAAGATGCTTGAGTATTATTAAACAAAAAATTATTAAAATTCTTTAGATTTAAATTTCCATTTTACATAATTATTTATTATCTAATTTATTAAAGTATCAAAAATTAGACTAGAAATATTAATTAAATTTATTCAATATTAAAAGCTTACAAATTTTTTTAATGGTCTCAAAAACTAAATAAAAATGAATCATCTATGAATTATTATTGAAATCTTGTGATTCAGAATATATTTATAAAATCAATTTTTGGATAAATTGCATTATATTAAGGATATTTAAGACATAAATTAAGATATTATTTAATTAGGATCTGCTACAAACAAGATACTAAAGAAATAATCAGAAATTTGTGTTATGTTATGTTAAAAAGCCATTGAAATTAAAATAAATTAAATATATTAAATTATTATGAATAATAAAAAAGATCAAAATCTGACTGCCTAAGGAACATAAATTAAAGGAGCCGCTAAATAACCAACTCATTAAGTCCAACAATAGAAACCTGCTCAAAGTCATCCAGTTTAACATTAGCCTGCAAATAAATAACAATAATAATAAAAACCTACAACTTAGCATCCTACAAATACTAAGACTCAAACAAAATAATAACCATAATAATAATAATAAGCAGCTAAACCTCAATAATAATAATAATAGTAATAATAAGTGCAACAGGTAGCTCCAAAAAAATTAGAACCTAAGAGGACTATCAAACTTTAGGCTATGTTAGGTATAATGGATTAAGATAAAGAAGAAGGAAAAATTAGTTTTTTGATAGATAAAACAGGTAAATAATAACCAAATAATATTTAGGAAATGCATATACATTTTTTAAATACAAAGGAACTATTATCGATATTTCATCGTTTGTGATTACTGAATAGAATTAAGGAAAAAATCATGAAGAAAATGTTGAAAAAGCCAGAAAATGTGTAGTATATGGTTTAGAGGCTGGTGATAATTTAGTATTCTCAACCGATATTACAGCTACAAATTTGAATGAATTTTTTAAGTAAAATGTTTAATTTAATTTCAGGTCTGATTGGTACAAACCAGAAGCAATCTTTAATTATGAAGAAATCACTAACCCAAAGTATTTTAGAGCTCATCTTTTAAAACCTGAAGAGGATAAGGATGGATTTGGTAATAAGGGATAATTTTGGCCAAAAAAAGAATTACATATAGTCTTATTGTATACTTAAAAAGAAGGAGAATTTGATTTTGAATAACATTTGAATAAGTTGGGATTGGATAAATTGAAAAATCAATTTATTGTAACAATTATTGAAGATTGATTTATTAAATAATACATTGAATAATATACAAAATAATTTAATTTTTCAATATAAATAAACATCTTTTTAGAATCAAAGCTTTAAAGATTAATTAATCATTTAAATTAATTTTAACTTAACAATTTCTAACATTAATTAGTTTTGATTTAATTGTTCTATTGTCTATATAACTATTAATAACTACAAAGATCATATTGATATTTAAAGGTAATAATATGAATTAAGAACAGGTTTATTTATTTTAATAATTTGGAATTTATTTTTACATGAACTTGTTCAGCCATGATGAAATTAATTTATTGGAGGTATCCTAATAGAGGATTGCTAGGCAGCATAAGATGGAAAGTTAGAATTCATAAAAAATCAGTTAACGTCTTTGACATCTAGACAATTATAGGATGCTTGTAAGAAAACAGATTATTATGGCAGAAATGCATTACATTATGTACATGAACCACTATATTAGGCTGCATACCGAGGACATTACAATGTAGTTGAATACTTTCTTGATTTATAATGCATAAATATTAACTCATCAGATAATAAGGGTAAAGTTTCATAAACTATTATTGAGGTAACACAGCATTAATGCTTGTCTGTGTTCGTGGGTATAATTCAGATATAAACACTTTGAAGGATGGTTAGAAATTTGCTATATGTTCTTTATTAATTGAAAGAGGAGCATCAGTTGAAAAATATAAGAAATCAGGAATAAATAATCCATTGCATTGGGCTTGTTTCTTTGGAGATTTAAAAACAACTAAATTATTGATGTACATAGAACCAAGTTTAAGTAATCATATTAATTAATTTATAGTGTTATTTACTAATGATAGAGATTAGTTTCCAATTGATTTATCCCTTATGACAGGTAAAGAATTGGATGATAGAGAAGAAGATGAAAAAGTTTTGGAATATATGATAATGAAATTTTTGGCTTAATATCTTGATAATGAAGAACATAGAAAGAAATTAGATATTCCTGATGAAGAATATGAAACATTTAAAAAATTAAATAAACATTCACTAAATCTTAAATCCACTAAGTAATTAGCTCAGGTTGGTCTGAGATATTTGTTTTGGGCAAGTACTTAGGGTAGATTGGATCTTGTAAAACCTTTATTAAAATGTAAATATTCACCTTTTGAACCATCATATAAGGGAAGAAATGCTCTTCATGCTGCTGTCTATCATAATAGATTAGAATTAGTAGTATTTTATTTAGAATCAGAAGAATCCAAGATATTTCGAATTGATAATGTAATCAATCTTATGACAAAAGATAAACCTTAAACTGCTTTACATATAGCAGTTGAGAGAGGTCATATAGAAATAGCTAAAATATTAATAAAAAAAGGAGCAGATCCAAATTATTATAATTTTAGAAATCATAGAGCTTTTGATTAATCTAGATTAAATGAAATAAAATAACTTAAGAGAGAACTTTTCCATAATGATGAAAAGAATTATTTAAGGTCTGGATACAATCATATATTAGTTGGTTGGTAAAAGAGTAAAAATTAATTATTGGAATAATAATTTAATAATATTTAAATTAAAAAGAATATTGAAAAAGGATAATTTAAATATATTTCTTATGAATCTATTGATAAAAAATATACATATTATTGTTTAAAGGTTGATGAAAGACTTAAAAATGTAGTAGCTGATGAGAATAAGATGATGATTTATAATTCAAGAGAAGGATATTTGTCTCCTTTTAATTTAAATATCTAAGATTAATTTGAAAACTTTCATCATATCCATAATTAATAAATCCTTCTTACTTTATTATATGATGAATTTGATATTGAATAATTTATAAGTGATGGATTACTTTTAGAACAGTTTCCTGTTCATGATGAAGAAGAAAAAGAATTAATCATTAAATTTTGGAAAAATGAAAGAATAAATATCTTATTTGAACCATTTTAATTAAAAAAATCAAGAAGTCGTACTTTTAGTGCCTTATCATCCTATTTTGGACCAGAAATAGGATTTTTTTTCGTATTTTTATGCTTTTTTTCTACTTGGTTATTTTTACCAGCAGTACCAGGATTAGTCTTAGGAATATATTCATTTATTGATGAAGAAGCCATTTTAGCAGTTTCTCCAATCTACACTTTATGTATGGCTGTTTGGGCTACTATCTTTTTTGAATTTTGGAAGAGAAAATAAAGTGAAACTATGTATAATTTTGATATGCATGTTACTAAAGAATAAAGAAGAAATATCCCTTAATATAAAGGATCATTCATAATAGAAGATGTTACACATACAATTGAAATAATGGATACAAGAAATGTATAATGGAAATACTTTAAATCAAATACTCCTTTAGTAATTTTAGCAATAATTTTAATTGCTGGATAATAAACAGGGTATTATTATCTAAAATAAGTATATGAAGATGACGAGTTTTATTAAACTCTTTGGCCTTGTCTTTTAGCTTTCACAGTATTAATTACTAATGAAATTTTTAATTTCTTTGCTAAACACACATTAATTTATGAAAATCATCAATTCCAAGATGAAAGAGAAAATGTTTACATCTTAAAAGTATTTGCTTTCACTTTTCTTAATTCTTTTGGTCGTCTTTTTTATAGAAGTATAATAAAACCTGATAAAGATGAATTACATCTTTTCAGCATCTCCTTTACAATAATATGGTCTGTTGTTCATCTTATTAGGTATACTATTTATCCATGGATATCTTTTACATTCATTAAATTAAAATTCAATAGGGATTTCAATAAATATAAATAATAAAACAATAAATCAATCAACACACTATAAAAAATAGGAGATACAGAAACAAGTGGAATCAATAAATCATTTGATAAGGGAATATCTTCTTCATATTTCCTTTAACAAATTGAATTAAATAAAAGGATGATAGATCCACCAGATCATGTTGAATAATTCACTTATTTTGTAATTTTAATATCAATATTTAGATGACATAATTTTGTATGGTTACAATGTTTAGTGCAGGTTCCTAAATAATACCAATCATTACACTTTTTTTTAATTTATTAAATATAGAAGGATTATTGTATGGATATAGAAAGTTTGTCAAGAGACCTTTAGCAGAACCAAAAAAAAATATAGGAGTATGGAATGACATTTTATAATTAATTGGCTATATTGGTATTGTTTCAAATTGTTTAACTATATACCAAGCTAATTAGTCATAGTTAAATTACTTGGTAGGAGCTGATGATAGTTCTGATCAAGATTAAACTAATGTAATTTATAACTAATAATAGCTCGGATTGAGAAACTTTTTATTATTAATTGTTGCTGAACATATAGTTATTGGAATCAAGTTTGTAATCGAAGGAGTGATTCCAGATGAGCCTGAATGGGTTGAATTAATTTTGAAAAAAGAAGAATATCTATCAGAAAAGAATAAATCTAATGGCAAAAAGAATGATTCATAAATTAAAGCCTTAGAAAATAAAGTCAAAAAAGATTGATCTTTATAATATATATATATATTGCATATTTAATTATGTTTCTCATTAATCTATAAACCCATAAATTCATTTTAAAATAAGAGTATTCAATTAAGCTAATTATCTTAGCTATATGTTGTATTTAAGCAAAAAATTATGAATTAAACTATGATATCTTAAAATAAAAGTATTGTATATTCTTGAATTTTACTTGCTTAAACAATATTGATTTCAATAATTAATATTAGATTCTTCATTTTTAGGAAATAATTAAATTATCTACTTAATTTTTATCAAATTTTTTATAATTTTATCTTTGAAAACATAATTGTAAAACTTACAAATCTTTAGTGACAACAGAATTGGAATCTCATTTGATATATTTCTTGCAAGTTTGATAAGATTAACATCTTCGCCTACGTCTTTAAATTAAAAATAAATTATAATAAACAAAGATGAAACTAATTTATTTACTCAAAATTCAATAAAAATGTAATTACAATTATTATAAATATTTGATACCAGGATAAGTTTTTAATAAATATTTTTTCTTTTTACTAGAATGAAATTTCTTGTTAATACATTAGTTTTGTTAGGCATAGTAACAATAAAATAAATTTTGACTTATTTTTTAAACAAGAATATATTTCTCATATATAGATGATTTGTTTCAAAAATATCAGATAAATTATCCAACTTAACTTTTTTAATTTTATAATTGAATAAGTAAATATTATTGAGAATAAGGATGCATTATTAGTATTAGTTTATATAAAAAACTGAGAAAATTATTTCTTTGATGATTTGGTCATCATTCAAAGATAGTAAACATTATAATATTAAGTAATTGATATTTAATTTAAACTATAGTATAAGCCAATTTGATATTACTTCAACATGTTTGAGAAATTTTAGAAAATTGAATTATTCATCAAATAAGTATATAATTAAATAGATAATTAAAATGAAAAAATTATTGTGTAAAGTTGATGCATTGTTTGTAAAAAAATCAGAAATTGAAAACTGACAATTTTCAACTCAAATTACTTAATTTAAATTAACATAAAATTCTGATTAAATCTATTATTTTTTAAGAGCAATGTATTCTTTTATATATACCTAATTAAAAAATTTTTATTTTTGGCTATAATAAACCTCAAATAAAATTTATCTATTATTTAGATAATTTTTAATCAGTTGTTTTGCAAATTTCATAATTGTGTTGAAAGTATTTAAAAGGTAAAAAAAACTACAGGAAAAGAATACTTGTTAAAAATCCATCATGTTTTAGTTTAACATTATATATTTGATGTATTTTATTTATTTTTAAATTTTTAAATAAAAGAATTAGAAAATATGTTTAAGTTGTTAATTATTAAAATATTTCATTAATGTATGTTCTATAAATTAAGTATGTAATAAAGAATAAATTATTTATTACCATACCTATATTGATTAGATGATACTAAAATTAGAGAAATAAAAAAAAATCATTATTGTATAAAATATATTTTTTAATTAAAATAGTTTTAGATATGAATATAAATTTTCATGTCTTCATTAATCTATGTTATTCTTCAAGAATGTTTAGAATTTCTGAGTTTAAGAATTAGTTTGATATTAATGGAACTTAAGTTATATTAGAACATTTTTCTTGTTTTTTATTTCTTGAAAATTCGATTTATTGTCTTTCCAAAAATTATAATAAAGAACTGGGATTCATGATATTGAATCCATTAGTTAAATTTTTCTATTATAAGACTGTATTCATGTCTTTTTTATAGATTTCTACAGCCTATTAGTTACTTAGCAAGCTTAGAATTTGAAATTACTTTTTTTAAAGTAGCTCTTTAATCATTTGTTCTGTTTATACTCTTACGTAATTGTCATTATCTTTAACAGCCTTAAACTCTTTAATTTCTTCTCCTAGATTAGCAAGGCTTTATTTTCTTAGATATAAATCAATCATATACGTATCATCAACCACAAATATTTATACTTAGGCGACTACGTTTAAAATTTTATCCCTTTTCTCTTTTTTTAGAACTCTTCCTTCCTTTTTATACACTTTATAAATCGCTTTTATTGTAGAGATATTGTGCCCTGTTATCATAGAGACCTTTAAATTATTAAATATTATACATGAGACGTCGAGTACTTGTATTCTTTAATATACTGAATGACAAGTGCTCTTTCACTAGAGTTTATGCTTTAATATTTTGATCTTTAGTTTTTCTACTTTTTAATTTTCATCATATAATAAATCAAAATGCCAAATCCTTATTAATATGATAATTAAAGTGCAATAAACTTGAAATAAATAAAGAATAGTATTTTTTCTGATATAATAGGATAATTTAGAAAATGGAATTTTTAAAAGATATAGTATAGTTTTTATTTTTATTCTAATATAATCTTCTGGAAATATTGTTTATTAAATTAAAGGAGCAATTATTAATTTGATTGTAAATATGTACCTTTAAATAATAAATTGGAGTAATTATTATGCTTATATTGTTAGCTAAATTATTATCTAATTATAGATTAAAGAGTGACAATTATTTAAAAATTAAGTTGTATTTAACTTTACAAATTTTCAACGTAATTACTTATGACTTTCAATTTCCTACTCTAACAGCTAGATTTAAACTTCAAAAGTTCGTTAAAACTAGAATACACAGATTCTTGATGAATTTAACTATTTATTTTTTTTTTGTTATTTAGGAATCTTATTAGTATTGAATGTTAGTAAGGTGAATTGGTCGTAATATTTTATTGACCCATCATTTTCTAAATCTAATATTCAGGATTTCAACTGAAGTCTCAAATATTAATATCTCTCTGAATTAATATGATCTAAGTTTATAATATGTACTTATACATTATTACAATTAGTTACAAATACTCCATACTTCAAAATGTATTTAGACTATTCAAAACTGAAATAGAATGGTAATTTTAAGTTCATCTTAAATTTTTATATTAAATATTTATTAAATTGAATTATTAAAAAAAAATATAGTATTTTTAATTTGATATAATTTGCTTTAATCATTATTAATCATATTTTTTGGACTTTTCTATTTAATATCCAAATATTTATTGAATGTTGTTTGATATTTATGTTAATAGTTGTTTTGTAAAATACTGATTGAAAAAAATTAATATTATAATTAATTTTTATATTGAATAATTTAGATATTGACATGGAAGGAATTAAAATCCATTCAAAACAAAAAAATAATATGATAATATATATCAATAATTATTTTAATTATTCATTCCATACCAAATACTCCTTCGAGATCATTAAGAACAATAGATCTCAAATATTTTCTCATCATTTCTTAAGTAGTGTATTTTGGAAGTTCAAGCCTATTGAAGCATGTGTGAGCTATTGGAAAAGAATTGGCATTTTTATAATCAATAGGAACAATTTAAAATTTTGAATACATTCCCCTATTCGACTCAAGTTTACTAAAGCCACTATGAAATTCAATATTGAATTATATACTTAACCGGAATTCTATAAGAACCAGTACAATAATGTAAAAACTTCTTCAATTAATCTTGATCAAATTCAGATAATATCTTCCAAAACCACTGTATTTATTAAGAATTTTCAGCATATGGTGTTTTATATGTTGTATGTTATCTCCATTCAGTTAAATCTACAACAGATACACCATAAAGTATCATTTCAAATTCTTCAGCTGTAAAAATATTCAAATAATCTTTTGGAATATATTTATATAAAGAATTTTAGATTTGAATTAGTTATTTTGATATTAATTTTTCACTATAGAATTAGATACTTAATAATAATAATTATAAAATACTACCTTAAATCTACAAATTCTTATTTGTTTTAGTTTGTTACTAAAATATCAGCTCCATTTTATTTTAATTCAACTATCTCATCATCCTTACATATGATAAAATATTATTATAATTGATTTTCATCAAATTAATTTTCAAGTAAATATTTCCAACTCAAAAACAAACCTTTATCATATAATTACATATCTTAAAATGATATTTCTTAACCTAATAATTTCTTAACTAAAGGTCTATCAAATTCAACACAAATAGTCATTCTTTCAAAAAGAGCCTTTGCTATTGCTAAACCAGCTAAATCAAAATATTGACTCTATTTAGCTATCTTATATGTAACTTCATTGGTTTCAGTCAATGTAAAGATGTCTTTACACATTTCTTTAAAAATTAATGTTAACCATTCTCTTAATAAACCACCTGCATCTTATACTTTATCGTTCTAGAATACTACTTTGACTTCTTTATAAAAATTAACACTTCTAGCTGAAATAAGAGAAGATTATAATAAATCATTAAGATTGACATTTAATTTATCAGATCCTAATTACCAAGGAATACGAAATTTTTCAAGTTAAAGATTGAACCACATTTATTTTTCAGGAAAAGATCTGTTTTTAATTTCTTGAACACTTAAATTCTACATAAATTTGATATAATATTACTTATATCTACCCACCATTAACTTATGATAATATTCTTTTCCATTGATTGTTTTACTTAACCCAAATATAATTATCACCTAATTAATCTAATGTTTAAGGCATTTGAAATTCAATATTAGGTATTGGTTATTAATGTAGTAAACAATGGTCTATATGACTATTAAGTACAAAGTATGTAGTAGAAGGGCCAAACTTACGATCACAATTTGGACATTTGGTTTCCTAACCAATTTTTGAATGTTAATTATTTGAACTTCTATTCCCCATTTATAGAAACTTATAATAATCAATTTAGGGGATTAAAACTCATAAACAAATATAAATTAAATTATACTATAGATATTTATGTTCTTAATACTCAAACAATAGTTTACGTGATTTAGGAATCACATAAATCAGCTTCTTCCACAGTTTAATTTAAATTACAAATTGGTCTTGGTGGAAAACCTGAAATTAACTAAATTTATTTTTGAGGAGGTAAATTCATCATTCTAATTAATTAAATATTTTTATTTACTTTAAAAGATGTTATTGAATTACTGTTACTCTAGTTGTAGTATTAACTGTTAAGGTTATTGTGTTACCAGTTGATAGTCTTACCATAATATTTGTTGTAGGTTGATTAGGATCAATTTGTATTTATCCTTATTTACTCAAATCAACTTTAACTTGTTATTATTATTAAACAAATTATTATTAACCCAAACTAACTCCTGATCCACTGAATTCTACATATTTAGGTGGAGGAGGTGGTACATATTTTTCTGATTTTCTATCTTCCAATTTTACACTCAATCCTTTTGGATATTTTGATCTCAAAGCTGTTGGTACTTAACTTTCTATTAAAAATTTCAATTACTTTTATTTTAATTCTGCTATGAATTTCTTATTTTCTGGATCATTAATGTCTTTGAATTCTCCATCATTTATTTAAAATCCATTATTCCATAATGTAATTTTGCACCATTCTTTTGGATCATCATTTCCATCTGGTTATGCACCTCCTTCTTTTCTATATGCTTTTTAATAGATTAATACGCCTTATTGATCAATTCATTGTAATCATCAGGATTTTCAATAGAAAGTCCACTTATAAATTTAATCTATAAGAATACCTTTTTTCACCTCCAGCATAAGAATTACTAGTTTTCTATTTTTTTTCATCTTTGTCATTTTTCTTCAAATCATCTAAGGTTTTAAACATATCCCAAAATAATACTAATATTTAATAAAAATTATAATAATTCAATCATAGCATAAAAGTAACTATTTTGCTAAACTTGATAGACATTCATTTTAAGACATAAACAAAAACTCTACCTTATAATAAAATTAATATAGTTACCTTATTTTTATATTTAGAAAATATATTTTAATATACATCATCTCTCATTGTATCTCCAAATTCTAATATTCTTTTAATGTATTTTAGTATAACAATAGAATTATTATGATCATCTTAATTTAAATTTAGTAATTAAGAACAATAATAATTTTCATCTACAAGTTATGGATAATCATGTAAGAATTCATCATCTTTCATTAGACATTCTAAGACATTCAAACATTTTTCAGTGTATTCAATATCTAATGATATTTCTATTATCTAATTTAAAACATCTTTTTAGCAAACATAAAATTATATATCTTCTTATTCAACTACATTATAAAATAAAATTAATAGAGATTTAATACAATTTGGATTTTTTGTTGTCAAAAATAAATTACATATAAAACTATTAATTTCCTTTTGTTAAAATATTTAATAAAGTAAAAAAGAGTCTTTTATTTCTTGTAAAATCCTTAAGATTATAAAAGTAAGATTATCATCATTCTTTAATACATATCTAATGGCATGAAGAACCAAATGATGATTACTAAATTCCATTCTTGAAGTAAGAATATAAGTACATTGAAATGCTATATATTAAGGCATCAATTAACACAATGTTTCAACTAAATAATTACTCATTATTGACTTAAATTCAACAATTTTAACACAAATATGCACTAATAATTTTTTATATGTTTCTTCTAAGATAATATTAATATTTTTATTAAGTATTTATAGTAATTCATCATCTTTCATTAAATATTCGAAAATATCAATATCATGATCTGCTAATAAATTTTAAATGATTTCAAGTGCAAATTCATTATATACTGGATTTCTAATATCCGTGTATAGTATTTTTAAAAAATCAAAATTTGTATCAAATAGAAATCTAGATCCAATTTTATCTCCTAAAGTAAGATTACAAAGAATCCAATAAATAGTTATTCGATAATTTTGTTGACAATTCAATTCAAATTATAGTAGTAATTCATTCATTAGATCTTAGTCTACTAAATAATCATAATATTTATTCATAGCTTTTTGAAAATCATTTTCTATATTTTCATGAATGGCAATCATTTATTTTTTAATAATCTTAAGTTTATCATTCAAATCATGATCTTCTTATTCAGGTATAATGATTCTCTTTTTTTTCAGTTATTATTCAATGAACTCCTTTCTAATCACAGTTCTAAACTTTTCCCTCTTAATATTTAAAATTGATGAAGATTAATCCATTATATATATAATTGTGTTTTTTTTGGTATTATTATTATATCAAATTTAGATGGCTTATTTTTGGAATACATTTTAAGCCTTGTTGACATCGCCAACAGTGAATAAGGTTTATAGGTTGTTAACATCAACAGACTAAAATGATATTAGAAGATTATCATACTTATTATTATTCACTGAGAACTGAATCATCTACTACAAGACTATAATTGTCATAATACTTCAAAATCTTTTAGACTTTATTTACATTATCTGCTCCAGTCAAAACAGTATTGTATCCTCTTTCCAATCCTCCAACAACTATAATATTAGAGATCCTTAAATTTACCGATGCTAAAGTTAGTTACAGTTTAAGGATCTCCTGAAATTATTACATGTTTTGATCCTTATACTTTCTCACTCATTTTTGCTAAGTCCTAGTATGTATATGTTTAAAGTTATCCATTTCTCAATTAAGCTGTAACTGGTCCTGTAACGCTTGGAAGAGAAAGTCGATTGAAGTTCCTGGAGGCATAGACCAATGATTCCTAGTGGCTTCAATAGTTTAATACTCTGAATTTATAAGTGCCTGGATATGAATAAAATCCAGTATGAATTAACCATTTCAAATTAGTAAATTTACTACTCTTAAGACTTTCTCCTGATTAAGCTTTGGATAAATTAATTTATAATAGATACTTTATGTGGTTTCTGGAACAAGGTTTTTAAGGATTTCAATAAATTTGGTTTCTCCTATTAGTTGATTTGGTGAAAACACAATTCCTTTTGGATTGACAATACTAATAGTCTTTTCAATTTCATTTGGATCATTGGATCTGAAAGGTACTGTAATTACTCCTGCTTTAGCTGCACCAGCAAATGTAGTGGCAGCTTCACTTGTGTTAGATCTACCAAGTAAAAGCATGAGTTTGTCTCCTTGTTTCCAACCTTATTCAATCAATCCATATGCGAATGCACTTGAATGTGTCTCTCAATAACAATTATTCAATACATCAAATTCACCAAAAGTCCAGGTGAGATTTTAATTCTCAAATCTGAATCCATTCTTAAGTGGATTTTATTTTACTAAGGTTGAGAATCCTTGATAAATAAATCGTAGCATTTTTAATAAATAATTTAAATATATATATAAATATACAAATGTTTCTTCTTAATTGGTTTGGAGGTAATAGCAATTAGAGTGGTAAGAATAAGAAAAAGAAGAAGAAGTAAAATGTTGTGTAGAATCTCAATAAGACTTTGATAAATCCAATGAAGGAAATCAAATTATTTGGACATTCAAAGATGGGATATGGTCCCAAAAAAACTGAATGTTAAGATTCTTATTGTACTATGGAAAGATTTACTGAAGATTGTTACTTTTTTGCAGGTTTATATTCATTTTTATAATAAGTTTATGATGGTCATGGTTCCTCAGGTAAGGAAGCATCTTAGGCAGCAAATGATTATATTTAAACATTTCTTGAGAAAAATCCAAAGAGAATCAAAGCATTATAGAATGATAAATAAAGAGAAAGTTTTTTGAAGAGTGCTTTTAAAAATGCTGAAGCAAAACTTAGATCATCTGGTATAGATTATAGTAATTCTGGAACATGTGCAATATCAATTTTTGTAGTTAAGAATATGTGTTATATTGCCAATCTTGGTGATTCAAGAGCTGTACTATTTAGATAAACTGCAAAAGAGAAATTAGCTATTGAATTATCATATGATCATAAACCTACAAGACCAGATGAGAAAGAAAGAATCATAAGATGTGGAGGTAAAATAGAAAGACTGATACATGATGGCTAGCCTGTGGGACCTTATCGTATTTGGGCAGATGATGAGGGTCCAGGTATTGCTATGACGAGAACGTATTGAAATTCAAATTATATTAATAAAGATTAGGAGATTTGCAAGCTAAGAAAATAGGTTTGATTTCAGAACCAGAAGTTTAACATATTGAATTAACAAAATAAGACAAGTTTATGGTAATAGGATCAGATGGTGTTTGGGATGTGATGAGTAGTGCAGAAGTCTGTGGATTTGTTTTGAAACATGAGCCTAAAGAGAGTGTTGCTGAAGCTATTGTATATATTGTTATTTAGAGATAGGTTACTGAATGTAGATCTAGATGGGATGAAATGAACAAGTAAAAGAAGACAAATTCTAAGATTGGAGATTTACCATACCTGAAATTTGGTTGCGATGATATTACTGCTGTAATTGCTTATTTCACATTTATTGATGAATTAGAAGATAACTATTTTGGACAATAGAGATATTGAATCATAAAAATAAGAAAATAATATTTTATGATTTTGTATTTTGATAAAATTATCGATATCATTTCAAAACCAATCTGACTTATGGTATTCCCTTAATAATTTCTTAACTCTCTTATGTTAATGTAAAATTGATAGTTAAATCAACATATTTCTAAAAATTAAGAATAAATTATACTTGTATTTCTAATATTTTTATGATTGGTTGATCCAAAAAGTGTTTTTTCTCTTCAGGTTTTTTTGCATACATAATCTCCATGTATACAGGTTAAGCCTTCAAGAAAACATCTCTTGGATGTAAATCATATTATTAATTGAGAATATCAAATAATTATCTAAAAGTAGTTGATTTTGTAATTTCATGTGCCCATATATCCCATAATGTAACAGTAACTTTTTCATTAATTTTCTTTTTCGGTACTAATCCTGGTTCAGTCAATTTCACAAAAGGAATGGCTAAATTGACAAAAGCATTTTTCATATCTGATATTTAGACATTCTTTAAGGTTTTAATTAATTCTATTGTCTATAAACCAGCAACTACAGCAGTAGTAGTAGCTAATGCAGGTACAATACGTCCAGCTTTTATTTTAACAGTTAGCCAATCCATAGGTTCCAATTTATAATTAGCAGCTCTTAAATTACCAAAAGAATGAATGAAATCTATGTGTCCATTTTAATCATTATCTTTTTCAAATTCATCTGATATTAAAGTAATTGGTAATAAGGATCTAAATTATTTAAATAAAAGTTAAGTTTCTTCTTAAGTGCTTTAAGTTTAATTAGATTCATTCTCTTCTACTTCTTCTTTTTATCCTTACTCTTTAACTTTATCAGAAATAGACTATAAAATTAATATATTTAATAAATACCTTCTTTTTTTCTTCACTTGGTTACCATTCTGGGAAAGTTATTAAATTAGCTTATTTGGCTACTTATTATCTATATGTTTTGGTTCTCCAATCTTTATTAGTCTCAAGACCAAACATTTTGGCTCTGAGGAAAGCAAAGGTGGATACAAATTATTGATGAATTTCATTTTCTGGATCAAATTAAATGGGTTTGGGAGGACGTTTAGGCATAGTCCAAAATAGATTGCCATCCTTTGTTTTAGCATCTTCTGGATATGTATACATAAGTTATTAAATATCATTAATGAAATATTTTTAGAATTTCCCTCTTGCCCATTTAATACAATCTTCAAATGAATTTGGTTTATTCTTAAATAATTTTATTCCTTCTCTTAATGGTTTATTATCTTCCAAACTTGGAATATAATCTTCTGCAATCATTTTTATTAATTATTTTGGTCTTGCTGAAAAATGTTTACCAAATTTATCTTTAGCAAACTCAACACAATGGAAAGTCTCTTCAGGAAACATTTTAAGTGTACAATAAGGAATTTCTCCTTCTTCTACAGGATCATTAGAACTTCCATAAGATTCAGTTTAAAATGGAATAATACATTGTACATGACCTTTTGGTCCAAGAGTACCAGATTCTAATAATGGCTTACGAGCATTTACACATCGTTTGTCTACATATCTTCTAGCAGCTACATTATCAAGTGCATTAGCAATAATATCTTGATCTTCAAAGAATTAATCTGTATATATATTTTCTGTTGAATCATGAACTTTATCAAGTCTAGCTATAATGTGATCTCTCAAATAAGGATTCATTTAAATGACAGCAGCAGCAGCAGTCTATGACTTTGGTTTTCTTAAATGTTTTTCCCTGAATAAAAATTATCTATTTAAATTACTAACTTCTATGTGATCAGGATCAGTAATTGTAATTGAACCTTTCACTCCTAAATTAAGCATGGCAAAATTCTTAAGTAGTTCACAACCTATTGCACCACATCCAACCATAAATATTTTAGACTTTTCTAATTTATCTGCAATTTCTGTTCCCAAGAATCTACTTAAAGATCTTTCACTTATTTTATAATCTTTTTATATCTCTTATTGTAAGATTTCAGTACAATCAACATAAAATAATTGTTAAACTGGAGTAAACTTATTTGTTATTCCTTTTATAGCTTCTTATGACACAAATCCTCCTAGATATGCAGACAAAGGAGAGAATTCTCCTAAAGTTGAGTAATGTTTAAATATGGATTGGAAATTTTAATCTTAAATTTCTTTATTATTATAAAGATTATGTAAATGTTCAGTATTTTATAATTTGATAAAGTCGTATTCTGACATATTAGGATCATAAATTGGTTTATCAATGAATTCTTAATTATATGATTAGAATGATAATTCAACAGGTACTTTAACTAATTTAATAGTTCCATTTCTAATATATTTTGAATATCCACTTAATTATATTTCTAAGATTGATTTACTAATTACTTTAACCTTTTAAATAGTTTTATTAATTGAATTTCCATTTGAATCAATCATTCCTTCTATATTATCAATCATTACAATATCATTATCCTAAAATTCATGTTTACCTGTAATTTCAAAATGCATTTTATTTTATCCTTTATCAATAACAGATTTAACTATATAATCAATAGTTTATTCACCATTTTTATCTTCAACAATGAAAGTTTAACCAAAGTCATTAAATACTCTTCCAAATACTCCATCCACTGAACTTATAATTAATTTCACTTTATGTTAACGACATAATGCTGATAATTTGAATAATACATCATTTGAATATGTAACACAGACTACTACAATATTATATTTAGTTAAATCAATATTAAGTAGTTCTACAGTTTCATAATTCACTCTAACATATGAATTGAGTTATTGTAATTTTTCCCAACTAACTTCAGCTCTATTTTTACCAATATCTTTTTCTTCAATAAAGAATTACCCATTAAGATCATATTAAGAACATTTTATTTCATCATGAATGGTTAACATTTTGACTCCAGATAATACTATATTTTTGGCTACTTCAATACCCAAAGCTCCAATTCCTGATACCAAAACACAGCTATTTGATTACTTTTTTACTGCATCCATACCCATTGCACCAATATATCTACTCCATCTATCTAAAACTAATTCATCATTGGCTTCAAATTCCTTCTATTGAATCTTTGTATATGTAACATCCACTTCATCTAAATTAGCCATTCCTTCTTTAACATTTTTAACTTTTGGTTACTTTTTAATGTGAGTCCTTAATACTCTAGATCCTTCTAAATCAGCTGCAGAAGGTGGTTAAATTTTATTCAATTCTTCTTCTAATTCTTTTACAGCTTCTGACAATTTCTTATGATAAGCTTTCTTGCTCTTTTTGAATTCACTACACCAACTAGAATTATGATCATTAAGTAATCCTGTATATACAGCTTCTTTTGTATCTGCAAGTTCAACCCATTTATTGCATTCTTCTAAGATTTCTTATTTTTTAAGATAAAAGTGTCTTCTAATAATAGTTTCAAATCCTTTTGGTGGATCTCTAATCTAATCTATCATAGCATATTTAATATTGCAATATCTAACAATATTAGAATAACCTTCATTTTTCTTTTCACCTTCCTCTGTACTAGCTTCTTATTCAAAGCCTGGTTCATTGAAATATACTTCTTCACTCATAATGATAGCTTAAGTGGATACTAAAACTTAAAGAAGAGTAGAAATTTTTGGATCCCAATTTTCAGAAGCATTACCTCTCCATGTACCTAGAAGAGATAAACATACTTTTCCACAACTATATAAATTAGGATTGAATCTAACTTTTCCATTTCCTGTAGTAGATAAATTCATTTTTGGGGGAGCATTAGGATATGAATCATCAGCATAAATATCAAATAGAAAAGCACCATGTGCATAAGGAGTACCTTTAGCACCCATAACAAGTGCTTTCATTACATCTACACGTTCTTTATCTGCTCTTACGAATATTGCATTAGTATGTTCAATAGGTAAGGATGTTGACATATCTGCAAATTCTTAAGCTAATCTTACAATTTTATCTTGATTTATTTGTGTTGAAATATTTCCTGAATAATGATGTTTATATCTGCCACCAACTTTCATATCAATATAACTGAATCTTAAATCTGATAATAAGGTTCTATATGCTTCAGGTAATTATTTGGATAGAATTTCAGTTATCAATTCATTAGCTAATTCTTTTTATTTAATGAGTTGTTCTGTTTCATCTTCTTCATTACTACTACTACCACTATCATTCATTTTATTAATACAATTTTCCATTTTTTTATGAGTATCTATAATCATTTTGGCAATTTCAAAAGAGTGTTCTTCTTCTTCATTCTTCTTTCTATTATTTTAAATACAATTCATAAATATTCTAGAAGTATCTGCTAATGCACTTAATAATTCAAATAATGATTATGTTTAAGGTGGATAATATTATTCTGGTATCTTTAAGAAAACACTAGCTAGTACTTTATGATGTGACATAGATTAAACTATTTTCAAATACTTACAATATAAATCAAATTCTTTTGATATTTCCAAAAGTGAACCACTTCTGAATGCACTTTCCAATAATGGTAATAATGCACTTTCAAATAATGTATTCTTTAATTTATGTAATAATTCTTCATTTGGATGCCAATGTTAGAAATCAAAGAATGATTCCACTATACCTAATAATCCAATTAATTATTATGATTTTTATGTTTTCTTTTCTACATATTCTATTGTATTCCATTTCTAATTTTATCCAGTATTATCACTAGCATATCCTACACCTCTTTTCTATTTGTTTGATTTTTACAATAAATTATTTTTTTAAGGTGATTCTTAAACTATTTATTCTTCAACTACATTTCTAAATTCTCGTTTTGTCTCTCTACTAACTAAAGCTATTCTATCTAGTATTTATTTTATTAAATTCTATTCCAAAGCCTTTATTCTTACTTCTGGTCCACTACTAGCACTGAAAACATTAACTAAAGTAGTATAAATGAATTTAACAGCATTCTATTCCTCTTCTTCTAATTTCTTATTGTTATTTGAATCAGGAGGTCCAGCAATTAAATCAAATAATAAATTTACACATTATTAATTCTTCATAAACAAATTAAAAAAGTTAGGTAATTAACAAAATGATTATAATTCATTTAAAAATTATAACCAAGAATTAGCTCTTTATTAATTCTTCCATTATCCAATTCCTTCTCTAATAACTGATAACATAGCATTTACACCATTAAGTTCTTCAAATAAGGGGAATATTGTTAATTATTATGGATATGTGAATGTAGATGTTTTAGGTTGGATATTATCTATAAATTCTCTTGCATTAATCTCTAACACTATAATGTTTTATTGATTTGTAGGTAATTCACTCAATTTAGATTAATTCTCAAATATATTACACTCCTATTTTAATCCATATTTATTGAAAACAATTAATTATTTCAATTCACATAATTTCAATTAACTTGGTAATTAGTAAACTGGAACAACACTGTAATATAATAATGATTGATTTGTCTCATAATTAGAAAAAAGTAAACTAGTAGTTTCTTATGGTATATTAATTGATGGTAATGTTTTCTTTTATTTTTAAGGTCTAATACCAGAGATATAATATTCAATCTTTAAATTGTCTAAAGTTCCCTAATCTTTTAGATTCAATGATGTTAAATTGATTCTAGATGGTTCTCCTGGTACATATTCAATTTCTAAAAATACTTTATCATTATTTTAGAATGTTAAAGTTCCTTATTCATCATATATTTCAATAAAAGCATTAATTTCAATCTCTTCATTAACAATTAAATTATTTTCATTGAAATAGAATACTTTCATCTTTCCTTGATTCCAACTGTATGTTAAATCTAATTTGTCTGTTTTTGTACATTTTACATTATGATATAGTATAATAGTTTTATCTACATTATTGATTCTATAATTAATAACCATCATTTAAGGAGTAGAATTAAAGAATTTATCTTCTAAATGTGGCAACATATCAGAATCACCATCATTTTTTTAAAATGCTACCTTATTCCAATAGGTTTCACTTAAATGAGTAAATAATTAATCTCTTTATTTTATTGTTAATAATTATGATTCAAATACTAATTCATCTTATTATTAAGTATTATCTATTTATTTTTAAGCAATAAATTTTGGATCCAAAATATATTTACCTTAATCTTCAAATTAAATTTTCAAAAATACATAATCTTCACTATTTAAAATAGGAACTAATAAAGATCTTACAAACTTCATATCTTTAATACTTTCTAATCTTCCAATATCTCTAATTAAAGCTTCAATTATAAATTTAGCATGATATTTCTATACCATATAACTTATGAATTTTGCTGCTAATTCTATAGTTTTATCATCCAACTATTTCAATATAGATTTACTTGTAGGTTCTTCTATTAATTAATTATAGAGTGGTAAAAGATATTTGAGTAGATGATCAGCAATCTTCTTATTTGTTGATAAAGTATAAAAGAATTAGATAATATAGTTTAATTCATATTTACCAAAAATTGAATCCAACTGATTTATAATCCAATCAATACTTACTCTATTACCCAAAACTAATGGTCCAAGAACTTCAAAGAAATATGGTTATGTTCTACTTTTATCTAAAGTAAACTATAATATTTATTCAACTTCTTCAATTTATTAATAAGGATGTGGGAGATAAGTGATTGTTACTATTAATTTGATTAATAAATGTCTGGCATGTTTATTATGCAATAATTAAAATAATTCAATCAAATGAATTATATCATTCTTACTAATATTTAGAGTAAGTTCTCTTTATTTCAATTTACTATTTTACAATAAAAGAACATTACAATAAGATTCAATGAAATGTTAGGCTAATTTTTCATACCATAATAAATCTTATTATTAATGATTATTAATCTATAGAGCCAATAGTTTCTAAAATAGATGATTGTGCAATTTCAAGAATCTTTCATGAACATGTTCTCCTTCCAATATAATTTAACTTAGTAATTTACTATGGGATTATTCAGGATATTCCATCAATTTAACTACTAACCAATCTCCAACCTAATGATTATATTTAGCAATAGCTAATATTAATGGACTTAATTGAAAAGAATAAGAATTGAGCGCATTCATAAACTTATTGATATTATTTTAGAGTTGTTCTAATACAATAGAATCATTGGCTAATTATTGTAAAGTCTTTTGATAATTAGGTTTACAAAATTTAGATAGAATATCAATTGCAACCTTCTCTTATAATGTATAAATGAAATCAACTTTTTATTAATTTGCAGCATAACCAATTACTGATATAAAACTGATACCCAAACATAATTTTTTAACAGCTTTTGACATATCCAATTATTCTACATATTGTTATCTCATTCTAAAACTTATGAATTTTACAGATTATCCAGAAGGTAGTTATTTCTTATTCATAATCTGAGAATTATAACAAAATACTTTGACTTAATATTGTGAATAATATTCATCATTAATTAATTACATTTCAGCTATTGGATATAATTCTTCTAATGATTTTCCTACTTCTAATAAGATACTACTAGGAGTACCTAATTATTTATCAGCAAAATCAGCAGTAAATGTTTGAATACCCAATCTGATATTTTTGATTTCAATTTCATTATCCAATTAGAATACCATTTAATATTCACTTCTCATTCCCTATGGTAAAGTAATAAGAGCTAATCTACTCTTTGCACCTTTCTTATGTAATGGCCAATCTTAATTGGAGACATTTTAACCTGGTAAATTGAAAACCTTCATTTTACTACCAAATTCTTCTTCTAAAAATTAAACTTATGTAATCTATTTTTCCTTTATAATTTAGTTTATTAAATAATGATATATGTCTGATTAAAATTGTTATGCAACATCATCTGAAATTAAATACTTATCAAATTATTATTAAATCACTTCCAAAATTTAATTTGTATATGTAAATGCAGTATATGAAGTTATTTAATTATTTTCATATTTCTTAACTATCACATTATCTATGTAATATTATTATTAGAATAGTTATAATAACATATATTATTTGTATGGGAATAATTCAAATAATTAATCTAATGAATCACTCATCTATTTTAGTAATTATCCAGTATATGAATGTAAATTGTTTCCAGAATAAGAATTTAAACAATACCATACAATTAAATTATTTAAGTCTGGATTCTCATTTAATTATATCAAAGTTTATTCACTTTGTAATAATAAATAGATCATTGATTAACAGAGTTCCAATTATTAAATCATTTGACTATCAGCATTAATTATTCCATCCTTTCCTCCTAAAAAAGGTAAATACATGCCTATATATTTGAGTAATAAGTTGACATTATTTAAATAGATATGTTATACTTCTTAAGAAAATACAATGAAAATATGTTTAATGTCATTTAATTCTAAATGTGGTAATAAAGCTTCAATTATTTAAGAGCATGTCTAATTTTATTGTACTTGTTATTATGCTAAATTTAATGTGAATTATAGTAATTCATTCATCAATAATTTCTATTTACATCCTAAATAAGATTGAATAACTCTATGATAAATTTATAATTCATTCTATAATTAAGGAGTTATCATCAATATCACTTTCAATACTTTACTCCAAATTAGATAATTCTCTGATTTCTCTAATAGAATTATTAGTCTATTTATTGTGTCTGGATAACAAATTTAAATATGTTATCTTTATAAAAAGTCTTCAAAATCAGCTAATTATTTATTATTTCCTCTTGTTTTTAATTTATTTACTTTTTTTACACTTCTTGTTAGAAAATCAAATAATAAAAGTAAATTATCAATACTTAATTTTTCAACATTATCTTTTATGTAAATTTAACAAAAATATATAAGATATTTTGATATGTAAATTAAGCTATCCTTCTCAATTTATAAAATGTTATTAATTTGATCACTCAATAAAAGTGTAGCTGCCCAATCTGTATAACGACTTTCTAATTATCTAGGTGAGAATAGAAGATCTAACAAAGTTTTTAATTTTTCTGGGTATGACATTCCTCTTGAAAATAATTCTGTTAGAATATTTTGATTTAATGAATTCTTTATTTAAAGGGCAGTACATTTAGGTAATGCACTTTATAATAAATTTAATCTAAATTTATTATCATTGATAAGAAATTCAAAAATCAATGCTAAAATTCTATCATTATCTGGATTTCCATCTTCAGTTTATTTTTATTATGGCAGTCTTTAAAGTTAAATTACCAATGCATCATAAAGAATATCATCATTTAATTCAATGAGTTTCTATAATGATTCTAATATAGGTATTGGCAATTAATTCAATAACTTTTTCTTTAGAGGATTTTGACTTGTAAATTATTCTATAATCAGCTTATTCCATTCTTCTTCAGGGATTTAAATTCTAACTTTCTTTTGAATGAATTATAAAGCTAAATCAGTTATACCTTTAAAATCTCCTAATGATATAATAAGATGGATGAAATCTAATGCATCTGGTATATTACCAGAAATAGCAATAAGCATTCTTATTAAAAGTGATGAAAATACTGTCAAAAAATTGGAATTGTTTTCATAGTTTCTTGGAGGTGCAACTTTCAAAAATTCTAATTGGGTTTATTCTATAAGATTTTAAAGATGACTAGTTTGTAATTTACATTTTTCTTTTAATTGCATTTCTGATTGTAATTTATAAATTGCTTATTCTAGATAATCAGCATTTCTCCTTAATGATTTAGTTGACATCACTATATAATGATCAGTCAAATCAGTCTTTTTATAAACATTATATGAATCCATGAGTATTGATTGATCTGATTAATAAACATAGTAAAGAGTTTCTCCTAATGATAATGTAGTCTTATATCTAAAATCTTCTGTAATTTCTAATGGACTTAATTCAGCATTTAAAAGAGATCCATAGAATTCTGGAATGACAGTTAAGTAATTCTATGGAATCTATAATTAAGCTGCTTATTTGGAATAATAATTATCACTTCCCAAAGTCAATTATACTAATAATTTACGAGCTCTAACTCCATTGAGTCCAATATGTAAACAATTATAATTATGATAATTAGCGCATTTATGAACATAATCAGTAAATTATACAAAGGTCCATTCATCATAAACTTAATCCAATACTAAATTGTCTACCCAAACTTATACTCTAAATTTAACTGAGTTAGATGTTTATTGAAATCTTAAAGATAATTTTTCAATTTCAAATTCTCCTAAAAGATTAACTTCAAATCTTCTAATTTATTACTTATTTGATAATTGCATAATTAGAATTTAAGAAAGTGGATCTTTTTAACATATTAATGATTTCTAATTACCATTCTATTCTACTAAAGTTTCATCAATTTCTTCAATTTGAAATTATCCTTGAGGTCCTCCATATTTAGTTGAAAATAAGAACATATCTTTAGGTTACATTTTTTTTAATTTTTGTAATGCAAACAATAAAGATTTCATTGCAATATCTGTAATTTCTTATGGTTTAAATTTAGCTGTATATGTGATTAAACCTAAAAAGTATTCTAATCCACTTTCTGTCAAAACTACTTTTTCAATCTTATTAAATATCTATTGTGCAACTTATAATAAGATATCATGAAATTCATCATGTTTTTAGAGTTGTCTAAAGAATTCTGTAACTTATTCATTAACATCTTATGATAAAACATTTCCAAGAATAAATTTAGATAAATTAATAACTTCCAATACTTTTTTTGATTCTTTTTTCATAAATAAATTAAGAACAGTTAAAGCACCTGGTTTTTTTTGATATACTTATTCTATTAAATTATCTAATTAATTGATTTATAAATTATTATATTTTTTACCAGTCACAGTTACTTTTAATAATTTGTATTATGAATAATCATGAGGTTTGATAATCAATTCTCCTGAATAAACAGTATCAAATTCAATAATACCATTACTTGGATATCCATTCATTCCTTAATATTTACATTAAACAATCAATTTATCAGGTAAATCAATTCTTTTTCTTAGTTCATTTAATAATTGACAGTCTGAAATTGCCCCAACAGTTGAATGTTCACTTTAGGTTTTTGGAATTTCTTTACCAAAAGCAGCAAATCCTTTGATTTCAATAGAGTTTGTTTAAAAATGTGCTGTATGATCATGAGGTGTTTTTCTAAAATTAGTTGGTTTAAGCATAATATATTTGCATGGTCTTATAACTTCTAATTGACATAAAGCTTCTTTAGAATCTGCTTCAAATTCAAAATATCCTACTGGTTCATTTGCATGTAAACTTTAATGAGTTGATTTCCATTTTTCATATTGTTATTTATCAAAATTATCAAATTCTGAAGTATCATTAAACTCATGTTCTTCCTTTGATACAAATATCAATCCAGCTCCAATAGGAAATCCTCTAAAAACATTAGTGATCTCACTTTTAATTATAATATGATCCACAAGCATAGGTTCATCAAATTAATTTCTAAAAATAAATTATGTCTTAGGATAATTACTAGAGAATGGTTTATTACTATCAAAGAGCATTTAAGTAACAAATGTTTAATCATTAAAGGAGGCTCCTTTGAATGAATGTACAGTTAAAGGTAATTTTTATGGATCACTAACAGTTAATGGACTATTCATTAATAAAATTTGTTTAGGTTCTTCAATTGGTCCTTCAAAAACAGCTTTAATATGGATGTGAGTGAAATTATCTTCAATATAGAATTTCTATGTATGTATATCATCAGTAACTGTTTAAAAGATTTAAACTTCTTCACTTTAAATGATATTATTTTCTAAGATTTCAGAATTATCTTCAATTTATTTGAGTTAATAGTTGGTTTAATACCATATAATGTTATCTTTAATATAAGCATTAGAAATGGGATCTTAAATTTCCGAGACATTCAATTGAGAATCAATAATAAAATTTTTAGAATGACTATAAATAAGGCATTTAGTTTTAGAAATGAGTAAATTATAATTGAATCCAATGGATATCTATTTTTAAAATTCAATTTTTGAGTTTTAAGTAATTTCATAAATGCTTAATGCTTAATCACCAATTAAAAAAACATAAAGTCTATTATTCCAAATAGCATTATTAATAGCTTTAATATCATGTTCTATTTGAATAGCCTTATGATCAGCTTTAATCATTTCTAATTTCTTACAATGTTGACTATATAAAGGAGCCAAAGTTTCAACAATTTATCTACTTGTTTCTGATTACAATAATAATGAATAATCTTTATTTTTACTCCAACAATTTGTTAATACACAATAATATCCATCATCATTAATAAAAAATTGATCCAAATAATCTTAAGAATATGATATGAATTTAACAGAGAATACATTTTTATTATGTATACTTGCAACTAGAATTGGGAATGTTGTATTATTACTATTCCAATGAATTACTGTCACATAATCAATAGTACTTTCAATAATTTTATCTTTAATATCTTAATTAATTTCTTCATTTTCATCTACTTCAATTAAATCTTATTAATTTTATTATGGTTATTTTATAACAAATTATTCAATTTATTCATCTGGTTTTTGAGCATTACAAGCTTCACAATTTAGATTAGATTCTTTATTTACTAAAGTACAGATTGCACATTACCATTCTCCAATAGTACTACTTACAATATCAAGTGCATTATCAAAATTATTATTAGTTTAAATAAGAGCTTCTTTACATGTTGATTCTTCAAAACCCATAGCAATTAATTTCTCAAGTAAATTTTAATCATATAATGGTAATTATTCAGTTTCACCAGTTATATAACTTTCTAATATTTTATATATGTGACTAGGTGTTTCTTCTGATTAAATTTCAATTTTCTTCTTATTTTTTTGATAAGGTCCCAATTATCTCAAATCTACATCAATAACTTTAAATAATTATGCTTCTCCATTATATATTGTTATTTAATCTTAATTTCTTAAAGAGAAATATCGATCACTTTTGCATTATATTATATCACCTTTAGCTATTATCTCACTTCTTAATATTAATTTTGAATATTTTGTTCCATTTTTGTTTATTTCATCATCACAATATGCATATTTAACTCCTAAACCTGGTTGTAAATATTTTCCATATTCAACAACATTAAATGGATCTTCAGTAGCAGGATGATCTCCAAATGTTTATAATCTCATCTTTGCAGATTCTATACTTCTAATATCTTCAAATTGTTCTATCAATTATACTATTATTCTCTCAGCTATTCTGCATTATTCTATAGAATATTTGTATTAAAATTCATCCTTTTTTTCTTCTTAAATAATCTCCTCATTAATTGGTAACATCTATGTTATTTCTTGCAATAATTAATCATTCTCCTTCTCTTAAGGTTTACTCTCAAATTTCTCTTTTAATTTTCTCACATGATGTTTTAAATACTGCCTTAACCTTTTAAGTTTCTTAGATGTTTCCTCATCCAAAATTAAATATACTATCTCATTGTCCTTTTGATAATTACACATCACCAACTTCATCTTTATAAGTACATCTAACTCTGATTTATTAATTTGTTAACCAACCAAAGGACAATTTCGAACCAACACTAATCGATCTTGCAATTAATGAATTTCATTTCTATCTATATCATATTATCTATACTTATTGATTATAAAAGAGGCATTTGGATGCTACATTTACTAAGTCTAAAGCTAAACTTGTTCTAATTGCTCTACTACACTGCGATCCTCATACTTCATTGTCAAATGCACAGAATTCCCATATTGTGATAGTCTAACACAAGGGTACCAAGGACATGATATCAGACTGCCCTTTGGTATACCTTTGTTGGTGCTCAGATTGCCATTCAAGTAGAATTACAGTGATTGCTCGTTGAAATTAAGAAGCACACCCACCACTCTCTGCGTTGTCGTTTTAAATTCGAATAGGTGTCCCTCAAAATTTTCGCTTGGAGATTACTATTTGGATATGCCAATCTGCAATTAGGACTACGCCTTACTTTCACTCCTTCTGTATTAAAAGGGCATACGATTTCCCAATAATGAACGCCTTCGCTGAAGCATATATTTGCTATTGCTAAACCACTGGAGTCCTTTGCTGGATTAAGCTGTTAAATTGTTGTGCCTTAAAGCGATGCCACTGTATGTGGTGTTAAACGTGAAAAGAACATAAATTAAATAATTTCTCTGATACATTCTGAACAGGTATTTAGATTAATGTTCAAGAATGAAAAACACTTATTTATCTATATCATTTATTATTAAGTAACTCAATATCCTTACTTTATTTTTTTTATACCATACAAAAGAAAGACATTAAATTTAATTATTCTTTTTGAATTAGAGGAATTCTATTTATTAAATTATACCTTATGTATATTTTTATAAAATGCTTCTATTTGAGTATTGTGATCTAACCATCATTCATTAAATTAAATAATTTTAAAAAAATATGTCATCAGATTCAGAATCACATAAAAAAGAAGAGGCCAATCGAATTTATGTGACAGGATATTCTGCTAAAGAATCTGAAATGGAAATCAAGACCGCATTTGCTAGACATGGAGAAATTCAAGAATTTTCTTGGAAAGGGCGATTTTGTTTCATCGTAAGACATGGACCGTTTGGCATTTAGGGTACAGGCTTATACCAAGCCTGAGGACGCATCAGATGCAGTTAGATTAATGAATATGCAAGACTTCAATGGAAGAAATCTAATTGTCGAGTTAGCAAGAGCAAAGAAAAAAGATGGTGCATGTTATTAATGTGGAAAATAGGGGCATTTGTATTTATAAATATAATTCATTATAGTGCTCGAAATTGTCGTTTGAATCGACGTTCTTACTCTGACTCCAGGTATAAGAAAATGTGACATTAGGCGCCATTCAAAAAAGAAAAAAAAACATCCAAAGCATCGATCATCTAGCTCTTCCTCCAGTAGTGAAAAGAAAAAGTCGAAGAAAAAAAGGAGAAAGAGTTCCTCGAGTTCTCATTCACGATCAAGTGATTGATATAAAAATATTCAAATATATTAATAGTAAATTTATAATATAAATCTCATTCCTAAAACCGTTGATTTGTAATATGGGATAAAATAGTAGTCATAGTTCTATCTTCATTCCCTCCCTTCAAATCCTTCTTAAATGTTGGCATCTTAGATAGATTTCTTTTTATATTTTATTGACTCACTTCATTGTCTCTAATGAACATTCTCTTATCCACTTTAATAATTTATATAAAATCTTACAATCAATAACTCCAAAGCATTTTTCATTATGCATTAATAAATTGCTCTAAATCATGAATGTCTCCAATACTTTATGTCCAAAAGTAACAAATATTCTAACAGATTCTTCTGCACAATAATTATTAATCTTTTATGCTATAACATCACTCTCTTATCTCACAAAAGTTTTAATTTCTGTTTACATAACTCTTGTTTTTAAGAACATTTCATTCAAATTAACAGTCTTAAAACAAGATGCTTTTGCAGCACTACTAACTCCATTTTCTTTACATTAAGGTGATAAAGGTTCTTAACATAATAAAGTACGTTTTGGCTTTTAATTATTAATGAAGAATTGAAAACAATTATCAGGTAAAAATGGATCTAATGATTAAACATGAACAGAAAAATTCCATAACATTGTTTATTAATTTATTCTATTTATTTCTAATTTTGATTTCATCACATTATGTTATCTATTTTTAGAATCTATCTTGGCTCCATCTTTAATAATAAAATTAATTAAATACCTGGACAAACAAGTGCAAAATCTAATTAAAAGTTATTTTTATTTGGAACATATATTAAAATATGATATTGATTTATTAGACTATAATAATCTGGAATCATAGGAATATTGAGTAACTACCCTGCAGAATTAGCAAGTACATCAAAATCATATGATACTTACAAAAATCCTTTTCTTTATGCATGTACTCTAACTTATTTAAACATTAATCCTTGACAAGTAAATAATCCTTATTCATTGGTCATACCAATAAGTGGTTCTTAATCTGTTTAATCAGATTAAAATATTTCAAGTCTACAATTCTCAATATCTTTATGTTATCCACTTCTTAAGAGTATATTATACGCTCTAAATTATAGAGTTGTCTCAACACAACTAACCAAATCAAATTCAATTTTTACATCAGTATTCCCTTATAGAAATACTGTTCTCTTTTAAGAAAAACAATCTTTTTTACTTACATCAATAATATATTCTTATTTATCTCTTCCATAAAATATAAAAGCTTATTCATTAATATCAAAAGTTAAAGTTTCAGTAATATTCTTAGTTACATTAACAGTAGCATCTTCAGGAGCTTTAACAATACATTTAATAACATCATTTCTTTCAACTCTAGTTGAAACATATACAGTGTCTGTATTATCATCAAGAAGTTCATCAACATTTAATTGAGTTTTAGTTGTTTGTATACAATTTCCAGTAATTTCTATTTCATAAGCATTGACTTATTAAACTAAATCAATAAATTTTGCTTCATCAAAACAACTAAGTGGAACTGTTTAACTGAATAATTTAACAGTAAACTTTTTCTCAGGTGATTAGGCTCTCTATTTTTATCCTGAAAGATCAATCTAAGAGATATTAGTTTATGTCATCCATGCTTAAGATTTAGTAGGTGAAAAATAAACTCTTACTGATTTTTCTATATCTCTTATGTTTTCTGTACTCTTGTAAATATCTAATTTAGAAGCACTTTTTTAAGCACTTCCTTATTGACAAAATGAAGTTCTTATAACAATTTATTTTGTAGGAGTTTATGCTGATTATAATGTAGGAGCCTCTCTCTAACGGACAGTCACTTAAAGTCCCTCTAAAATATTTCTTTACAATCCATCTTCACAAACAGGAATAACATTTTTTATTGGACAATCAACATTGACTGTTAAATTAAATTTTCTAAGATGGAGCCATACTAAATCAGCTATCAATTTAGGTGAGATTTGCTCTTTTGAAAATTACCTAGAATACAATACAACTGAATGCACTTCAGGTTGATACAATTGAATTTATAAGTAGTGATCAGGATGACTTATTTATTATCGAAATACTTTTATGAAAGGATACCTATAAAATATACATAATAATTTTACTTTCTATTGATTGTTTACTTTATCTCATCCAATAAATCTTAAAATGCTTCCTTTGTTTCATCTACACCTGTACTCTTAAATTTTGGATTATAACAACTCTATATGGAAACTGCTATTTGTTATGATTTAAGTTAATCAAACTCAGGAAAATTCACAAAAGACACTTTCTCTTAAATACTAGAGATTATGTTTCTCAAAAATTCCTTATATTATAAAGTAATTTTAGTTGTCATTGTTGGCATCAAATTGTCATTAAAAAAACTAAATCTCTACTAATAAGGTACCTCACTTTGGATTTGAACTTAAATCTATTAGGAGACTGCTAAGAATTAATGCTGCTGGTTGTTTAGAACATAATTTTATATTTGATCGTTAAAAAATTAAAAGGAGAATTTCATTAGTCATCATGAGATTAACTAAACTTCATAATAAATATATTATTAATATCATAATTCAATAATAAAAAGATATCTACATAATCAGAGATTCTCTAATAAATCATTTAATGATTTTATCATATAAACCTTTTGGACTGTTTATTTAACACTGAAAAAACCCTTGTTAATTAATACTTTAAAAACAATCTAAAATCTTTAAAGATCTAAAAATATTTTAAGAATAATTTTTGATATTCAATTCAATCTTTTTATTAATTTGCTATTTCTTATCCTTATATTCGTTTCTCACTTTCTAATTAATAACTCTACACTTTCATTCTAACAGCAGAGTCTTTATCTCCTGAACTTTACTTATCTGAATTGTCTATTTCATTTGCTTTATTCATAGGTAAATTTTTGTTATATTCTCCCATATTAAGTCTAAATAAGCCCTAATTCTGTTTTGTAAATCTTAATAATATTTAATTTAATATAGAATTTCTATTTAAATTCTAGTGAATTCTTAAAAAGATTCAAACACAATCTCTATGCATTTGGAACTCTTAATTAAGCTTATTTAATTGAACTACTTTTGCTAAACTAACATTTTTGAATATAGATTTATGAATATGAAATATCTTGCATAAATTAATTCAAAAATAATAATTATATGATTAATAGATAAGTTTGTTGATCATCCCTTTTTCATATCATAATTATTCTTAATATACTATAATCTGGTTCATTTGAAATTGCGGTTGATGAATAGAGTTAAAAAATATCATTTAAAATAATGAGAAAATGTATGTTTAAATTCATAATTAAGTTAATTGAAAGTTCATTAAAAAATGATCAAAAACTTGTAAAATAGATATAATATTTTAAAGATATTCAATTTCAAAATGAAAATTGTCTAATTCAGATATAAACATTATTTGTTTTACTAAATAAGAATTAAATAAAAATATATATATATATATAGATAATCTTTTAGAATTTTGATAAATGAATATATAAATATTTGTACTAATATCAATTTACTAAATTCAGTACACCCAATTTTCCATCTGAAGTTCCATAACTTAATTTATTGTAACTTGTATTATGATCGATTGTCATTACCCCATTTAATGAACAACAATATGTATCAACACATCTATATTAGGAATCAAATTGTCTTATTTCAGAAAATACACTTAAATGATATTATTGATTACCTTCCAGCATTTGCAGCATAGATATAATTTGTTCTCTTATCAAATTTACATGCATATAATTTACTAACATTCTATTTTGGTAATAATCCTTAAACATTATTTCCATACTCAGCCCATTCAATAGTCTATAATTTATTTAAAGTTCTAGTGTCCCAAATTTCTAATTATTTTTCATCTCTATATGATGCAGTAATCAATTAAAATCCTTTTGAATCCATAGAATCTCCATAAACACAAGGACCAAAGATATAACCAGTTGATTTCTTTTGTCTTAAATCCCATTAAATAACCATTTTATCCCATCCTCCTGTATATAGTTAATTATGATCACCCTAATTAAATTTCATACCAAATATTCTATTCTAATGAATAGCTGATTGTCCTTCCACAAAAGTAGTAGGAGTCTTACTCAATTTTCCGCAATCATAAAGTTTAACATGACAATCAGAACCACCTATTACAAACTTATCACCATCTAATGAAAACTCACAACAATTGATTTGATTATCTTTATCTTCTAAATTAAATAATGATTATTTAGATGTTGCATGCCAATATATAATACTTCCATTAGCATATGTTGACAATAATGTGTGTTTTAATTACTCTACAACTTAGCCAGGTCTCCATTTAACACATGTAGCTGGACCTGGTTTCTATTTGGGATCTAATAATGGAACTATTGTGTAATCTTTCCCCAAATAAGCAATATTTACAAGACCATCAGAATTAGCTGAAGCTAAAAATTAAGTTGTATTATCGAATGCACATGAAAGCACTTTTGTTGGCTTTAAATATAATTACAGTTTATACTTCTCCTGTTACAATATCATTCTAGAATTAGTAATTTTTTAGTTATGAAAATGATGATTAAGCAAATATATCCTTATAAGCTGCTCTTATTCTTTCTAATAAGACAGTATCCTCAACTCCTCCATTATCATTAGTATCTGTTGATTGTGAAACTTAGGTAGAAAAATTTCTTTGTCCTTCTTTCTAACTTTGCATTTAATTATGATTGAATTGTATTTTAATAAATGTTATCTTTCTAATAAGAATATGAAGAGATCAATTTTGTATCAAATACATTAATACAATATTAAGAATTCATTTATATATATAATAACTCATCCCTTATGAAATATTAAATAGTATTCCATCCTTTTTAATTGTTAACTATATCTATTATATTTACATATGATCAATAAAAGACTTTAAATATATTACTGAATGACACGTGCAAATCTAAAATTAGTTTAAACAATCAAAATTAATAGAATACTTACAATATACTTAGAGTTGTAAATATATATACAAGATGTTTAAATCTTTAGAATTAAATTTTATAGAATTTGAAGAAACGATAATAATATATGAGGTAATAATAAATTTAATTTGAATTTGCTAAAAATAAATATTACTAAATAGCAATATGAATCTATAAATCAATATCTTATGAAAGATATATTATATTTATGATATCATAATTAATTGAGAAATTAAAAAATTGTATATACTTATTAATATCCTTATCTTATTTTTATTATAATCTAATATTTAAAAATAATTATTGATTAAATACTATTTTAGTAATAATTTTTTAAACACTTAAGTTTTAAAAGGAAAAATGTGTAAGAACATTTATTTTTACAAAGAAAATGTAATTAAATCATAAATATTGAAAGAAATAAATAAACCAAAATTTTTGAATATTCTTATATATTATCATAAATATTTTCCATATTTTATTTGAATATTTTTCATTAAAGTACCTTCAATTTCTTTGAGAGTTGATGAATAACTTTTTTTAGGAATGTACATTAATTTTATTTCTTCTTCTGCCACATAAGTAAATGATTCAACTGTACCAGCTACTATACTTTAATCTCCAAAATAATCACCTAATTTAGTCAATTCAAATAATTTTTCTATGATAAAATAACAAAATTACAATTATTTTTATTCACACCCACTCTTCCTTATTCTACTATAAATATTTCATTGCTTTTTTATCCTTATTATAGAATGATATCTCCTTTTTTAAATTATTTTTCAAACAATGCATCACTCATTTTCAATCTATCATAAGGATCCTTAATTTCTTTTAATAAATCCCAATTTTCAAGAAAACTTGATATAAAAATATTGTAAGTACTTTTCAAATTATTATCTCTTTTTAATAGATGCTTCTTTTACAATTAAATTAAATGTTTCTCTATCTAATTACCAAAGAATAGCTTTATCACTTTTTACAATAATAGATGCAGCCTATATAATTGAATATAATAAGATACTCTTGGAGATTAAAATAATAATGCTAGTTCACCAAAGCTTTCTCCTGGATAGTATGTTTTAAGGAAGATATCTCCTTTACCATAATTCTTAAAACAATCTAATTCTCCTGTATCAACAACATAAAGTACATTTCCTTCCTCTCCTTATTTAATTACATATTCTGCTTTATGGAATATCTTTTCTTCCATAGCTCCAACAACAATTTCAATTTCTTTATCATTTAATGCACTAAACATGAATCCTGCTTGCATTCTTTATTTAATTCTTTCAGATTATTCCTTACTTTTAGGAATAAATTTAGCTTTAAAGTTCTCCTTTTTATTAAATTGACCATAAGCTTCAGCAGAGACAGAGAATCTCTAAAATAATTAAGAATGATTTACTTATTTTTATACATCCTTTTTGATAGCAACAATTTCATCAACTTCATCATCAGATGATTCAGAATTAGAACTCAAAGCACAATCTACATGTTTTTTCTTATTGAGTTATTACATAAAATTAGGACCATTTTTTACTTTTTAAGGATTCATAAATTAAATAAAATAATTAACATGAAAGAATAACTCCTTGGTAAAATAGCAAGATATAGAATATTTTTATAATAAGGATTATAGATTCCTGATGAAAATGGTGATGATTTAAGATGCATAGATTTTAATTTTGATAAATACATAGAATAGTAATTATAGATTGAACAAGAATAAAAAGTTGAATAAGAAGATTAAAAAATAGAATAAACAGATAAAAAAATAGATGAATTAGATTTAAAATTGAATGATTAAGATTTAGAAGGTTTGTTAAAAGATTTAGAAAATGTTTAATTTAATGGAGAAATAGATTTCACTAAATAAAATATTGGTGATCAAGTATAATATTCATATAATAATATTAATTAGACTTTAATTAGATTATCTGTATTAATCTAAAAACTACCTATTTCATCATTAATTTTATCTGATACTAAAATTTCATATATTGGAGGTATAGAATTAGGTAAAGCTATTCCTAATAGTAAATTAAAGAAGTTAATATTAACAAATTGTAATTTAGGACATAGTTCTAAGTAAGTATATTATGATTTCAATTAGTATTTTAATGGAATAATTATAATTCTTAGATGAAGTAGATTTTGGAGTACTTGGTAATAAAGCTCTTCGATATTTATCATAATAAAAACATGAATTATCACATTTAGGATTTCAAGAAAATCCAAAGGAAGTTTGGGATGTATAAACTAAAGATTTATTTTTGAAATCAATACCTAAATCATTATTAAGTATATAATTTTAAATAGATAATGCTGATCATAAGAAGTATAATTTTTATATAATAAAGATTCATAGGAATTGCAGAAATTAAATGTTAAGAAAATAGAGATGCTTATTTAAGAAAGAAAGCTAATGAATATAAGAGTAAAGATTTAGATCCTGATCATCCAGATTATTACGATTGGTATTAATAAATCTAATAATTTAGTGATGATTTTAAAGTCAATGCATTTAAATTTAGTGTGAAATCTTATCTATCTAATGTTTTCGAATCCTTATTAGATGAGTCTTTATATTATTTGGAAAAAGAAAGGCAAAATGTACTCAGAGATGATGCTATCTATCATGTTACAAATGAATTATTACCCTAATCAATTATGGAAGATATTTGTTAAGCAGATGGTTCATTGATTGTTTTAGCTAAATATCTTTTGACCAAAATTAAAAAATGATATATAAATTCATCTTATAAATAATAATAATAATATTCAATCAAAATTATTAAAGTCTATTTTATAAACAATCTGGAGATTGATGAATCTCTAAATCTTTTAAACTTTAAACTGAATCTTTACTACCAATAACTTCAGAAACTTTTCTATCATCATCTAATTCATTAGGTACATCTAATTTTATTTGATCTTCTAAAGCTTTTTGTTCATCATCATTTTATTATTGTAATATGGTTGTATAATTTTATTAAACAAGATTAAATAAACTTTTATTCTACATAGCAAATTTTATTAATTAATCATTCAATTACCAATTTTTATTCTTGTTTTCAATTATTTTTTAAAAATTGTCAACCAAATCTTAAGCATTTTCTGCTCCTAATTAAGCTTTAAAAAATCTTGTAAGTTTTGCTAATCTAACATTAATAGGTACTATTAATAATATAATTATAATAATACTTGTTGAAGTAGCTGCATATTTAATTATATTTTAATGATTATCTATATGACTTTAATTAATTTATTGTTATTGTAATTAATTTATTGATTTAATCTATTTATTATTTGCAGTTAATATATCAAATAATTCTTTTTGATCAGTCATTTAATCCTAAAAAACAGGTGAACAAAATGAATTAAAAAGCATAAGTTAATCATCATCAAACAAAAATAACTTTAAACAATCAATTTCATATAATTTCTTCAAAATATTGGTTAAATCTAAATCAAATTCTATTTTAGATTTAGCTATTTAAGAAATTACTAATTCTTTTTCATCCTCAATATTTTTACAACTTTTGAAGTATTTTCTTATTATGTAAAGTACATATTAATAGAATGAGTAATTTATAGTATAATCAAATATCTTAATAAAGATGTAATATTACTTGTTGTAATAATTTCTTTGAATTCTTTGCTGAAGTTTATAATTTCCCTGGTGTTTATGATTAGTTTACATATGATAATTTCCTTTTTTGAACACTTTTTAAATCAAATTTAAAAACAGAATTCATTAATATTTCAAAAGTCTTATGTTGATTATATACTTTATAGAATATTTTGATGAACTACATAACAGCTAAACATAAAGCAGTAGCTTCTGATACTGCTGATAAAATAATTGAAGGCAAGTCTTATTATATTACAAAATAAAATGAAGTATCAGATGAAGCTCTAATTTTCATTTAATTAATACCTTAAATAAAATGTGCACAATCCAACTCCTGAAGAAATTTAAATAGGTTCTTGTCTCCTCTCTTATCTTTAAACCACTGATCCATTATACAACCTTTCATTATCTTCAATATTAAACATATCACTAAAAAATTGTATTTTCTCTAAAAATATATTAAAATTCATTTTACTTAAATCCATTTATAATGGTTACATGTAAATATCTTCATTGTCACCAATACCAGTTGTTAATCTCCAAAATATATTAGTAGAAAAAACATCTGCAGGACTTGAATAATTTAAAGATTGTTTTATTTTTGACCCTTTAATAAACATGTCTACATTTACTCTTTAGATATTTATTATTAATATTACCCTTTATTTATAAAATCTTCAATTTCTTTAGAGGATTTGCATGATTGACTAGTGGAATTATTACATACAGTGACAGTTAATTTAATATAAGCAAAATATGGTTCATAGAATTATCCTTATAATGTAAAATTCCCATCAAAACAAATTAAATTTTCTTTTTATTCTTCAGTCATTGATGCAGAATAGAAATTAAATTATTCAATTTTTTCCTTAGAACATTTAGATTAGTTTAACTAACTGAAATTTCTAGTAAATCCTATTTTACCTTCAACTCTTTGTTATTAAATATATTATGCAGATAATGTAAAATAACTAGATTGATTAATTTATAATTTACTCTTTGACATTTGTATTATTGGTTAAGATTTTTCCATCTAGAGTAGATAATTCAATAGAAAATATTGTATTTTCATTACTCAACACAAATTCAGTGCTTTTATCACTTTATGTACCAGCATAAATGGTATTCTGATTTTAAATACTTCTTTGAAATACTCCAACAATATAAAAGGAAGTGAAAATTAATAGGAGAATACTAATAAATCCTCCTAATATTATAGAATTATATATAGAACCTATTGGTGTTAAAGATTTCTCTTTTTGTGAAATATTAAATTCATAAGGATCGACAAGAAGATCTGCTTTTTTTATAAAATTTCTAATCATTAAAATAATTTAAAAATATTAATTTACTTTGCATAAATAAATTAATTCTAAATAATTATATTATCTATCTTAACATCATATAATTTTTACAAAAAAATAAAATTATTATACTTATATAAAAATAATTCATGTACTAGGTTGATCTTTCCTTTATCTCATCTATAAATTTTATAATATATATATCAATACTTCATTAATAACAGACTTTACAAAATTAGGATAAACTTTCCACAATAATTAACAATAATCTAAGATTCTTTCATTATATTTATATTCTCCATTATCATCAATTGTGAAACCAATCTCTGACAATTTTTAATGATTTGTCTTAAGATGATTTTTTAATTGATTTGGTTTTTTGTAAACCTTCTAACATTTATGATATGGACATTTAAAGACATTTTTCTCTGCATTATAAGGTTAAGATTTAAAATGTCTAATCCTTACTTCCTCAAATAAACGTTTGATCTTTTCTTCTGTTGTCTAGTTTTCTAATTTTGTTCATATTCATATCATACTTTTTTCTAATGCTTCTCTTTACCTTTATACAAATTCCTCTGTTACATGAGGGAATAAATTTTAGAGATCCTTTTCAGGTATTAAATCATGTTAATCTTCTTCTGGCTCTTATTCTTCAATTTTCTATGGTTTTTTATCAAGATCTGGTTATGGAGGTTAAGGAGTAGGTTCAGGTATAGATTATTATTGATCAAATGCTAAAAATTTAATTTTAGGTATTAATAAGGATTTTAGATATTCTTATAAAACTTTTTTTGCACCATATTAATTATTTCCTAATTTAACAAACCATTCTCTTAAAAATTTAAATTGAATTTAAATCATCTATGCTTCATTTTTATCTTATATTTATATATATAAATTACTTTAAATTTCTTAATGTAAATTTTGTATAGGTTTTTTATTTTATTCACTTCTTGTATATTTAATAATTGATTTAGTAGAAATGGTTAAAGAGTTATCATTTCCATTAACTTCTATTTCATCTGCATCTTCAAGTTTAAAATCAATCTTTTATTTTTATTATTAATATGGATAAATCTATTTAATTTATATCATTTACAATTTAAGGATTCTAATTTGATTCTTCTTCTTTCTAATCTTTCATAGGTCGATCTAGAGTAACAATTTAAAAATTTCTATTGCCAATTTAAAATTTCAATATTATGTCTTATTAATCATTTGTCAAAATTGAACTAAGAATGAAATGATTAAGGAATGTTACTTGATAGATGGATTTGCTAATAATGTAAATGATACTTTTTCCTGAAAGATGTCTTCAAAATAAAGTATTTTTACTTAATGCTTATGTAGTACCATTAGGAGTTGGTCTAATAGTTCCAGGAGGCATATATGAAAGGAAACGTTATCTTTACAATGCATTAGGATTTTTCTGAGATTAATTAAATGATTCAATAAGAGTTTAAAGATTCTTATCTTAAGCAAAAGAGTTCTAAAATTTAGGAAGCATTATTATATTTAAATATTTAATTTAATATAAATTTATTATAAGAAAATGTAAGGGGATAATTAAATAAATAGAGTTTAATATAAAATATCCTAAAACTAGCAATTCATTCTTAGATAGATTCTTTGTTTTAGACATATAGATTTGGATTTTCTATTTGAATAGATCCATTTTATCTTTTAGATGATAATTCTTCTCGATTATTCAATATACCATTTGTAGTATATAGGTGATTTAAAACTTTATAATTGTTAGGCTTTCTCCTCTCAGTTTTAGATATACTATAAATATTTAATTATAAATACCTTGATCTATTCTCTTCTACAGTTCCTGCACGAACCCCATAATTAATATTAATATCTTAATATTATCTTACTACTCTTGTTAGATCTTCTATATGTTTTTTTCTATTTTTTTCATCGTTTCTCTATATGATAATAATTCATTAATATTACTTCATCATTAGCTACTTTACCATCAAGCATTCTAATTGTTCTAGTTGAAAAGTTTTTTAAGTTAGTATCATGCGTAACCATTATTATTGTAATACCCTTTTCAATATTTAAATCAATAATAATCTTCATAATCAAATCTGAATTCTTTGTATCAAGATCTCCAGTTGGCTCATCTAATAATAATATAGATGGATTATTAGATAATGCTCTTGCTATTGTAACTCTTTATTATTCTAAAATTATATATATATATATCTTACCTCCTCCTGACAATTAATTTGGATAATGATTCAATCGACCACTTAATCCAACTTTTTCTAATAATTAAATTGCATATGATCTTATTTAAGTTTTATTTAGTGTTCCTTTGAGAATCATTGGCAATTCCACATTCTCTAATGCTGTCAATGATGATATTAAATTGAAAGTTTAGAAAACAAATCCCAAAGAAGATAATCTAAGAGAGGCAAGGAATTTATCATCTGTAGATGCCCTAATTCTTTGACCACAAATTCTCACATCCCCCTATTTTACATTAGGATTATGAATTATACTTTTGTGGGTAAATCAATACTACCTAACAAATTAAGTAATGTTGTCTTGCCACATCCAGATGTTCCCAATATTGTAATGAATTCTCTTTCTTAAACATTAAAGGATACACCTAAAAAGTGTAATTTCAATATTTTAACCTCTTAAAGCAGTGACTCCTTCTAATCCCAATAAATATGTTTTATGAACATTTCTCACTTCTATTATTGTATTTTAATCTTATTGAAGAAGTGGATAAATTGGAATTTCATGTTTTTCATCAATATCTTTATCCTCTATATCAACTATCATTAAGTGATATTTAATATATTAAAAATAATAAAATACTTAAATCTCATATATATGAATTATTTCTAAGATTTATTCAATAATTTTCTTAAACCTACTATCATCGATAATATCTTTTGTTGATATATTATTAAAATTAATTAATAATTAAGATGCTGATTTATATATATATAACTTTACCATTATATATTCCCAATTATTTAGATTATATTCATAAATATTATAAAATTACTAATAATTATTTCATTATATTTGAGATAATCATTAAGATTTGACAAAATTTTAGTTTAGAAATTGCTAATATATTACGATTTAATTTTGAAATTCAAATATATTTATGAAAACTAATGATCTTATATAGAATTTAATGTCTAAGTAATTGAGCAATAAATATATTGTTTAATTATTAAAGTTTAATTAATTGATCATTAATGCTCTTTACAATTAAAATAAGGTAATGAATTTAATTTGGAAGTATAATTACTCTCAGACTTTTTGATTCTAAATGGAATAATTTAAGTTAAGATATTGATTATTATTAAATTATATATACATAATCAATCACTCATGAAATCATCCTATTATTTTTACTATTATTATGAGATGATTCTATTCTTAGGATTTTAAGGACAGTTAGCTTAAGTGTGATGAGTGCTGCTGCAAATATAGCATCCACCACCATATGCATATAATCCTTTAGGATTCTTGGGACAATCCCTACTAATATGTCCAGTTTCTTTGCAAACAAAGCATGTAGCGAATTTTAATGAGCCAGATTTAGGTTTTTAACAATCTTTGAGTGTATGTTTCTAAGAACCACAATTATAACAAATAACATCAGTAGTTGGTTGAACATTCTAAAATTTGATTGAAATTTAATACATCTCTACAATGTTAAGCAGTATGTCCAATTTTCTTGCATACTAGACAAACTTTATCTTTCTCTTTCATTTTTATTTACTTTTTTTCCTTTTATATTTCTTCAACTACTTATTACTTTTTAGTTAACTTCTTTTAAATTCTTCTTTCTAAATCTTTTTATTTCTTTTCCTCAATTACATTTGGATCTGCTATAAATTTACTTTAATACCGATTAATTTCACATTTTTTTTTAATTATGCTAACTCATGATACAATCTCTTTCTCTTAGTTTAATTGTCAGGACCTTGAAGTTCAGCAATTCTAGATTCCAAATTTGAGATTTTCTCTTAATATTATTCTTCTGTCATATGCAAAATTCGAAGATTTGCCTCTTATTTAGGTTCTTTTACTATCTTTTTGTTTACACCAGATTGTTTGGATTGCTTTTGAGAATTTTTGGTGATTTATTTTCTCATATAAAAATTAATAACCACATATTATTATCATTTATTTGGTACACGATATTCCTCACCCAAATGTTCTGGTGGTTGCAAAGGTATGTTCAAACTATATAATACACAAAGCATTCATACACATTAGATTAATCCAATTTCTATCCCTTTTCTAAGAAATATTCTCTAGTATATTTATACACAGCTGGTTCTGTTTTACATTAATAATTCTTAGAATAATCAACATAGAATTCTGGTTAACCATATTTTTTTAAAACTCTCTCTTCAAAAGAAGGTAATTTAGAGCATCGTTCAATCTAATATCAATATATATGAATTTATTACTTCTTATTAAATCCATTCTTTAAATTTCCTAAAATCACCATATCTAGTACAATTAACTCTGAAAGGTGCTTTTTCTTCTTAATTCCAGAACTCATCATAAGTAGGCCATCTTTTCTTTCTGTAGATAGGCTTCAAATACTATTATTTATTATAAAATTATTCTGATCTATTGGGTCCCCAAAACTTTGTGGTTTGTTTTGCATCATACCTTTAAATATTAAATTAGATATGAATACAAACAAAATTTATCCAAATTTGAATCTTCAAAATCAAATTCTTTAGTGGCTAATTTATTTCTCCATGGGTCCATTCCCATACCAAATGCATGAATAAGTCCTTTTGGTGATAAATATATTTTGCACACCACAATTTCTGAATATTCATCTGGTTTATAATATGGATCATGAAAAGTTGTCCAAACATAATAATCAGTCAATGATAAATCAAATCTATATTTAATTAACTCTTTTTATTTTACTTAGGACGATCATAAATAGCTACACGCTTTTACTTTGGTTAGATCACTTAAATTTCTTTTTCCTTTTCTGCCTTAACTAATTTGGTATATTTTAGATAAGTTTCAAAATTGTAATTAGTAGTATGAGTGAATCTTTCTTATTTAAGATTTTCATCTAATAATCCACTTTATTCAAGTTATTATTATTTTTCTTTGATTGCTAATTAGAGTGCTCTCTTCTTTTAATTTACATTTTTTGGAGGTACAGGTTTTACAAATCTGCTAAAGATTTGACTCATACAAAATCGAGGCAGATATAATTACATATTTTTAATATTTTAATTTTTTTAATTCTTATCATACTTCTAATGCATCAAAACTCTAATTTATCAACTACATCACTCTAATAAGGAATTGTAACTTTTAGAAGTGGTTCCATTTCCATTTATCTTTTAATATTAAATTATGCATTCTAATTCCCACACCATGATCTTCTACTAACACCATTATTGACATCCCATTACAACATCATTTTAGCTCTTCTAGATGCATCATCTAAATATTATTAATAAATATAATTACCTGAACCATCTAAAACTAATCCAAATCCACCATTTATGACTTCTCCCCAACCTACTCCACCACCATTATGTAATGCTACCCAAGTTGCTCCTCTAAATGAATCTCCAATCACATTTTGAACTGCCATATCTGCTGTGAATTATGATCCATCATAAATATCAGCAGTTTCTCTATATGGACTATCTGTTCCAGAAACATCATGATGATCTCTTGACAAAACTATAGGTCCTGAAATTTATCCCTATTTTACAGCTTCATTGAATCTTAATGCAATTTCAGTTCTTGCTTATGTATCTGCATATAATATTCTAGCTTATGATCCAATTACTAATTTATTTTCATCAGCCTTTCTAATCCAATCCAAATTATCATTTAATTAATCTGCTACTATTTTTGGTGATTTTGTGATCAAATCTATTAAAACTTATTCAGCTATTTTATCTGTCAATTATAAATCTTCAGATCTACCACTAGTACATATCCATCTAAAAGGTCCAAAACCAAGACTGAAAATATCTCCCATAATATCTTAGAAATAACTAGGATAACGAAATAGTTATTCATCATTTTCTTAATTAACATTAGCACCAGCTCTTCTACTCTCCAATAAAAAACGATTTCCATAATCCCAAAAATGCATACCTTTTTATGTTAATTTATTAATTGCATCTACTTATCTGATAAGTGATTCATAAACCAATTTCTTAAATTATTCTGGATCTTTAACCATCATTTCATTTGCCTCCTCAAATTATAATTAAACAGGATAATATCCTCCATTAAATGGATTATGTAGAGATGTTTAATCAGATCCTAAATCTACTAAATTTATTTCTTCTTATGCCAATCTTTCCCATAATAATACAATATTTCCTAAAAATCCAATAGATTCTGCTCTTTTTTCTTATTTAGCCAATTTAATTTCTGTAATTACTTATTCAACATCTGTTATCTTCTTCTTAACCCAACCTTATTTCAATCTTTTATCTAAAGCCTTTTCTGAAACTTCTGCAATGACTGAAATACATCCTAATATATCTCCAGCCTTAGGTTATGCTCCACTCATTCCACCCAATCCAGATGAAACAAACACTACACCATTTAATGAATCTGTCTTTAAATATTTTCTAGCTGCATTCAATAAAGTCAAAGTAGTTCCATGTACAATACCTTGACTTCCTATATAACAATAACTTCCTGCAGTCATTTGTCCATACATTGTATTACCTAAAGCATAATGTTTCTCATAATGTGATTAAGTAGAATAATTAGGAATCATCATACCATTACTCAAAACAATTCTTGGAGCATCAGGATGACTAGGAAACAATCCTTATGGATGACCACTATTCATTACTAAAGTTTGATGTTCATTCATTTCACTTAAATATTTCATAGTTAAGTGATATTATGCCCAATTTTAAAACACACTACCATTACCACCATAAGTAATTAATTCATGTGGAAATTATGCTACTTCATGATTGAGATTATTCATTATCATATGCATGATAACTTAAGCTTATTTACATTTGCATGGATATCTAAGTATTACCTAGATTCATACTTATCATATGGATAGGCTTTCATCTCATAATTTGGAATCAATCTATACATATATATGTGTCCATATGTTTATAATTCATATAAAAACTCTGGTGCTAATCTTTCATGTAGATCTGACTCAAAGTATCTCAATGCATTTTTCAATGCCAATCTTTATTCCTACACTTTCATTTATGATTTACCTATTTGTTTAAGCAGAGATTCTTGCAAGGAGCATGAGGGATTGATTGATCTCTTACATAGCGATTCTTCTCAAAATCAACTTAAATCCCTTTCTTTACACTTTCCAAAAATGCGTAATCGATTTACATATTTTAATAATATTTATGATTTATTCCTATTTATATTCACTCTTTTATCATGTTACTACCACATTTAAAATAGTAATAAATTCTGTATTCTGAATTTTTAATATTAAATGACCATATACACACTCTTCAATTTCTATTTTATACAATCTATATATACTTCATACAAGTATTTAATTATTTAGAAAGATTTATATCCTAAATAATATTTATGTTCTTATTAGTCTGTATTCAATTTCTATCTTTTCTTCAAATATTTAAACATCTTTCTACAAGGTCAATATTGTAATATAAAATGTAGTTTTCACAAATTTAATTAAATCTTGATGTTTTACAGAAACCAATACAATTTATCAACTATTACCTATTCCTATATTGTGATAATCTTATTCTATACTTCCTATCTTTTCTATCTAAAGTGATGTATCTATACTTTCTAACTAAAAAGACTTTTGTATATGATTCTTTTAAATAATTGTATTAATAAGAAGAAAGTATTGGCTGATATAATCTTCTTTATAACTTTAATCAATTTAAAATTTTTTAATTTTAGAATGAAAATATTCTTCTTTTTTAATCATAATTTCAAAAAAATAAATCATTTAATATATTATAGTTTCTTTATTTAATTGCTTAATAATTTATCTGACCTTAGTTTTATTTAAACACAACTATCAGCTTCAACCAAAATTTAATAGTATTGATAAATGATTATGATTATTGGATTAAGTAATCAACATTTATAATTATATATTCATGAAAATTGTCTAAAACTTAAAATTAATATTTAAATTATCAAATGAAATATGTGATTTACATTTTCTTTGAAACTAATTCATAACTTTAAAAAATACATTTAAAGATTTAAAAATTGTTTAGGAATATTTTATATAGATTAAGATTATATGTTAATTAGTAATAAAATAATCAAAAAATAAAATTAAATATCAATTAATAATATTATAGATATCAATTTAGAATGATTATTCTTAAAATATATTATAAGATATATTTATAATTGTTTATAAATGCAATATATTGAGAATAAAATAAATATATGAAATATTAGATTTCAATTTTAATTTTAAGTTATCCTCATCATCATGGATTTAAACTCCTCAAATGTTAACTACAATTAATACTAAAAATTATACTTTTCCATCAGAATTCTAATCTACTTCTTAAATCATTTATTTCCAAACTTCCTCACTGATTCCAGAGTTTTGACCAAATGCTTACTTAATTTCATCTTTTGTAATAGCTCCACTCTTATCTTTATCTATAATTTTAAATGCTTAAAGCAATCTTTCTGTAGCTAATAATTTTTCTCTATTTATAGTAGCGTAAACAAATTCTATAGATTAATTATATATTAATACCAGAATAATCTATTGAACCACTACCATCTGCATCTATTTTTTTCATAATTTCATCTACCTATGTTTCTGCATCTATATCACTCAAAACCCTTTTGTATCCATTAATTAATTCTTCTCTACTTAATCTCCCATCGTTATTTGTATCCAAAGCCTAAAATTACTTTAATAAGTCTTTTTTCTCTTCTTTAGTTGCTATAAAATTGACCATAAACATAAGTGCCGCTTCCTATAATTTTTTTTCAACCTAAATATTTAAAATTTATTAATACTCTGAATGCTTTAATTCTTGATAAAGCTTCAGTAAGAGAAGGTAGATCTTCTTCACTTTTTTAACAAAATGTTTGAATCCATGGATGATTCATAGCATCCTTTGCTGAAATTCTCTTTT